TGTGTGTATATGAAAACTCCCGAAAACGTCTTTAATGTTGTTAAAGAATTAAATGTATAATAAGAAGAATGAAAAGCATATACTTTACTTAAACTTTTGAGTAGTTGACACACACGCACACACACGCACGTGCGCGCGCACGCACGCACGCACACACACAGAGTTTATAATTATTGAAATTCAAGACTGTTTTTGACCACATGTTTTATTGGCCAGCCAATATCCTAGAAAGGAGCATACAAATATGGAGGTTTGCTACATTGTTCCTTGGTCTTTGTTGAAGAGAAAGCATGTAGCATTTTAATGCTTGTTGAGGTCTGTTTTCTTGTTCCATACATTGTCCTAAAATGTTAAAGGCTGTTTCTCTGTGTGCAAGATTTTTATCTGTTACTATGATTCTTATAAGATTATTAAGTGCTTCTTGTTGATCTTGATGCCTTTGTAGATTACTGAAGATCTTGTATTGCAGGAAGTATAGGAAAGTTAGAGAATCAACTACAGCCCAGTCCATCCAAAAGTCTGTATCTACATCTCTGTGTATCATGTCATCTTGTGTAGATCTAAACATTTCATATTGTAGTTCATGGGGAACACAGTTGATCTCTTCCTTTATGAATCTGACACAAAAAGCTGTAATATGTTTGATACAGTCAACACTTTGCTCACTACATACCCTCTTGAATTCTGCAGTTACTGCTGGTGGAGGCGTCCTCCAGCATTCACAGATAGCTACAACAGGATAAGAGTAATATTGTTGTTCAATGTGTCTCAGAATTACTTCAGCTTTCTCCATATTTCCTGTACTGTAGAACACTGAAGCCAATTTAAGTCTACTAGATGAGATATCTGAATTTAAACCATCTAATAACCAAACCAATGCTTCAGGTGAAACTTTATTATTTTGACCAATATTAAATGATGCCAGGACAGACCCATATGTGGTAAAAAGAAAAGGTGCTAGATACTTGCATGCAGTCTGTTGTAATCTATTACAATTAACACTGAAGGTCTTTAGTGTACCTAAAGATTGCTTCATTGTCCTAATGTTTTTATCGTATAAATGTTCTAAAACTTTCAGATGGTTAACACTTATATTATACTGCGACACTTGCCCCAAGATCAGAGGAACAGTCTCAGGGTAGACGCAAGCGGACGCATACGTGCACGCCAGGAACATGTTCAAACCCCTAGACATTAGGACGAGCCCCGTCCCATTGGTCCCATTCGCATTGCGCATATTAACGTATGCGGGTGGACATCTGAAAATCATGACTTACGTGTAAATATTGTAAAATCAATTGATGCCGATTTGATCTCAATATCAGAAACGCATTTATCAAGACATAAAGATATAGACATTGATGGATACTTATGGTTCGGTCATAACAGAGAAGATATACATAGAAACGCCCCGAAAGCTTCCGGAGGAGTCGGCCTACTTGTTAAGAAATGGATATGTAACTATTATAATATTGACGTGGTAGATAAATCGCACGACGGAATTATTGCAGTACAAATGACACACAAAATTACTGGAAGTGATATTTTGATATTTTCATGTTATTTACCGCCAGAAAACTCAACGCGTGGTAGAGATGCGCAGTCTTTCTTCGCACATTTACTTACTAAGCTATATACGCATTGTAATAGTGATAAAATTCTGATTTGTGCTGACTTTAACGCAAGAATAGGCTCCCTATCTGATCTATTCCAAGAATGCGATTCCATACCACGAAGAAACGTTATTGACAGAAGTATAAATCAACATGGTCACGAATTCATTGAGTTTTTAATTGAATCGAAGTGTTGTGTTTTAAATGGCAGATATGACCCAGAGCAAGACAATTTTACGTCAGTTTCAAGAAAGGGGAAATCGGTCGTGGATTTTATATGCGTTCCTCATGACGTATTACAGTACTGTAAAAATTTCAAAGTAATACCTACACAGTCGATAATTGACACTCATTACCTACATGGATTACTTGCAAGTAGATCCCGTATACCAGACCACAGTGTTCTAGTTTTTGAACTTGAAACGGACTATAATTACAGTTACGATCAAACAAGTATAACAGTCGAGACCCCCAGCGAAGCAAGGTTTAACTTAAGGCGTATACCGATAGATTTTATGAATAGTGAAACAAGCAGACTGGCTATGATAAACGTAATTACACAAATTGAAAGATCAAGAGAAACACAAATGGACGTAGACTCAATTTATGAACAGTTATGTGAAGCAATTAAGCATGAAATGAATCAAAGAATCCCAAAACATGGATCCTCTCGGGGTACATCCCGACGTCACAAAGTACGGAAACCATACTGGGATGATAATTTAAATACTCTTTGGAATACAATGAGTGAAAATGAGCATAAATATTTAAACTGCCGTGATAATAGGCAACTCAGATCACGTTTGAGAATGGAATATGTTTCGTCTAGAAATATTTTCGACAGAGAGCTCAAAAAATGTGAACGTATATATAGACAGTCAAAAGCATTTGAAATTGAACATATGTCAACAAATGATCCAAATGAGTTTTGGCGCAAGATTAAAAACTTGGGTCCCCAAAAACGTAAAGACATTCCTATTGAAATAGTGGACAGTCTGGGATCAGTCATACGTGACGAGCACGTTGTTTTCGAGCGCTGGAGACAGGATTTTCAGAACTTGTATAATTCACAGGATGACAACGATTTTGATGAGGATTATTATAATCGTGCCAAGCTACATAAGCATCTACTAGAAATGAATATTGCAGATCCCCTCTATGAACCAAATCATACGTTAAATACGAACATCACAGTGGAAGAGTGTGCATTTGTTGTCAAAAAAGCGAAATTGGGTTCTGCTTGCGGCTTAGACAGTATTCTGTACGACGTGCTTAAGTATCCGGTAATTATCTCAGTTCTACAACATTTATTTCAAATGATATTCGACTTCAGCATTATACCGTCAATATGGAGAAAATCTGTAATTTGCCCAATCATCAAAAACTCAGAATCAGACGCACGAGTACCAATGCATTATCGTGGAATAAGCCTGTTATCTTGTATAAGTAAACTATATAGTGCATTTCTTAACAAACGATTGACAGAATATCTAGAAGGTGCCAATATACTAGCTGATGAACAGAATGGATTTCGCTCTAAAAGATCTTGTGAGGACCACGTGTTTTCTCTTAACAGTATTATACGCAACAATAAATCGGTGTTTACGGCATTTATTGACTTAAAACGTTGTTTCGATTACATAGACAGAGACATGCTTTTATACAAGCTTCTTAACAACAACATAGACGGAAAGATGTATAATTCTATAAAAAGCATATACGCTAGCTCCAGTTCGTGTGTGAGAATAAATCAGAAAATGACTAACTGGTTCGACTGTGTCACAGGGGTCAAGCAGGGCTGTACATTATCACCGACACTATTTTCCATCTTCGCCAATGATCTTGCAGAAGAAATTAAAGACCTTGACCTTGGCGTGCCTATGGATGATATTAAAGTATCGCTACTTATGTACGCAGACGATATAGTTTTGATCTCAGATTCTGAAGAAAAATTACAGACAATGTTAAACACTATTCATGACTGGTGTAAGAAATGGCGCGTTCTAATAAATACTAGTAAATCAAAATGTATTCACTTCAGAAAAGGACGGGCGCAACGAACAGATTTCACATTCAGAATTGGTGACAACGAGCTAGAAACCGTCGAGGCTTACAAATACCTAGGCGTAATATTCCACGAAAAACATGATTTTTCTAACAACTGTGATGCTTTAGCAAAAGGAGCCGGTCGTGCATTAGGTAGCATTATAAACAAAATACACAACTACAAAGAGTTCGGATTTAAATCTTTTGAAAAACTTTACAACTCATGTGTTATACCAATACTTGACTACTGTGCGTCTGTTTGGGGGAACAAACATTTCCAACAGATAGATAATATCCAAATCGCGCAATGAGATATTTCATGGGCGTTCATAGATTCACACCCGTACTTGCCATGCTTGGAGACACAGGCTGGTTACCCAGCCGTTACCGTAGATGGACCTCTATGTTACGCCTCTGGAATCGATTAGTGTGTATGGATACTAACAGACTGACATACAAATTGTTTGAAACAGACTATAGACAGTGCTCAAATAATTGGTGCAGTGATTTAAAAACAGTTATGTACACACTGGGATTGAATGATAACTTTGACCATTTATTCCCGGTCAGTCTCTCTCAAGCAAAAACTCTCATTAATAGTTATTATTCAAACATATGGGCTCGAGACATTCAAAACTTACCAAAATTAAGAACATACAGACTGTTCAAAAGGGAATTCAAAACTGAGGAATATTTATTATTAAACTTAAAGAAAAATGAAAGGTCATTATTAGCTCAATTCAGGACTGGCATTTTACCTTTACGGATAGAGACAGGTCGATATGTCGGCGAATCTGTAGAAGATAGACACTGTACACTGTGTAATTCCGGAGCCATAGAAACAGAGACACATTTCTTACTAGAATGCAGTTTATATTCAAATGTTAGAAATACTGTATTTGACAACTTATTAACAGACATTTCATTTGTAAACCTAGTGACCGAACACAAACTCGAACACTTAATGACAAAATGTCCTCGTAAAATGTCTAAATATATTGTTGCTGCCTTTATGTGTAGGCGAAACCGAATTTATTCATAACAAAACAAAAAACTGTGATATCCAAAAATAATGACAATGATAATAATAAAAAGTTCCATATAGAACGTTAAACGTTTGAAGCCCTTGAAATATTGTTTGTAAGCATTAACCAGAATCAGGTTACACTTTATATTTGTTTATACCATGATTTCTACATTCTATGTTTTATGTGATGCATTATGAAATCATTACATTGGTGACTTATAGGCCCATTGGGCCGGGTGCTATAATTGTACACATATACGATTGTTATTTGTATTTGACTATGCACATGTCACAATAATAAATAATTTACTTACTTACTTACTTATATTAGATACAATGTATAAAAAACCACTGTTTAAAAGAGATAAATTGTACGTTTCAGGAGAATTCTGAATAATGTATATTCCATGTGGTACCATGTTCAGTTTAACTTGCAGTCTAAGACCAAGATCATCAATAGCAATCCTAAATAACTGTTGTCTTCCATTCTGTATAAAATCACAAATATTTTTTGAAAGTTCATGTTTTGTCTCAGCTGTTAATTTCCCTGCCATCAAATTATTTTCTTGGATAATGAAATGTGAACATCTGTCATTCTGTACACAAATGTGCAATTTCAATAAACAATTTGTTAAACATGTGTATAAATTGTTCTTTTTCCATATTCTTGGCTCTGTGTTTTCTATACAATGTAATAGAACTGTTTTACACATGAAACTTGATATATCAATTGTCCCTTCAGGATTAAGGGAAGATTTTAGAATCATTTTCAACAACACATAGCACCTTATTTGTGTTATATTTAAATTGAACATTAAACACCTTTCTGCCAGTGATGTAGATATTCTCCATTCCAATTCAGGATATTCACTGACCTTACTTCCAGTTGGAACAACAAAACACCTAGTACTGGCTGCATATCTTCTCATCTCTATTGTTGGCCATCTGCTAATACCTTGTCTATCTAACCAACCTAATGCTGATTGAGGCCATGATTTACATGGTAAAGCTAACACATGATCTCTATCACAATATCCATGTTGTCCTTGACTGAACAAGGATGGTCCATGATCTACAACACCGTGTATATGTACTTTTTTTGTGTTTTTACACAATATTCTTTCATTTCTATCAATAATATGTTGTTCATTAGGAATGACAGTCACAGGAAGAGGTTCATAAGGTAGGAGCAGTTGTAAGAAACAATATCCAGGGGTAGTGTTCTCATCCTGTATCATGAGGTAGTTTGACTTGCCATGTTCCCAATCTGACCGGTCTTGTATTATATTGACTTCATGGTTACAGAATAGTATGTCCAAGTCTGAATCAAGTCCTATAGTAGTTGTACCTTCTGTCTTACTCCCTAGTAAATATTCAGTCATATTTTCATCAATTAACCTGTAAGTGATATTACTCATAGTCTCTGCCAGCATGTAATGTCTTTTCCTTCTCATCATCATTCTTTCATTGACACCAATGTCATGTAAAACCTCTGATAACATCAATGACAGGTTTTCTCTGTAGTCAGATTCTTGAAACATTCTGTAATATATTTGTGAACGGAAAATTGTTTCAGTCAGCCACTATATTTATTTTATTAAATAATTCTACTTGTTATTTATTCATCCTTTATATCCTACAATATGACATGACAGGATAAATAGTGTTGATATAAGAAAATTTCATTTAATAAGTTGACGAATATATCGACTTATAATCTGTTTTTTTTCCTCTTTTTTTATTTGCTTTGATATCTTCCTGCTTCTGCTTTGAAATGTAATTTCAGCAGTAAATTACCTAATCAAAAATTTTGTTCGTGTAATTATGGAAATAAATTTTCTTCTTAATTGTCACAAAAATTACCGAAGATACATAACTCACTTTAAATAAATTATCAAATTTACATTGGATAATGTCCCTTACTTTTCTGTATTTCTTTGCATAGTTGTTCAAGGCTTTAAAGGATCAGTAGTTAAAATTTTTAAAAATTATGTATTTTTGTCTTTAATGTCTTGTTAACAGCACATATTTATGTTTATTACATATAGCATTTATTGACTAGGAAGGTACTGAAGTTATTAATTCGTATTTCACTACCTTAAATTTAACATGTATGGTATTATTGATGTATTAAAACTTTAATACAAATGTGAAATGTGTAGGAAAAAATATTGTTTAACTTACTTTCAATGTTGTATTATGTTTAATAGGCTACGTGGAATTTCACTTCCTCTTTTGGTTTTGCATGAAGAGAAAACAATGCAGTTCCACTTCCTGTTGTTATAAAAAAACTGCATTGTTCCCCCTTCAAGCACCCACATTACATGCATCATTATATTTTCTAATTTTAATATAAATGAGTAATTTAAATTATTTTTGCTTACTTTATATGCTTGATTTTCTGTCAAGGAAATACATTTATTTCTGTTTAACAGGGTATATCTTGATCAAAAATACACTATTTTAACATCCTCTTTTGGTTTTGAATGAATGTGAAGGAGAAATGACTCACTTCCTCTTCCTGTTGGTATTAAAGTTTATTGAATTGTGTCCCTTTAAAAATTTAACACATGTAGATTCTATGCATTCTAAATTTAAGAAATTGACACAAAAAGCCTTACAGTAGTTTTATTTTTAAGCCATTACAGAAAACATTATGAAAAGATAAATGACCGTATTTTTATCAGTGATCAAAAAGGTATTTAATAAAATGTTTGAAGCAAACATGATCACTCAAGATTGTAGAATACAGATTTTTTTGGCCATTTCCTTTTTTTATATTGGAACTTTCAAGTTATTCAGGTGGAGAGTCCCTCAATGCATTATTTCAAGCACGAAGGGAAATCTGAGTAGAACCACTGATGTTTTGTTCTGATGAAAGAACCTGAAGACCCTTAATTGCGGGGCTCATATTCAGGAAATAATTTAGATAACAGACATGTTTTCATCGTCAACTTGGTATCAAACTGACATTATGCTATTTTCTTTCTACTACTTTATTATAGGATTATGTATATTATTTAGAAAATACAATGACATCTAGAATCAGCTATTGCAAAAGTATCACTGTCCAATCTTTACAAATAAAGTTGATTTTCCAGTCATTAAAAATTGCGAAAATCTTTTCAAAATTTTACCCATCTGCAACATATACTGGCATATGTTGGCAAAAATTAACTTTCAGTGAAGACATATAGTTGAACTTTTATAATTCTACTTCACCTTTTTTCTTTTTTATTATTATATCTTATTGGACTTGCCGTGACTCACCTAAATGTTCTAAATGGTATCAAAGGTGGTAAGTGGGTTAAAAAAATACCTGCTCCTGGTGGGAAAGTAAGCAAGATTAGTTTTCTTAACAAAAAATGATGAACAACCTTGGAATTACCCAAAATCTAAATTTTCCATGTGAACAAGTGGCCTTATGTCTAATTTTGGTGAAAAATTGTTGTTTTGTGGCATTTTTTAGTTTTCTTTATTAGTATCACATGAACAACAAAACCCAACAATACTCATTAACATATTTTATTGTGAAGCATGCTTTACATGACATTGTAGTTGAGTAACTAATGTAAATGTAAAAGAGAGAAAAACACTTATATATCTGCTTGTTCATAATTAATATAATTTGATTATATACAAAATCTTCTTTCAAACAGAAATATGGCAAATTAAAGTCCTCAAGAATATATTTTCAAATCATGAATAAAGAAATCTCTTTTCATTTAACATTACTCTATTGCTGGGACATACGATAAGTATGTCCAGGTCTATTGTTACACATGTTAAAATGACTATAAAAATGAGGTGGTTGTATACAGATAAATCATCGATGGTGAAATAAAGAAAGAGAGAATTTAATGTCATATACATGTAATAAATGTTGATGTGTAATGTCATACACATATATATATCTATAAAATGTTACAAATTTATTCAAATGGCAAACTAAATCTGGTGAACTGTTAAAATATTTTAAGGCAAATTACATCCATTTTATAAATAGCTTTTAAAAAAATCAATGTTTGTGTTTATATATAAATGAAATAAATTTCCATGTAACTAGGATCAACAACAAGAGCTGTCAGATGGACTGAGTTCGTTTATTCTCTTCAATTGAAACACTGGTGGGTGGGGTCGTCCGACCAGCAGACATGCACACTTTTTCAAAAATGTTTATTTAACTCAAACAAATTTACTAGGTGATACATCATTTTTTTCCATCATTTTTTCCAACAATATTTTAAACTAACATTATATTCATCCTAACAAACTCTCAAATGTATTCTAAATGTATTAACTATGAGTACTATACAAGCAAAATTGTTTTATCATGATATTTGGCGGAGTAATTCAAATCATAAACATTCAATAAATGACTTATCACATGATTCATTGGCCCTGTAATTCATTTAAACCATTCATTAACTAATATCATTCAAATCATAAACATTCAATATCTAACTTATCACATCAAAATAAGATAATTTTACAATTATTGGCAATAAAGTTCAAAATGTTATATAAAATGTAATCATTGAATACCAGAATTAGAAATAGATTATTAGCCGTGTATGACATTGAAAACATATTAATAAACAACTATATCAATCTCAAATTTTGTTAACACTTCTGTGAAATATTAGAGACATTGGCGGGATGATAATTATGTTTATTTATGACACTATTGGTGAGGTTTCTGTTAAAGAGATTTTTAACTATGGTGGGTTGACCTCAAGTCTTCAAAATGCCTCGTAAAAATTATGAAGAAATTATTCATATTGACCATATCACTGAATGACCAGGAACTTTCAGCTTATTTCTAACACTAAAAGAAACTAAATTTATTTCTCAATAGGTCTGCTTTATTCACAAAATATTATACTAAAACAAAAAATTCCAACGCCCTGAATTCTTATTACAAAATAAAAACTATAAACTCTTTTAAGTAATTTACATAAAAATTAGGTAAATGTCCACATTGATGACAAACTATAAAACCCTTTTGAAAACTTATTATCTTATTTGCTATTGTTTACTTCTTTTTTATTTGAAAACTGACCAATGACAAAGCTGTATTAACAACGTGTTCACAAACATTAACATATTGATCTTGATCAATCTTTACAAAATTTTAACTGGTCGAAATTAATGAGAGAACCAATGAAAAATATGACACATAACAGAGCAACACTTTTCTCCAGTAATAAAGTTAACAATTATTACAATCCTATACTGACCAAGATAAAATGTAAAACACCATTTAAATAATTTAGCCTGAACTGAATACATTGATAGACTAAAAATTATCACTGTCATGTAATTTTGAGCTGATTTTTTATAATAGAACAAACACACACTTTTATCACAGATTTTGTTCAATACTGGCAACTTTTAGATTTAAAATTGGGAAAAAACGACAATAATAACACGAACAAAGCCTTTTATATAAAGTTATAACACTGACGGACTGTTTAACTGTAGACAGAATTTTAAGACACTTTCATAGTTAAGCATTAAGCACAAAATACCAATCACATAATCCACAGGAAGAATATGTTTTATACCACCTGAAATTCAAAATAAACTCTCCTTATGTAAATTATATTAAATGAATGTGTGTCTATCTTTCAATCTGGACAAAACAATACATGTGAACTTTTTTTCGATGATCAAGTGGGAGATTTTACTTTAAAAAGGAGATTTTAGAATTTGCAATAAACAAAGAAGCAAGTTCTGACATCAAAAATATGGAGATTTCTTTAATTTTTGAAAATACCCCTTATTTTAAGAAATTTTTTTGAAAATATGGCTGCAGAAAGTGTGAGTCTCCCACTTAAACTAAAGTCACAAAATATGAATTGAATGAGTAGGAAATAATGCAGGCGATGATCAAACCGCCACTGAAATGCTGGCTGATCTTGGTCTGTACTGGTTACATAGCCCAGGGTTAATTTAGATGATATAATCCATATAGAAGGAAAACAATATGCTTCACAAAGCCAAAGTAAAGACAAAAATACCACATCAATTCCACAGAAAGGTTGAAGTTCTTATTAAGTGAAAGATGCATCATGTATTCCGCATTTACAAATTCAAATTTATGGCGCAAATATTCCACTGTTTGAAAAAGAAAGGACATTTAACTTTACACAACACTTATAAACTATGAACATCATTTTTTTTATGAATAAAAAAAATCATTTGAATAAAAGATGATCTGTAATGTTTGATTAAATATTTAGACAACACTGAAAATGTTTTTCATCATCAAAAAAGTCTCATTATCACTTATGATAACTTCTATACATATAAAGACATTTTTTATTCATACATTCAAGTCAAGCAGCACTTCATAGTAGAACTATTTTCTGAATAAAACAATGTGATACACATAATAAATCGAATACAAAATACATTGATTTATAACTGATTTATAAATTCAATTTGTAATTTCATTCATTAAAACACAAATTAAACTGTCAATCAATTAACAAGAAACTTAACAATGAAACATTAATTCAAAACCCGAGGGATATCTTATTTTCTCTTACAAGGTTCAATTAACTAATGTACTTTAACCAAAATATTTTTGAGAATTTTTCAAGTTACATATCCTTCATACTTTTACAGAACTTGCCGCAAGAAATCACTTTAAAAAAGCATTCTTTCCTAATCTTTCTTTTTTTGTTCTAGTCATATGACTGGTATCATTTTAGTTTTCTGTTCTTTTTTTATTTTAATGGCAACTAAGGGGAGTGGTAGTTCAATGTTTCAAATGTCTGCCTCAAGATCAGGATTCAAGTCCTGTTGTGGTCACGGGCTATGATTTCCTCTTATTATAACAGACAAATATAACACCAGTACTTGTTAGTTCATGAAAGCATAATTTGGCAAAATGCAACTTGCAAGTACTTTCTTAAAAATAGAGGGGAGACAAATATGTTTCAACTTAACTTATAGTCGATGTAAATTTACATTCAAACTGAACAGTTTTCTACCATTTGTTGTTTGGTATTAAGATTCACCAACACAGAAAAGGTCATATGGTGACATTCCAGCTTTACTGGAGGATAAAGACCTCAGGTGTCCCCCTACCCTATGTGCATTATTTGAGGCACATGAGAGAACCCTTCGTAAAACTTTAAAGTCAAAATTGATAAAATGAAATATTTCTTGGTACCAATATAAATGACTTGTGCAGAAAAACAACACTTTTCACAGCACTTGAAACGTTGTGAAAGTATTTGTGAAAAAAAATGTAAAAATTGATAAAAATTGTCAAAATTATGCAAACAATTTCATGGCTATAATATATCAATCTAGATGATCATTTTTTTAACACCAAGTACTGTGGAAAAAATAGAATATCCCTTGATTTTGAATCATTGAATAAATATGACTATGTCATACAAGAAACATTGAAGCACCAAATGTTAATAAATCCTGAAATGATGCTATAATTATATGTACACTGTGTATAAAATAGAATATCCTTTGTGAAAAAAAAAAAAGCCGCATCACGGCAAAACATACATAGTGCGTTTGCGACCAGCATGGATCCAGACCAGCCTGCACATCCGCGCAGTCTGATCAGGATCCTTGCTGTTCGCTATCAGTTTCTCTACTTGTAATAGAGTTGGTAAGCAAATAGCATAGATCCTGATCAGACCGCGTGGATGCGCAAGCTGGTCTGGATCCATGCTGGTCGCAAACGCATTATGTTGGTTTTGTTATGACGTGGCTCAAATGACGAAAAAATTGTACAAAAATGAACTAATCTTTAATAATGATGATAATATATGAATAACATATTTTTTATTTTTAGAAATTTAAAAAAGATTCTACGAGTTTATGCTAAATTAAATTATATATTTATTTTATATTAGCAATAGTTACTGTTGTCTTGCTTTAAAATCCTTGAAATGTTACAATATATCACTACAATTCTCACAAAGGCGAAGTGACTAAAACCATTTAATCTGATAAAAAAAGTCAAAATTTAAAGTGTTCTTCCTATTCATATTTGATTTAAAGATAACAAACCCTCATGTATTGAGAGATATCAACTAATTCTTTAATACAATTTCCATTTTTTTTTCCTTATTTAAAAAAAAAGTCACTTTTTTGGACAATAACAAAAAATACAAAAAGTCATTGGAAAACTGTTGGTGAAAATATTGGTATATCTTAAAAAGTAGTTCCAACAATATTGTGTCAAACCTGCAAACTAAAAATCACTCATTCTGTTGAATCTCCTTTTCATTTAGCCCATTACCTAAATCCTAATAATGGACTATTCCTGCTTTGACTTTGGAACAGTCCATTTAAATTCAAAGGGATTTCAGTATCACAATACTAAAACTGTAATCTCTTAGCAGTACAGAATCTGGTTTGATGGCACCATACTTTACACTCTGACTTAGCTCCATACCAGTAAACTCTACACTTGTAAACTCTGAACCAGTGAACTTCTTACCAACGACTTCTTGACTGCTAAATCGGTGAACATTATACTTGTCATTTCTATACCAGTGAACTCTATACCAACAACTTCTTTACTGGTAAAAATTACATTATACCAGTGAACTCTAAACCAGTGAACTCCATACCAACGACTTCTTTACTGCTAAACCGTTGAACATTATACTTGTCATTTCTATACCAGGGAACTCTTTACTGGTAAACACTACACTGATGAACTCTCTACCAATGTCTTCTTTACTGGAGAACTCAATACCGCTGAACTTTATATTGTTATTATTGTCATGATACCAAGAATGTTAATGAAAGATATACCATATACATTAGTATGTTAAATTTTTCAAAGACATTTAAACATTTAGACTAGAAGTTTAAAAAAACAAAAACATGTGAGGTCGCTTAGAAAAATTAAGCATCGATTACATGATTAGAAAATGTACTTGTTAAAAAAAAAAAAGTGAATGGTCCAAATTTTTAAACAAAGTCAGCTTTAAGTGGGGGCATTCATGTAATTCAATGTATACTTAGAAGTTTTCTAAAACAATATTTTTACCAAACTAAGATTTTTTTCTTCTACTTTTCATACATATATGATTAAAAAAATCAATCAGCATTGTTTATTGTTAAATCAATCATTGTTTTTGATTCTTTATATTGATTGATAAAATACAATAATCTAACAACATTTTGCATTGTTAACAATACAATAAACAAATATATTCATAAAACTAAATTTTCATAAATTTTCCTATACATTTTTTTTTCTTTACAATATCATTATATATTTCACTAAATCTACCAAATCTCAAGTAACAGAATACCTTTTCTATCTTATCTTATCTTATCACATTGTATCATATAATATCTTATTATAATAAAACAAGGATTTTCTTTACCCATCATTCCTTATCTTTTCTCTCACTTTTAAAACCTTTAAAAAAAGAAAAGATATTTCACTTTACTTTTAGAGCACACAAGATTGCAGCTTGACGTTTTTAGTCTGTTTGAGAAAAACAAACCAAAAACCAACATTTTTCTTTTTTATAGAAAGTATTGTTGTTTTTTTTACTTGGCTATATGGAGATAACCTAAGTTTCTGGTGAGTCATTTTTTTTTTTGACAGTATTTTTTTTGAAGAACAAGGCCGCAACACAATGAGAATCCACTTCAGTAATGAAGATAGTACATGTATTAAAAGTTTTCAGGATTGTTCAACGTGATCTAAGGCTGTTTGCAAGTTGTTTGCAATCTGAAACAGAGAAAAATATCATCATGTTTTTAAATTCTTTAAAATTTAAAAAAATAATAAAAAGAATTAGAACAAACTTAGATATATCCCTTTTGTAAGAAATGCTCTATTAAATCATCTTAAAGAAAGAACCTTGCAGAAAAATGGCATAAAAATCCAACATACGCAAGATCTTGATTTTTCCCATGCTTTCAAGAAACAAAAATTGTATCTTAATAATTAATTTCAACATTAATATACATATGAGCCGCATCATGACAAAACCAATGTAATGCGTTTGCCACCAGCATGGATCCAGACCAGCCTGCGCATCAGCGCAGTCTGATCAGGATCCATGCTTTTCGCTTACAAACCCTATTACAAGTCGAGAAACTGATAGCGAACAGCATGGATCCTGATCAGACTGCGCGGAGGCGCAGACTTGTCTGGATCCATGCTGGTCGCACACCCACTATGTTGGTTTTGTCGTGACGCGGCTCATATGAGCATAGTAGCTAAAGATATAAGTTTATTTTTTTAAGTCAAGTAGTGATATAAACATGTATATTATTCAATTTCTGTAAAGTATAATCATTTTCTGCTGGTAACAACAAGCATTTCTATTAATCTACATATCCAAGATGTTGCCTGCAATTTTCCCCCTTTATTTTTTTTTGATAAGTCACCCACTTGCCCTAACCATAACCATTATGTCAGTCACAAATAGCCACCTGAGATAACCCTAAACCTTTAATACATAATACATAAATAATTTCTATATTTAGAAGCAAAAATCGATTTATCCAAGTCTAATTTAAACAGGCCAATACTAGTAATATGTAAAGATCAATGTAATTTTACCCACCAAAACTCATCAGCCTTTGACACCAGTATAGAGCCAGACCAGCCTACAATATCACTGCACTCTGACCAGGCTCTATACTGTTTAAACAAATTTTTTGTATATTGTTACTAAACTCCCTAAAACATTGAATGAACTGTTCCAAATTCACAGTTTGGGCAAATCCATTACATAAATTCAGCGGGTTTAGGGGTTAATGTTGACTTACCTCTTGATAAAACTTGATCTGACCCGTGAGAAATGTTTTCATTGTTGCTTTAAAATCTTCACAGCGGGAATGCTGGAAGTGATTTATTTCTGCCATAGTTCCAAATGAAATTATGTCTGCTCGTTGCGTGACCGTCCCTACGACAGACTCCAACATTTTACCCTCGCCTTGCTGTTTGACACATTCCTTAGCTTTACCTATTGCTCCCTGAATGAATTATTATTCAAATATATCTTCTCATATACAATCAGTTAAATTTCCTTTTAATTAGCCATAAAAATAACATGTTATAAATATCTAACAAACTCAAAATAAATTTGGATTATCAAATATAATCACAAGAACTGACGTTTACTTGTCTAGCTTTTACGTAAAATTAAACACAAATCATGTTATGTGTCAGCAGTCAGTCCAGCTTACAGACATCCCTCATTCCTGGATAACTAACTGGTAATTACCAATTTCTGAAAGGGACTGAAAACTTATCCCATCAGTGGTGAGAGACAAATAAAAACAAGACCTCAATATCACAGACCAATTGCCACAATAAAACTTTGCCTCGGCCAAGGACTGAACCAGCGAACCTTGATTACAAATCTGATTATCTCCCCATTGAGCTGAGAATATTCAAATAAACAAGCATGTACTGAAGAAAATTCTGAAATTAGGTCCGTTGAAAGTTTGTGGGCTGACAAATCAGTCATTATAATGCTATGAAATCCCTCAATGCTGTGTACTATTTCTTAGATTGTTTGTTTGATTGGGTTTTACGTCACACCGACACAGTATAGGTCATATGGCCTTCTTCCAGCTTTACTGGTGGAGGAAGACCTTAAGTGCCCTTCTGTGCATTATTTCAGCCACAGACGGGCACCTGAGAAGAACCACCGACGTTCCTAAAGCTAGCTGGATAGCTTTCTCACATGAAAGAATCCAAAGTCCCTGTCAGGATTCGAACTCACAGCCGTGAGGGGCAAGTGGTTTGAAGTCAACGACCTAAACCACTTGGCTGCGGACGCCCCTTTTATTTCTTAGATAATGAAATATTTCAATTTTTTAAAAGCACAGAACCGTGCAATGTATTTACTTACTTCATGCACTTTTAACACATCAGGAAATTGTCCCAGTGTCCCTCGGTACTCATTCAATATATCCATCAATGGTTCCAGGTCATTCTTAGGCTGAAAAGGAAACAAATTATTTATATGTACATTTTGTTTCAGGGCAGGGTTTTAGCCAGACCCTTACTCTTTTAGTAAGACGAAACTGTTGTATCTAAACATCTTTGCATTATTTCTAGCACAAACAGGTCCATGGGAACAACCAGCAATCCTTTGAAACTAGCTGGCATTTCAGGAAAATCTCCTCATATGAAAGAACATTATAGCTCTTGGAAGGGTTCAAACTAAAGACAGAAATATACAAATTTGGTTAAAATTGACATACAAGACTGCTTATACAAGACAGCAACTTAAACCACTTGGCCACTGAGACCAAATGGAATAGTTATTGACTGATGTTAACTTTTACCCCTGAAGAAATTGAAAGTGGTCAGCCTTTGTCACCATTAATACAGTCTGACCAGGCTTTATACTGTGCCTAACTTTAAATTTGTTTTATCTTAAAATCCCTTATATTGAAAATGTTCAGTTCCAAAAATTGAAGGTGGACAAGCCTATTTAAGAAATTCAGAAGGGAAGGGGATAGTTTCTTGGTACCTGTTTTAATCCAAGCAACTGAGCTTAATTCTTTTAAACGAGACAACAAAATTGCATAAAGATCTGTATGAATCCTTGATTAAAAAAATTGTTTGGAACCAGTCTTTAAAAATTACAGACTGCATTCATGATTGTTTCTGTAATTTTTAAACCATTTTCTGTTGTTCCTGAGATACAGTCTTAGGATGAATTTAGAAATTATCTTAACAAAAAAATGAAATTTTATGTTACCTGTTTTTCAAATAAGTCTCCAATATTATTGTACGTATCACCAACATAATCTATTGCACCTGTCAATGGTTTGGAATCTGTAAAAAGAAAACACCACATTGTATTTAATATCACCTTAATCTTATATTGTAGTATTTATATTTGATTTGCTTTAAGAATTTGGCAGTTATAGTTTGAAGAAAATATTAATCTAGATTCATAGATTTAAAAAAAATCCTTCTATCCTGATTTGCAAGGCGTCAAGTTAGCTCAATAGTGAAGCGTTGGACTGTGAAGCAGGTGAACCCGGTTCGATTCCCAGACATGCAGGTCACTTTTGTTGAAATTGATCATGAAACTACAGTCATTCGCACTGTACCTCTGCGCTGGTATGTACAGAAAAGTTCCTTGGGAAAATGAAGGCTCTAGTAATAGTAAACTGCTTGACAGCCTGCCCAGGACCAATGTGGTGGTTGAACTGTGCTCTGGTAAATTCAATGTGGCTTACTGTTGTGATCTGTAGTGAAAGTTACCAACACCACCATATTCTGTTTTGTTTTCTATTTCAGAGTCTATACACATTCATCAATTTGTCATAATTGATGTGTACATTCCATAAAATGTTCTCCTCTGTTTTTCATTGTTGTTTCATCATTGATACTGAATCCTAAAGATCTTGCACATTGCAAGTGCTAGGGTTTGTGTGAGACACAGTGAAAGTCGAAATATTTAAATCCTATTTGTTTTGCATTGCAGTAAATATTACTGACTGGCGGTCAGTCTTGAATGACAAAACTTTATTATCTACCCATTTTTAATATAAAATAACCTAAATTCTAGCATTTCAGTATAACAGTTGGTTATCACACCAAAAGGACTAAAAATTGTCATTATTAATATTTATACATTTCAACTCACATGAACTATCATCCATATGAAAAGTCTGTGCTAAAGCTTTGAAAGCTGTTCCTAACTTCTGATATTCTCTTTTAAATGCTGGAAAAATAAGAAGAAAAATGTTTACAAACACTGTCAATTATATCAAATAACAGAAAAAAACCCAACTGAACATTCAATATGAACTGACAATCTACTTGTTTTGATGTCAAATAACACATCTCTCTGGCTTTTTTCATACAGAATGACACTAAAGATTGACCATTTTGTCCATCATTTGATACTAGAGCTTTTTTTTACTCACAAAATAACAGGTGGCTTCCTAACTGAACTGCAAAGAAAACCTTTATTGTTCCCTATTTTATCAGCAGATTTCCTAAAATATAGAATTTCTTCACAGACACTTGGGGTGTGCAGATCCAAACACCTTATTATAATTATCATAGATGTTGAAATGTGAATTTTTTTTCAAAACAGCTTATATTAGGTTTTTTTTACATATATGATCAGTATATGTGCTTGAATTGACAAATATACATTTATTTGGATTTTAAACGTGCCCCAAGTGTCTGTGAATTTCTAGAGTACATTGTCAAGAATTTAATTGCCAGATCAACCAAAAACAGGATCTTCTATTGAAGATCAATGCCTACATACCCTGTGATGAATATCTGAATAGATTGTTGGCCTCTAAAGGCCCTGAATATTAGGCAGTGGCCTTCATAGCAATTATAACACAGTCACTGTAGTACTGAATGAACTGAATAAAGTTCTTGTAATATAGCTTTTGCATGTTGTTTTAAAAAACAGCATTATTGTTTTTTTCAGTATGATGAAATATTGTGCTTAAATATTCCAAAATAATCTTAAATATTCCAAAATTATCAACTAAGGCCTCTTCCCAATTTCTGGGGAGAAAAAGCCTTGGATACAAATAAAAGCATATTTATAAAACCATCAATTATTGCTGAGAGAATTATGAACAATACGCTAACTTAAAACATACCACTATTGCCCAAGCTGTATTATTTTTTTCTCCAAATATGAGGAGGCAAGAAATTTTGAAGTTGCCGCCATAACCATAATGGACCGAGGCTTGAAAAATTAATAGTAAAACTAAAACTTTATAGTTAAAGCTTTTGTGTTACTTACGACCCAAATGTTTCTTTCTGTTATCATACGCCACAGCTGATAATGTTTTAACATTATCTTCCATATTTTTCTGAAATTTGCAAAAGTTTTCCATCTTTGCTTCTCTGAAATAAATAAACAGAATAATTTCCTTAAAGTTGCATGCCTCCAGATGAGCAAAAATATTTCAAGAAGAAAAATATTGAGAAAAATGTACTAAAATTTTAAGAAAGGTAAAAACATTCAAGGTCCAAGTTATATTCAAAATGTTATGTGCAGTTTAAGACCGATTTTTCAGTATTTATCACCATATTCTACTGTGTTACTAACTCAGTAAGGGCTTTTTTTGCATATGTCAACCGCTTTTTGGTAACTTTTGTTGATTGTAAGTGCCGATTGCAATATATAAATTACTTTATTTGTTCACCTTACAATATTTTACTTTTAAATACATTTCCAAAATTTTCAGGAAAATTAACATAAATCTTGAGGCTTGCTGCCTTAACCATTACCTCACTCTCACTAAATATCTTAAAAAGACATTATGCACATTTTTTTCAAGTTGCACTGAATTGATTATATGCATTTATTTCAAAAGATTAACTGTCATAAATGGTGAATGACCAACGGTTGATACTCGGAAAATGCTAGGGATAGAATAATTATAAATCTGCCTTAAATATAAAAAGACCACCCCACTCTTTTAATAAATTGAATGTAGAGGTGAATTCTGTCAGATATTTACAGAAATTTTATTGAGCCATGTGAGTTATATATCATTCATGCCAAGAAAATTTTAAAATTGAAAAGAATTCTGGCAAAATGAAAACTTATTTTGACTTTCACCTGTTTGCTCAATATATACCTGGGATGGGCATAATGTCATCTTTCAATCTGGACAAGAGCACTCATCCATTTAGACAGAAAAGCGCACTGTGCAGTCCATGATTAAATGGCAGAGATGTGGCGGCTGACCTAGGTCTTCATTGTTTGTTTGTTTGATTGGGTTTTACATCACACCGACAAGGGCAAGTGGTTTGAAGTCAACGACCTTAACCACTCGGCCACAGAAGATTCAGTTAAATAGAAGATCAGTAGACTGATGACAACACATTAAGTTATTAACATAGCTCAAAGAATCACACCTCAGCATTCACGACCAGTTTGATGTAAAAGTCATCAAGTGTTTGGAATAGTGAAAACAATGTCAAGTGAACAAATAAATGATATATATATGTTCATTTTGCTACAGCTGTACTTACATTTCACCACTTTGTAATGCTGTAGGTGGGGTCTTTAATGTAAGGAAAAACTTTCCTCCAGTATACTCATCTTTCTCAGCCTTACGTTTACCCTGCTTCCATTTCTGTAATATAACAGTCCAAAAATTACAAAAATGTTGTCAAAATACAATATAGTAGATGTTATAACATAGTCGAAAAATAACATACATATTGTCAAAATACAATATAGCAAATGTTATAACATAGTCCAATTACACTACACAATGTTTCAGTGAAGTTATTTCATAACATAACATAACATGAATAATGAAGTATACCAAACCATATTTCAGTGAAGATAATGCAAATTATAACACAACTTATGAAAAATACTAAACTATGTTTCAGTGAAAATAACTTCCATTAAAACATTAGTTTTAAAATATACCACATCATGTTTAAGTGAAGATAATTCAAATAATAACACAATTTATAAAATATACCACACTGTGTTCCTGCGAAGATAATTCACACTAAAACATAATTATGAAATATACATCAAGTTTCAGTAAAAATATCATTAATTATGAAATATACTATTATGAAAATACTATACCTTTTCATCTGTACATGTAAGGAAATGTAGGAAGACTTCAGACTGAGATAAAACAGGATGCCGACAAATTCTGTCGATCCATAACTGTAACAACTTCATACGTGTGTCTATAAACTCATCCTCGTATCGGCCTGAAGTAACAAAATTACATTACAATCTAACACAAGAAGAGTAACTCATAACAAGACTCATTCAAGAGCATCTGATTTTTTAGGTTCTTCCGCCACTGTCTGTTTCCTGTTTTTAATACAGACCTAAATTTTGTTTGACATTTGAATTTCAATGGCACTGATTTCTAGTTATTTAGCCTAAAGATTTTTTTAAGTTGCAAGTTTCAAGGCAGGTCCTAAATTTTGCTTTGCTTGGAGAAAATGTGATGCAAAAATAGCACTGCATCTTTTATAATAGGGTTATTATGACAGTACTTAAACTTTAACCTTGAACCTGTATTCTATTATATAAATTAAAGATATACTATGCTCATCTTTGAGTAAAATATTTATATCTTAGAAATGTATAGAAATCCATGAAATTCTTACTGAATATGTTTAATTTGAATAAAATAAGGAATAAACTGTATATGGGAAGCTGCATTCCCTATTACGGGTCAAATAAAGTTGGTCTTTTCTTAAAAAAAAACTGCCAGTTTTTTTAATAACTATATATTCATATTGTGACCACCTATAGTGTGTAGAGTTCAAAACATAACATATCTACTTTAAATGAAGTCATAACATGTTTATTTTATACATACAAAGAGACTGCGTAGCAATTATAAATATTTTTTTAAAAATCAAATTTGAGCGAAGTATATCTTTAATGAAGATTTTGCTGGACAAGAATATCAAGAGGTGTAGGAGTGCCAAGGTGCTGAATAGAGTTGGGCCAAAATTATGTGAAAAAAATGGATAGAATCTGAAATCTAGACTTTCTCTTATACTGACCGTTTAATAGCGGCCTGCTTTTAGTAAATACACCTTGTCAAAGAAATCAGCCATGCTTTGGTATTAGCACTTCAAATATTGATAAGATGTATTTAGAAATAAAGAATCAAACTTAAAGCTTTTCTTTAATAAGAAATAAATAATTTAACAGAAACACAGTTTATGAGTGATTGTGTAAGTGCAAACAGGTTTACTTCGATAACAGTTTAAAAGCTGTAATAAATTAAAGTAAAAAATAAATCAAAAGAAAAGAATATAGTTAATTACATAGGAAAAGAAGTATTAGAAGTAAAAATACAAAAATAAATTGAAACTTAAAACTTTTTCAAAACTTTTTAAACGACTAATAAATAGTCATGTATTAAAAATAACACTGGATTATGCACTGCAAGTATTATTCACACAAGCCGATCAAAGAAACTTAATAGGTACTCTTTTTCCTAGAGGAAGCATTTCAATTTCAGGAAATATATTAAAATATAAGTAGTCAATTGCAAATTCTTAAAAAAAAAAATATTATACCAATGTTTTGGCTAAACAACGTCTTCAGGGTACATAAATAACTAATCAGGAAAGCAAACACCACCTTTTTTATTATGCCTTGAGGTATTAATCCCCTTAGTACTTTCCCCGTTAGAAAAATTCCTGATGATAATACAGTATAGTTAATATGGAAGGATGATTAATATGTCTTTAACTTTCAATTTTTTTAAAAATCATAACATAAAAGATAAAGAAAATTGTTAACATAATTTCAATTACTGACTACTAGTACCCTTAACAAAGGCTTTATGTTTTATGTTTGAGGCTATAAAATGGGAAACAGTGAGGCTGCGTAAAGGAACTACTATCTATAATAAGTAAATATATAAAGGCGTAATAGTTTTGGATGACTCGGATATGCCTTGGAAAAATTACTGTTAAGGTAAAATATGGTTTATAAAACTGCACCCTTCATAACATAGGGTTTCAGAAACTCAAGTTTTCATTTCTCATCTTTGATAATGTGTGGCTAATGATGTAAATGTATGTGTCAATGTCTAGAAAATCTCCTATTTTTTGTAATTTTAAATAAAGCTTGAGCAATTTTGGTAACATATATTTTTTTATTGGTTGATAGTCTGTAAAATCTCTACACATAGTGTAAGCTGTAAAAGTTAAACCTTACATAATTATTAGGTCCAGGTTGTGTTTAAGTTAGTCCCTCCAACTTGTCAAAGTTGTGTATAATATTAATTTTTTTTACCCTTTTATGACTTCACAGAGTCATATTAAATTACTATCACATGTCTAGGCTAAGTATAATAAATGAATAATGCCTACATAACGTCTATATGGTGTATGCATGTCTAGGCAGAGTAATGTTTTACCCCTCACATATGTCTACCGAGTGCAGTCCTTAATCTTTCTTTATGTCTGAATGGGTGTTAAGTCCAATCCCTCATGTATCATGTCTAGGCACTTCAAAACTTAATTCCTACATTTTATAAATTGGTGCTATGTATAGTTTAAAAGTCATGTCTAGGCATTGCAAACATTAATCCCTACATATTTATGTATTGGTACTATGTATAATTCAGCCTATATATATCAAGTCTAGGCACTGCAAATCTTATTCCTTACATTATTATGTATTACAAATCATGTCTAGGCAATGCAAACTCCAATCCCTACATAATCATACAGTATGTTGGTGCTATGTATAGTTTAATCCATAAATATCATGTCAAGGCAATGCAAACCTTAATCCCTACATAATCATGTATTGGTGCTATGTATAGTTTAATCCATAAATATCATGTCTAGGCAGCTCAAGCCCTAATCCCTACATATGTTTTTTTTTTAGTGCAATATATAAATGCCCAGGCAGTGCAAACTTAAATCCCTACATATGACGGAATGGTGTATACATAATTATATCTAGACAGTGTCAAGGTGAATCCTTACATGTGTCTAGATGGTGTAAAGGTTAAGGTAAATTAAGAGTCGGAATGACTTGACTGACCTGCTTTAGAGGAAGATGTGGGATTGAGAGCGGCAATAGCCCCTGAAAGTTAGTGTAAACTCAAACATATATATTAGTGTATACCCACTTACATTTACATATCAATCTAAAACATGTTAGTAATTTTTTAAGTGTGCTTTTTAGATAAAATAACACACTCGAGTATAATTATTTTTTGTCATTAGATACCCCTATGTCTACATACATGCTAAAACGTGTTAGTACCATTTTTTGCATTACACACAGTGTGTTTGTTTTAGACATTATATTACACATATCTTGCCCTTAAATTGCTGGAACAGAAAAAGGTTAGCCTTTGCCACTGGTAGACCAGGAAACCTGCACATCTGTACAATCTGAACAGGTTCTACACTGTTGGTAGCTTAAATTTTTGTATTTTGAAAGTTGAAATCCCTTAAACTTTAATTGGATTAATCCAAATTTAAGCAAGGACAGATCCATTCTATAAATTCAGTAGTGGTAAGGGTTAATAATGATGAAAGAAGTGATATTGTGTTGTTTGTAAACCATCAGTGTAGAGCCAGGTCAGCCTGCAAGGCCATACAGTCTAAGCAGGCTCTAAAATCGGCAGTTTAATAACAAAATGTTGATATTAAAATCCCTAAATCATACAATGGACAGTTCTGAATTCATAGCTGGGCAAGTCCATTTCAAAAACTCAGTAGGTTAACCCTTTCATCTAAAGGATTCTATAGTTTCCATTTTTTGATACAGTCCATTAACAATTTTTGGGGATATAAAGACGAAAATCTAAAAATTAACCAGCTACCAGTATAGAGCCTGGTCAGACTGCATGGATTTCCAGGCTGGCCTGGCTTTATATTGGTGGCAATTTTCAATTCCAGCAGATTATAGGCTTAAGCATGTTAGGTTAAATCCCTATATGATAAGAGTGTTAAGCAAATGTGGCTCTACCCATCAGATTCCATAATTAACAAACACATATATTTTTCTTCTCACTACAAAAAACTAAACTTTCATATTACTAGGACAAACAATATCTTAAAAGACGTAACCCTAGTTGAAAGTCTCTTTTTGGTTGCAAATTATCTGGTGTCACAACCACAGTGTTAAGCTAATATGTCACCTATCAAGCTTTACAGATAAAGGAAAACTAAAAAATTTTATCCTTTGGCAAGAAGGTTTACTAAAATTAGCCAAAGTAAGTTTCAAATTCGAACCCTAAATTTACAATCTAAGCTAACCATCCATGATGTTCCACATGAACTTTGACCGTTATCCTGGCTTTAAAACACCGCGACAAGTTTGTTTTAAATATTGGGCTATATTATCAAAAGGCAATAATTGCTTAAACCTTTTCAAACAACCATTAGCATAAAATACTAAACTACAACCAACACTATCTATGTTACCATTCGAGCCACACTGTGTTATTTCATTCATAAACAGTACCTTTGTTAGTTAAAAAAAAAAATCAAAGTCATCCATCCACAAATATTTCCAGTATCCAACAAAAAAAAATGAAACCAGTACTATTAACTATAATCATTGAAAACTATTATCTTGTAAAAGTCAAACATTTTCAACCACCAACAATTTCAATTGACAATTTTCAAATGAAAAGTCCGAGAAATGATCCATTTGGACCTAAATCGCTCATCTTTACAAGTCCTTTTTTCTCTATAGAACTTTTGATAAACCACAGATTGTTCTATATTTAAAACAAATAAAGAAAAATTTCTTCATGACCCATTCTTATAAAGATACCTAATTGTTACATTTTTGCTAATTTTTCAATAGATATGCCTTTTTACAAACAAATATCTTTAACCTCTGATTTTCACTTAAATGTCCGCTTTTTCTGAAGCATTCCTTTACTTGTCCTGATATTTATTAAGTAAATTCTGGAAAATGTCATTTTGTTTGTACAGGCTGTGATAGGGACAAATTCTGGGCAGGACGGCTACCTCTGCAACCCATATAAATATTATGATATTAACACATGTTTGTCATTGTGTTTGTTTACTTAAGTTTCTCTTCAGTTTTAGCACTATGTAAGTCCTACATGTACATCTGTGGAAAGTTATAAATCAAGAATCCCAGGATTCTACACCAGTACAAACCTTAGAATTTTCAACCAATTAATGCCAAATTTTCCGAATCCAGGATATTTGCCCATACCAAGACTTAAATCACAATGTCGGACATTTTCTGAATTTTTCTGCATAAATCTTGACCTATGGTATCAGACATAGTGTCATTATTCACCTTGTAACAGATAAAATGTGTCATGTTCATGAATCCAACTTATAAATCTGAGGTACCAAGACTTAATGCTTTCCTCATGGAAATAATCGAGGCATATCAATTACCCTATGGATATGCAATTTTACGCTATTACTTCTTTCCCCATAAGTATTGAGACTTATAACCTTTTTTTTATTTCACCAAGGTTAATAAGTGTGAAAATCATAAACTATACATATTCTGAATTGGACAAAAAGACGATCACAAAAAGCTCATAAAAAGCCTCTGGCCTAATTGAGCTAAATTTAACTAAATGTTCTTAACTTTCACCAAAAATTAAAAAAAAAACCAAACAAACAAAAAAATAAAAGAAGAAATAAGTTATTTACTTCCTTTCTTTATACTACCCCTGCGTGACCTTGAAACGTCTGTAGGTGGAAGTGTCAATAAAAAAACATTAATAAAAAAACATTGTTAAAAAAAAACATACATACACAATATAGTTGGTGAAAAAAGTTCAGGATGCAAATAAAATCACAGCAGAATAAATAAAATATGAACAAAAGGCATTGAAACAATAGATCAAATTTCTACGAAACATTTGATAAATTCCGGCAAATTCTTTAACACTTGTAATTACAAAGAAAGAATATATATCATGAACTATATATTGTTTCAATTTAAATCATTAGAAGCTAGATGAAAACTTTTAATCATCAAAGATTAACGAAAAACTTAGATATTTCTAACTTTTAAATGACTGGATATTGAAAATGATTCTATTAACATAAGTGTACAAAAGAGGGAGTCTCTACAAAAATCTTTGTTAATAGATTGAAATGTTAATTCTATAATATAGGTTCTAAGATTACAGTAGATAGGTATAATTCAATTTCAGGCGATAAAATTCTTGTTTTTGGCATGATCTGGAATGTGTAGATTCTTATAAGCTGACAAGATAAGCCTTTAAAATGCTATAATGTAGCACAAAAAAATCACAGAATATAAAGGAATAAAAGACTCAACATAAATCTACTGACAAAAAAAAGGAACTAACTCTTTAGCTTATAAATATGCAATAGATATATAAAATGCCGAAAAAAAGCTACTAAGTGCTGAAAAGCTCAAAAAAAGAAAAGAATACGAAATTAAGACACACAAAAAGACAATACAATTTCTACAGACCAACCCTAACTAAATCCATGATTTAAGAAGCACCAGGTTGAATATAATTATATCAATAATTCTATAAAAAAAACATTGTACACATTTTCAGGGTTCCCTCTGTGTTATTTTACGTCTGCACCAGAAAATTTGTCATGATTTTATAAAAAAAATTATCTTCTGAAATTACACCATTTCATGTTCCAAAAAAAAGTTTTTTTTAAATTACTTTTTACATAATGTGCCGCACTTTTAGATAGGAACACAATCTGGGACACAATATTACAGGGACAAGCAACTGACGATAAGCACAGAGTTTTCTTTTCGTCCAATCAAGCGCACTCTCCAACATTTTGGAAGGATATCTTTTTGTTCACAGTATAACAGTTTAAAACTAGAGAAATATATGAAAACTGGTGCAAGTTCTTTAGTATTAAAATAATCTTTCCATGAATTTATCAAAATTCTTCAATGTAATTTTTTCATAATAAGGGTACAAATATAGAATTTAAATACTACTTTTAGAGATGGATCAGCTGTCATAAGAGGTAGTTGCTTGCTCCATTATATTATGTCCCAGATCAGTGGCGTAGCTGCCTATACGCCAAATACGCACGTGCGTACAATTTTGGGAGGTGAAAAATTAGAAAATCATTTCAATGCGAAAAATGGCTTAAAAACTAGTGCTATCCGGCCTGCGGTCAACTTACGCAGTGTATGAAAAATACCTTATTTATTGTATTTTATTATAACATGGTCTTTCAAATAGAAAGATCCTAATAAGAATGTACTAGATTTTATTTTTACATAGTTAGATATAAAATTAATTATTTGATTTTTATGTAGATATAGGTACCTCCGTTTCGTTTTTAAAAGTGATTAATTTTTGTATTAAACTCGTCTCACATGTAGCTTGAATACGAGCTCTATCCGTAAAATATTAAGAAATAATACATTAGCTTTTGAAAAAGTTTCAATTCTTTTTAACTTTATGAATAAAATAAAATAATGCACACATTTTGATAATATCGACATGTCATAGATATCACAAAAAACATGTAAGACAATATGTCGAAACGGAATTTCTTAAATTTTAGGTATTATAAATGTGATATCTATCAGTGACTTAAGTATTATTTTGAGCGGAATATGGCTTGTTCTTGATATTAAAACAAATTGATTTGACTGAATTTAAATGTGATTAATATATCAAAATATGTATGCAAGTTCCGACATTTATAGATATGAGACGTGCAAGTTCAATATGTCGCATCAAGTGAGCGTCTGAAAATCAGTCTGTTGCAAAATTGTTTCAACAATGAGTTTTGGAAGGATTATATTTTTTCTTGCAAACATAATTGCAGTGAAATGACTCATTTTTGAAAATTTGAAGAAAAAAAAAACCAACGAAAATAGTAAAAAATGTAATTACGTTGCTAGTACGTTTACCAAATATTAACTTGTGTGATTTCTTTTCATAAATATCTGCCAATTTTATCATGGATGGAACAAGATCCTAACCTCTCCTTTTGCTTAATACAAAATTTAGTTCACAGAGATTGATTAAATAAATAAAGAATTAACATTTATTCAAATGCGGGGAATTGACACGGTGCTGGTGTCATAGGCAATGCAAAAGAGCCCTCGCAAATGTGACGGAGCCAACAGAACCATTCAATAAGTGTCGAAATTGTGGAATTATGCCGATTATTAGTCATGCATATACTAAAACAGAATTTCCAAATGAATAATTTCTTCAGTATCCAAGTAGTAGTGTACTAGGTCGCTATACATCTATAAAGTGTGCTATTTTTAAAAACTTTTTATCACTAATTAGTTGACTTTCAAGAGCAAATTTCAATGTATTTTTAAATTGTTTACCAGATGTAGAATGTTTTTCAAAAAGAGTTTCTTTAATCTAGATTATTTTATTTGCTTTTTTGGTCATTGGGTACGTATTAATTATTCCTACTCTTTCGTTTTGATTTGAACATTAAACTGTTTTATCGCGGAGCATTGATTGGGCGAAATTTATAGTGAAGGAAAAATCCTAAACAACGAGAAAGATGTTCTACTTGGCATAACATTCTCAGATTTGTTGAAAAACAAGATTTTAAATCGGATAGTTTAAAAACCCTGTTATTACCATTTTCACCTACCTCTACAACGATAGTGTCGAGGACTCTCATTTAAGTTAGAAAGAGCCAGCGTTAAGTATCTCCCTGGGTGTAATCTTAAGTCTAATAAAATTGCCTTTTTTAGGATTAAAACCACATTTATGTGACATTAAATGCACGTGAAATCGTATAATTGAATCATCCTCAAATGACTAAATCCGCGGAGCTTTCGGGGGCTTCGCCCCCCGAACCCCCACCAGGGCTCTGCCCTGGACCTGCAAGGGGGCCTACGCGGCCCCCTACACCCCCTGCGTTTACATTTGTGCGTATATTTAAAATTGCCCTAGCTACGCCCCTGCAGATCTATTCAATTTGTCAAAAAGGTACCAATTACTTTAGACATTTATCTAATCATTAACAAACAGTACAAGAGGAAACCCTAAAAAAACCCTAAAAAATCCTATCCTGTAATAAAATAACACTGTTGCAGTTTGGGTGTTTTATCGATTTTGTTCATGGACGGTAAAGGTGAAATCCCTGCATCATTATTATGCAATCTATTAGCACTGGTTTAAGTGGAAAGGAAATCAACATTTCAATATAACTTATAGAAAAATTAATTACCGTAAAGAAAAAAGAAAAGCCTGTGGGAATTCAATTCAAACACCTGGATAAAGCCAAAATCTCAGCATGAATGAAACAAAAAAAATTTATGAAACATTCTTTTTTTTGCATAAATAAACTTACCAGAGATAGCTTTATCAGGTAATGGAGGAATTGGTACGCAGGTAAATTTGTTTTCCAACTGTATATGTAACCAGTCAAAATGTTTGTACCGTCGACTCACTTGTATGTTACTGAACTGTAAAAAATGAATATGGAATATTACACAAGTGTTAATGAATTGCATCACTTGAGGTGATACCAAGAAATTGTATTCTCAAGAACCCACTGTTTGCATAAAGAGCCCGCTATTTGCATCAGAAAACCACTGTTTGCATTAAGAGCCTGCTATTTGCATCAGAAAACCACTGTTTGCATAAAGAGCCCGCTATTTACATCAGAAACCAATTGTTTGCATAAAGAACCCACAATTTGCATCAGAAACCAATTGTTTGCATAAAGAGGCCACTATCTGCATCAGAAACCCACTGTTTGCATAAGGAGCTCACTATTTGCATCAGAAACCCACTGTTTGCATAAGGAGCTCACTATTTGCATCAGAAACCCACTGTTTGCATAAAGAGCTCACTATTTGCATCAGAAACCCACTGTTTGCATAAAGAGCTCACTATTTGCATCAGAAACCCACTGTTTGCATAAAGAGCCCACTATTTGCATCAGAAACCCACTGTTTGCATAAAGAGCCCGCTATTTGCATCAGAAAACCACTGTTTGCATAAAGAGCCTGCTATTTACATCTGAAAACCCACTGTTTGCATAAAGAATCCACAATTTGCATCAGAAACCAATTGTTTGCATAAAGAGGCCACTATATGCATCAGAAACCCACTGTTTGCATAAGGAGCTCACTATTTGCATCAGAAACCCACTGTTTGCATAAAGAGCCCGCTATTTACATCAGAAACCCACTGTTGCATAAAGAACCCACAATTTGCATCAGAAACCCACTGTTTGCATAAAGAGCTCACTATTTGCATTTACATAAAGAGCTCACTATTTGCATCAGAAACCCACTGTTTGCATAAAGAGCTCACTATTTGCATCAGAAACCCACTGTTTACATAAAGGAGCTCACTATTTGCATCAGAAACCCACTGTTTGCATAAGGAGCTCACTATTTGCATCAGAAACCCACTGTCTGCATAAGGAGCTCACTATTTGCATCAGAAACCCACTGTTTGCATAAAGAGCTCACTATTTGCACCAGAAACCCACTGTTTGCAAAAAGATCTCACTATTTGCACCAGAAACCCATTGTTTGCATAAACAGCCCACTTTTTGCATCAGAAATCCACTGTGTGCATCAGAAACCCACTATTTACTTAAACATTTACAACATTTACTAAAATTGAGTACAGTAAAAACAGCTTTGCCTAAAAAATGCTTCATATTTTTGAAATATAATCTTACTGAGGGTGTAATCTGGTATGCAATGTAACTCTTTAATCCTTTAAGTTTGCTCTCCTTCTTCGGTGACCGTACAGAACATGTGTAAGGTTGTGTGTTTGGCTGCCACTCAAATCCATCTGGTGTTTCCTGAAGAAATAAATATCACAATAAATAGTATTCATAACCTTAAATATTACAATAAATAGTATTCCTAACCTTAAACATTACAATAAATAGTATTCATAACCTTAAATATTACAATAAATAGTATCCCTTACCTTAAATATCACAATAAATAGTATTCATAACCTTAAATATTACAATAAATAGTATTCCTAACCTTAAATATCACAATAAATAGTATTCCTAACCTTAAATATCACAATAAATAGTATTCCTAACCTTAAATATTACAATAAATAGTATTCCTAACCTAAAATATTACAATAAATAGTATTCCTAACCTTAAATATCACAATAAATAGTATTTCTAACCTTAAATATTACAATATAGTATTCCTTACCTTAAATATTACAATGAATAGTATTCCTAACCTTATCCTTACCTTAAATATTACAATAAATATCACAATAAATCGTATTCATAACCTTAAATATTACAATAAATAGTATTCCTTACCTTAAATATTACAATAAATATTATTCATAACTTTAAATATCACAATAAATATTATTCATAACTTTAAATATCACAATAAATATTATTCATAACTTTAAATATTACAATAAATAGTATTCCTAACCTTAAAATAAAGGCACATTATGCTTCAGAAATCAATATATTTTTATTTTTTTGAGAAATGTCAAACATGTGTTTAATAGTGTCTGAATAACAGATTTATAGCATGTTACGTGTTTAATAACTGAAGAAAGTAGTGTTGTATGTGCAGCAACCTGTCATACAAGCAGCAAATTGTAAAGAAAGTAGTATTTTGACTTCCATTCACTATAATTATGATTCAGATTGCCAACAGAGCTATAGTTTCAAAAGATAGTACCTGTATATGGCAAATGAGTATTACAAGATACCAAAACTTAAAAGTTTTTAAGATATAAAATTTCTGAGGCATCATAAAAATAAATGGGCCTTTAAATGGAATTAATTTTGATTGATGATTTATTAATTCTAACAAAAGATGATTTTTAATTTAAAACACTGCTAAAAACAATTTTTCACATTTAATAAACTTTCCCCAAGACCAATTTTATATCTAAAATTATATCTTTATAAATATTTATATTGCCCCAGTCAAATTTTTGATTTAAACATAGCCTTGAACCAATTTTCTATTTAAAACACTGCTTCAGACTAATTTTTCATGTTAAACACTACCTCAAACCAATTTTCTATCTTATTTGGAAGTAAATCAAAAAAGATCAATAGCCCACAATCTTGACATAGATTGAGCTAAATCAGTCATTTATAGATTGAGTATATCAGTCATTTTTTTCTGTCAAACATTTGATGCGAAATCATGATTATTTCTGGGTCCACTCTTTGTTTACTAATGCCCTGAACATATCAATTCACTTTTTATTGGCAATGAAACAGTTCATTACCAATTTTAGGAAAATCATCATATTTGAATGTTTGTGGTTAGTCAAAAGTACAGATCCTAGTAAGACTGGATGGAACTGCAAACTATTCTATCTCTATACGGATGGAACTGCAAACTATTCTATCTCTATACGGATCGAACTGCAAACTATTCTATCTCTATATGGATGGAACTGCAAACTATTCTATCTCTATACGGATGGAACTGCAAACTATTCTATCTCTATACGGATGGAACTGCAAACTATTCTATCTCTATACGGATGGAACTGCAAACTATTCTATCTCTATATGGATGGAACTGCAAACTATTCTATCTCTATACGGATGGAACTGCAAACATATTCTATCTCTATACGGATGGAACTGCAAACTATTCTATCTCTATACGGATCGAACTGCAAACTATTCTATCTCTATACGGATCGAACTGCAAACTATTCTATCTCTATACGGATCGAACTGCAAACTATTCTATCTCTATACGGATAAAACTGCAAACTATTCTATCTCTATACGGATGGAACTGCAAACTATTCTATCTCTATACGGATGGAACTGCAAACTATTCTATCTCTATATGGATGGAACTGCAAACTATTCGTTTTCTTTATGGATGGAACTGCAAACTATTCTATCTCTATACGAATGAAACTGCAAACTATTCTATCTCTATATGGATGGAACTGCAAACTATTCTATCACTATACGGATGGAACTGCAAACTATTCTATCTCTATACGGATGGAACTGCTAACTATTCCATCTCTATATGCATGGAACTGCAAACTATCCTATATTATATGGAAGGAACTGCAAACGTTTTTATCTCTGTATGGATGGTACTGCAAACTATTATGGTAAAGACTTTACAGTTTATGTTAAAGTACAATTGGAGCTAGATATACTGAACTGTTAAAATTCAAGTTTACCAAGAAATTTATCATATTTTACCATAAACTTACTATTATTGTAATCATATCTGCCTCTGACACATTGTTTGATTGAAAACTTCCCATCATGAAAGCTTCTCCACCCGCTTTTGCAAACTGGGAAAATCTACAATAAAATACAAAACTCTATATAACATTTCAATATAAACAGATTAATACATTATTACAGAACTTTTTTTTGACAGTGAAAGATGTTAAAGTTTATAGACACACTTTCGAATCCATTCCTGACACCAGCTTGTACTAAGCAATGACTGTACAGTTTCTTGCTCACAAAAACAACAGCTTGCCCCTTATGGAGTTTGAACCCATGAGGCCAGCAATCCCTTGAGAGTACTAGTCTGATGTGTTTACCAAAAAATAAGTTAGTTATTCAGAGTACTATTTTTAAGTTGGGTCTTTTGTCATACTGACATTGTAAAAGTCATTATCATATATAGCAATTTTTAAGATCACCTAGTGAAGAAAGACATCAGGTGCCCCTCTGTGCAATATTTCTGTCATGAGTAGGTATCTAAGAAGAACCATTGACTTTCATGAAGCTAGAAAGATAACTTCCTCACATAAAATAGAAGGCCACCATTTATTTTGTATTGAAGCATGCAAATTTATGCTCAAATTTTCAAACTCATTGAATCTAGTTAGAGAAACAAGAGTTGTTGGTAGAACAGCATGCTTGACTATTTTCAGTGCTTGATAGTGAAATAATAGCCTGGGCAATGTAGAGTTAATGTTTCAAGTTCAAAAAGGGCCATAATTCTGTCAAAATCATTGTTAGAGTTACAGCCTTATACAGTGATCTTCGATTATGCCTTCAAATAAATGTGTGAAGATTCAACCCATTCCCTTCAGTAGTTTTGGAGATACCAACTTGTATGCAAAAACTTAACCAAAGAGTGACACCAGCACGGACACCTGTGTGAGTACAATAGCTCTCCTTATTCTGTGAATAGTTCAACTTAAATAATGTATATAAGCTTAAAATCAAATTTTTTGGCAATGCTAGGTTTTGAGATATACATGTATATAATGTAAGTGCAGATTTCAAAGGGGTTAGGGCTGGCCTGGCCATATTCTTAACTAAAGATGTTAGCAACCGCAGGTTTATGTTAGCTTTTAAATGAATTACCCCGTCAATGGTTTTAAATGCTTCAATAATCAGGCATCGAAAAGTATTTTCAGAGTCACTCGTCCTGCAGGACAAGTAGCTTCTAAATCAAATGTGAAGGCAATATTTTTCTACTCGTCCTGCATCGAATTCTCTCAAATTCTACTCGTAATTATGAGCGGATGGGGGAAATTTTCGATCCCTAATAAGTACATACCTGTTGAAACTTTTCTTCACTGTGCCGTATTTTGACATATCAGAAGGTGGTGATGTGGAACTTTTGGGTCTGCCGCCCTGTGATAAACCGAAGTTACCTTGACCTTGCAACTCCTAAAATTTCGAAACAAAAAATTACTCACACAACCTTTAACATTATTATTTACAGTGCAACCTCCGCAGAATAGAACATTTACCTCTTTACAAAAACAGAACTAGTTCTTCAAAATGTAAAACTTTATAATCAATTAAACCTCTCTTTAAGCGTCACCTCTCAGCAACAACTAAAATTGTTACTGTATCGAGGTTTTGCTGTATAAAATTCCAGTCAAAGTAAAATCACATTATTTAATTTTATTTATACCACAGTCATATCCAGGTTCATGTAATTAAAGAGCCTTTTTCAACAAATTGGAATACATAAAATGCAACTTTCAGGGAATTCATGATCAAGAAGCTTTAATTTACATAGCAATTAAAACCAAGTCTGGTGAGAGATCATGCACATACTGTTTGTTTTTCCATTTGTTCTTTCATTTTACTTTTCACTTATGTTATGTAATACTAAATTGTGTTTAAAAATTGATTAATTTAAAAAAAAAAGTTTCTAGTATTATCAAGACCCATCCATAAATACTTTGCCTAAATACAAATATATTGTAAAAGGGTTTAATATCATAAATGGTAATTTGACAGAAAAGTCAATATTATAAAATAGTAATTTGAGAACATAAACATATCGAGGATTATTTAACCAGAATACCCTGAAATATAATAAAAACATATCTGAAAACCAATCGCATATTTTATATGCACTCTCCTATTTTTTAACAAAGAGAACTTCCTTGTTTCAGGATAGGTCAAGTCTTGGGGTCTATACAATCTCTTTATCTACTTGAATTGTATAAACTATATTATAATAATGATTCATGTATAAGCATGTTATTACTTAACACAATAATGGCAAATTCATTGTTAATGACTAAGACATGTGTTGCCAAGTTTGATCACTTCCTAATAAAGTTATATAGTGCATTTTTGCTCTGTACTTTAATGTCATTAATATATTAACAATAGTCCATATTATCTATTACTACACCACTGTTGTAATTGTAATCTGTCAGTGAATTTTGATAAGTTTTTTATTATCATTTTCATCACTATCAGCACAGTCATCAATTCCATCATGATCATCATAATAATTATCATTATCATCATCATCATGATCATCAATAACAATATCAACTCCGCAATCATCATTACTGTTGTAATCATCATGATCGTCACCATTATCATCATCATCAACAACAACAACAAACATAATCATTACCATCAATATCATCGTCACCATCATCATCATTACATGGCTATTATTACATCACAATGCCATTTATAAATCACATGTTGCCTACAGAGTTTCTTATCTATGTTTTGGACTACATTTGAATAAAATTTTCAACTTAGGTAAACTCTGACTGAGATCAACTGTCGCATAAAAATTTCTGCTAGCCTGAGGATCGCATCAGTGACCCCTGGTTTAAATCTCAATATTCTACCTTTTGAGCTTACGAGGTAAGCTCATTCTCTGAACTACTTGATATCCTTTTACTTACTGTTTGATTATTAGTGTATGAACTTGATGCTCCGCCAGTGCTCGTACTTGAATGATCATCATCGTCATCATCCCAATCATCCTCATCCCATGTATCTACACTCTGCTGGGGCTCCAATCCCCCACCTCCATTGCCCCACCCATTTTGTGATGACGGGGGCGGGGCTGTGGGCATAGGAGGTGGTGGGGGAGGGAACGAGGGTTCTGGAGGCTCAATAATCTGGACAAATATAGCAAAAAAAAAATTTTGCAAAGATAATTTTTATGCAGTAAAGAAAGCATTATTATGTATACTGTTTAAATTGTTCCCGCTTTTGTGTTTATTAAAAGGCCTTGAAAATAAACATAAGTTATTTGTGAAATTATAATACTGTATTATATCTCCTCAATGCATACTAGTTTTTAGTTAAGTATATCATAATAGGTATTAATCTATTTCTTTCAAGAGAAATAGCAAGAAAATAAGGTAATGCATATCATGTTACACTTAAATGAAATTTTCTCTCAAGTTTGTATTTTTAGTAAGACCAACTTAGTCAATTTATCCAGGTTTACTTGTGAAGAAAGTGAACTTCTGACCATTATTCAGGCACAAGATTTAATAAAACCTTACATCTTACAAAAGCTAAAAAGTATGAAATTTTGAAACATTTTCACAAAAAAATCATAATAAAATCTAAATTCACCTCTACATAAGCTTGTGGTATAAGCCCAACATTTCCAAGGTAATTTCTGGCCTCCCACCAGCCATCTCCCACATCCTGAAATATTCAAGGTATTCATCATGTATCAAATATCACAAATTGACTATAATCATTATTCTAAGAGGACTTAATTCAAATGGACTGTTCCAAATTCAATAATGGAATAGAAGACTAACCAACAACTCACATTTCTTTTTGGTTTCCTGGCATCTTTATTTATACATACAGATAGATTTAGCTTTGTTACTAAGAACCTGTAAATGACTTTTCTCATGCTTTTTGTATTAATCAATTCACTCTGATCCACTTAGAAATGATATCATCCACTAGCAAATGATATCACTAGCAAATGATATCATCCACTAAGAAATGATATCACCCACTAGCAAATGATATCATCCACTAAGAAATGATATCACCCTCTAGCAAATGATATCATCCACTAAGAAATGATATCACCCACTAGCAAATGATATCATCCACTAAGAAATGATATCATCAACTAGTAAATGATGTAATTCACTAAGAGATGATATCATTCTCTAAGAAATGATATCACCAACTAACTATATTGTAATATCATCCAAAAAAAATAATATCACCCACTAAGAAATGATATCATCGACTAAGAAATGATATCATCCACTAGCAAATTATATCATCCAATAGCAAATGAAATGATTGATATCATCCACTAAGAAATGATATCATTCACTAAGTAATAACTTCATACACTAAATACATTGTAATATCATCAACTAAAATATATCATCCACTAAGAAATGATATCATCTACTAGACAACATTCAAAAGAAAGTCATACTATTTAGAATATTATTACAAAATTGAAACTTATTTTTAAATTCTGTTTTCCTAGATAAATGTTAAAACAAATATATTGTATATTTTTTTCAAAAAAAGTATTATTTCTGACAGTATAAAGTAGATATCCGAAGTATTTTTTAAATAAATACACATGTACCCAAATAAAAATGTTTGAAGAGGCATGTCTCCAAATAAGCCAACATATTTCAAGAAAACCAAACTTGAGAAAAATGTATGAAGATTTAAAGAAAAGTAAAATAAATTCAAGATTCAAGTTATAATGTTCATGTAATGTGTGAGTAATGACTAATTTTGAAGTGATTATCACTATATTTCGACTGCATGACTAATACAGTAAGTGCCATTTTTGCATATTTTTATCTCTTTTTGGTTATTTAACTGGATCAAAAGTGCAGCTTGCAATGAGTAAAATTGTACCTTTACATACATTTTCAAAATGTTCATAAAAATTAGCATAAATCTGGAGGCATGCTGCTTTAAAAGTTAACACTACTTAAACAATATCATACAAAACACTAGTGCATGTAATATAACTATTTTTTCTAAGTTTTTAATAAGTCACTATATCTTCAACTCTTTCAATGTTAATTAGTCACTAAATCTTCAACTCTTTCAATGTCAAGAGTTAATATAACAATGTTGTAACTTAATAACGAAAGTTTACTAGGTTAGTTACAGCATTGTTACCATGCAAAACCCTTGACAAGAAATGTACTAAAAAGAAAATTTCTAGGAAAGAAAACAGTTAAAAAATAAATTGACTATTCAGGTGCAGAACAGATAAACAAAAAGAGGGGAAAAAAACAATTATCAAAACAATTATCTAAAAAAAAATACACTCCAGAAAAAATTCCAGGAACACTTCAAAGCAAGCCACTGGCTTAGTCATGAAAGTTCAGAAGAAAGAGTTCAAACTGTACAAGATTATAGGATCTTAATAAATCTCAATATAATCATATAATCATAGTAAAAGGAAAGGAAAGATAACCTACAAACTGTCTGACTGCTAGAGAATCTAGTTCTAATTTGATAATGATTTTTCTATCCCACCTACATACAGCAGGGGCCACCCTGACTAAAGCAATAAAGAAAAATGACAAGATTGAGTTTTGATTTTGGCTGTGAAAACCAGGTAGCAATTTTCAATTTGTAGCCCCCAAATTTCCTAAAAAGTTAGAACCAGGCCAGCCTATTTAAGCAAAATTAAGAAAATCAATTGGAAACTAGAAAGCCGGCACCTTAACACATCTTAGGCCATAACTTGAAAAGGGCCCCAGCTTTACTTAAAGAATCTTTGGAAGCCAGGCCAGCTGCACTTTAAGCAATCTTGGAGAAAACAGGCCAGCCTGCATTAAGCAATTAGTAGAGCAGGCCAGCCCTATTACTTTTAACCCAATTTTAGTAAAGCCAGGCCAGCATGCACTTTAAGCAATCTTGTAGAGCCAGGCCAGCATGCACTTTAAGCAATATAGTAGTCATGCCAGCCTGTACTTTAAGCAACCTAATAGAGCCAGGCCAGCATGCAATTTAACCAATATAGTAGAGCCAGGCCAGCATGCACTTTAAGCAATCTAGTAGAGCCAGGCCAGTCTGCACTTTAAGCATCTAGTAAAAGGCCAGCATGCACTTTAAGCAATCTAGTAGTCAGGCCAGCCTGCACTTTAAGCAATCTAGAAGAACCAGACCAGCCTGAACTTTTAGCAATCTTGTAGAGCCAGGCCAGCAGGCACTTTAAGCAATCTTGTAGAGCCAGGCCAGGTTTCACTTTAAGCAATCTTGTAGAGCCAGGCCACATGCACTTTAAGCAATCTAGTAGTCATGCCAGCCTGTACTTTAAGCAACCTAATAGAGCCAGGCCAACATGCACTTTAAGCAATCTTGTAGAGCCAGGCCAGCTTTCACTTTAAGCAATCTAATAGAGCCAGGCCAGCATGCACTTTAAGTAATCTAGTAGAGCCAGGCCAGCCTGCACTTTAAGAAATCTAGTAGAGCCAGACCAGCATGCACTTTAAGCAATCTATTAGAGCCAGGCCAGCCTGCACTTTAAACCATCTAGTAGAGCCAGGCCAGCATGTACTTTAACCTTGCCTATGTCACCTGCATAGAGACAGGCCAGACAGCAATTAGCACTCAATGAACTTTAGTCTCTGTCCTGATGGCTGGTTATAATTTCAGCATTTTGATGCTGAAACCCCTTTACATTAACAATGGACTATTCCTAATTCAAAGCAAGGCAAGTCCAAAAATAGACATTTAGCAAGGTAATGATTTATTAGATTATATTTGCTGGTGGGCTGCAGTAAAATAAGGCTGTATCATAATTCATGCAAATAGTCAGATAGTGACATTTTGAAGTTTTATGAAACAGGCATCAGTTGCAAGACAGTGGAAAAGCAGGTAGATATTAGTTATCAAAGCAGGTAGATATTAGCTATCAAACATCAGACAATACAGGGAAATAGCTTGAAGAAGTAAAGATAGGCCGATACATGAAAAATGCAAGTAAATGATATTGCAAAGATATCCACTTTTTCATCTACATAAGTATAAACAAGAGCTGTCACAGGAGACAGCGAAGCTCGACTAATAAAATACTTGACGCAGTAAGGAAAGAAAAATCAATTATGTATAATTATGTATTAAGTTATAGTAAAAAAATAACATAAATTCCAAGATCAAGGGGAATAATTCTAGAAATAGTCACGCTAGAGTTATGAACCTTGTCACACAACATGTGTGTTATGATAAGAAACATACATTTGAAGTCTGAAGTAGATACCTTTAAAAGTAAAGAAGTTATAATATTTCTTAAAGAAAATCCTAAGTTCAAAGAGAGATAAATCTGTAAATATTGCTTCAAGAGTTATGAACATTGTCACATAAAATGTAATTGATGATAAGGAGTTTGAGGTAGAATCCTTTAAAACTAAAAAAGTTATAGTAAAAAACAACATTTTTCTAGTAAAAAAAATCTAAGTTTAAGGGGAGATAATTCTTGCAATATTGGTGCTAGAGTTATGAACCTTGTCACATAAGATGTGGTTGATGATAAGGAACATATATTTGAAGTTGATACCTTAAGAAATGACAAAGTTATAGTGAAAAATATTTTACTGCACCAAAACTTTAATCTGAAATCTGGACGCGGACGCCGAGGCCGGGGCGAGTAGGACAGCTCTCCATATACTTTGTATAGTCGAGCTAAAACATTTTTTATTTTAAAAACCCTTTCCTAAGAAGTGAAAAGTGCATCTCTATTATGTGATGGGTAAATTTCATCCACTGATGTCCCATACTATGGGTTCATAACACATAATTCTTTTTCTGTATTAAGCCTTGCTCATATCAACCGCAATTGAGGTTAACCACCTTTTGCCAAGAAATGAAAAGCCCACACAGTTCTCTTGAATGACACATTTGAGCCCACTTGAAAAGTCTCATATTGATACATTAAACCAAATTCTGTTTCCATATAAAACCCTGCACACCAATCTTATCAAGGTTACGGATTGAAAGTTAAGGAAACACCTAGTACCAGGAAGTGAAATGCACACCTGTTATGTGATGAGTACATTAAAGCCACTAAAGAATACTCTCTTTTAATAGCAATATATTTCAGCATCTTTGGTCATCAAACAATTATAAATGATAGGTGATATTCACATTTGAAACTGTAACATTTTCATGATTCTGTATGCTAATTTATTTCAAAACCTTTAATCTCATAATTTCTTTTAAATCATATATAAACATCTAAAATACCAAAATAACAACTACATGTTTACAAATTATAAAATATATAGAAAATAAAATTTTCATCTATATATCACATTTTGAAACCTTTCAAAATTTGGATTTTTTCTCTCACAATTTTGAACCAAACAATTTTTTTCCCCTGCAATTACTATTGTGAGGCATTTTCCTTCTTTTCAAGATACATATTTCATCTTTTTGTTTTACTTTATTCAAAATCTATTGCTTGTTTTTAAATCTAATGTTTTCTCATTTCAAATGTGAAGGACTATAATTATAATAAAATTATCTAAAACTCTAAAACTGTGAAGACAGAGAAACGAAGAAAAAAATAGTAAAATGTTAAAATGGGATACTGTCATTATCTAAGAAATCTATATTTACCTGCTACAATGGCATGATATAAAACAAACAAAGAATTATGAAAGAGCATTGTTTAAATAAAAACAATTTAACATAAAAAAAACAAAACACAGATCAGATCATAAAGAAAATTACAAAACAAAAGAAAGAAAAAAACTCAGCAAAAAAAATCTTGTGCAATAAAACAATGCACACTTGGGGTATTAAGAAAGAAATGACAATACTTATCAGCTATCAGAATATCAGAACCGAAAATTCAGAAGAAGAAAAAAATTAAACTCAAAACAATGCACTTTGTATTTTAAAACCACGCATTCTATTTTAAGAAGCTCTGCAGAATTTCAACAGGTATGTAAAACATGTACAAATATTTGCAAGAAATTTTAGCATTTCATTTCCGAATGTTGAAATAATTGATTAATTGATCAATAAAAAATAAGCAAATTGCTTAAGGCCTTTCCCTGTGCTGAGAGCAATAGCAGAAAATCCATCCATGCAACCAGTGCAGACAAAAATCAGCCAGCACATCCATGTAATCTGATCATGGTCTACACTGGTTGTTTTTCCATCATACATTGTACTTTAATTTTTTCCCTAAAAATGATTTTTCCCTAAAAATGATCAATGGTTAAGTCCAGATTGAAAGATGGACTAGTCCATATCATTTATTTAGTGTGGCAAGGTGTAAATAGCTAAAAGGGCAATTCAATGCCACCAGTGTGCGCGCAGTCTGACAGGATTTTTACTACCCCATTTTTTGTATTTTTGATATTAATTATAGACTTATCAAAATTCTGAAACGTGAATGTCCGTAGCAAAAATTCAACACAGTAAGGGAAAAAACAGCAGTATTTTACTGATGTAATTAATTAACCAATTCATATATCTATGCAGTGTATGCACTAGTCAATTAATTGCAACCACAGCCCCCATCAACAACAGTATCAAGGACTTTGACCATGAATTTTCTAAAACTCCTGGTCAAGGTTCCAACCTGTGGAGACATCAAATATTAAAATTCCAAATAAAAATAAGTGAGCCTTGAACTGCAATTAAGACTCATCCCAAGCCATTTTGCCCACATATAACCTGGACAAAAAAAAGGGTAAAATTGAAAATTTGGCTCATTCCCAGTACTTCCCTCAGTGGCTGCTGGGCCATGGCTACATTTAACTGGTGCATTATACAACAATATACTTCAGGACTAACACATGAACATGTAGCATATATATAATTATGAAATTTAAATATCTGATAGTAAGGGTTTAAGTGCAAATTTATTGTTTCACATTCTCAAAATAAACATAGATCATATTAAAAATTGTGATTTACAATGCATTCAAAAACTAACTTTTTTTTTCTTGTACTGTAGTCTGTAGTCATCATGCAGAAATTTTTACCATATAATTATATTGGCACTTTAATAAAGAGTTAAAAAAGCTTTCTATGAAAAAAAGAGGCCATAATGCATTCCATAAAGGCATAGAACTTTGAAAAGCATTCTGAACAGGCCAAAAGTAGTCAAAATAAATCTAAAGGCTGTGAAAACAATCATATATAGCAAAACAAACTGGAACATATCATAGCAAAACGAACCGGATCATATCATAGCAAAACGAACTGGATCATATCATAGCAAAATGAACCGGATTGTGGAATATGTGTAATGTTTTGTAAAAGTGAGAGTGTACCAACCTGCTGTACTATTGTTAAAGTTTCTCCTTCATTAAAACTAAGTTCCCCACTAGTCGTATCACCTTCAAATGTGTACAAGGCCTGTGCCTGAAATAAATAAAGAAAAATAAATCTTTTGTGAAGAAATAAATATAAATACATAATAAGTCAACTTAGTGCAATAACAGCTTAACTCATATTAAAATTAATAGTAAGTAAGTAAGTAAGTAAGTAAGTAAGTAAGTAACGACTTTATTTAATGAGGCAACACAGTTGGGCAAGCCCAGTCTTCCCTGTGGGCCTCAACAATATACAAAACAATTTACAAAATATAATACATCAATAAAAGATTAAATAATAACACAAGTAGATTTCATTATTATACATCAACACTGACATACTTTAGATCAACCTTGAAAAAAGAAGAAGAGAAAAAAAATGAGAAAAAAAAATAAAATGAGTTGATATTATATACATACATTCAACATTGAATTGGATGTAACAAAATTGAAAATTTACATACATATTAACAAAAATATTCAACCAATATAAAAAACAAATATTTATACATGTATAGCATCTAAGCAGAGGTTTCCACCAGAGAACCACCATGTTAAATATGACTTTTTGAATAGTGGAAGACTGTTTGATTGCCTGATATGTAATGGTATTTTGTTCCAGATTTTAGGCCCAGAGTAAGCAAGAGCTTTTCTGCAAAATTCTAATCTAGGTTTTGGTATATGTAGTGTCTGTTGAGTGTTTGATCTCAGAGTTGTGTGATTTGTATGTGAAAATAAATCAGACATATAATGTGGCAATAGATTGTTAATGGATTTGTAAACAAGAATTGCTTTTTTATAATGGATGCGGTCATGTATTTTTAACCAATTCAATTCATGAAACAATATTTCTGAAGGTGTATCAAATTATCAATGTCTTTGTCAAGTATAATACGGGCAGCTCTCTTTTGAAATTTGTATATGCTGTTCAGTAATTCATCATTACAATTTCCCCAAATAGTGCAGCAGTAATCAAGGTGTGGTAATATGTATGCATTATAAAAAACTATTCTCATTTGTTTGTTAAGGTACTGTTTGATACGGAGGAGAAGATACAGTAATGAGTTGCATTTTTTAATCAGCTGTTCAATTTGACAGTTCCATGATAATCTATGATCCACGTGAATTCCCAGCAATTTTTCAGAGTTAGTAAATTCAATCTCATTTTCCTGCATTTTCAAAATGTAATCATTGCTTGATTTGATGGTGTTGTAAATGATATTTGATGGGGAGATTATCATTGCTTTTGTTTTTTGAGGATTTGGTAGCATAGAGTTTCTTGCACACCAGTCGTAGATGATGTCAATGCTATTTTGTAGCGATCTGTAGACTGAGTCAATAGACGATCCAAATGAGGAGACAGTTGTATCATCTGCAAACATGTCAGTAGATGTATTTGGAAGGTTTAAAGGCAAGTCATATAGAATGAATAGAGCGGGGCCAAGTATAGAACCCTGAGGGACTCCAGATGATATTTCTTTAGCACTTGATAATTTGCCAGAGATTGAGACCTGTTGTGTTCTGTTTGAGAGATAAGATTTAAACCAGTTAAGTGTTTCCCCTGCAAACTGATATTGTGTCATCTTTTGAATTAAAAGGGAATGATTAAGTAAATCAAATGCCTTAGTTAGATCAAGAAAAACAGTGCCTACTAGTTTGTTGTCATTGATTGCAGAAATCCAAGTGTCAATGATAGATGTTAATGCTGTTTCACATGAATGATGTGAGCGGAAACCTGATTGAGTCTTATGCAATAATGAATGTGTTTCAAGAAAATTTTTAAGGTGATTACTGACATGTTTTTCTAGTACTTTGGAAAGAACAGGGAGAATCGAAATAGGACGATAGTTATTTGTATCAGATTTGTTCCCTTTTTTGAAAATTGGAATTATCTTTGCTTTCTTGAAAAGTGAAGGGAATACAGATGTAGAAATGCTTTGATTAAATATTTGTGTGAGTGGTTTTGCTATTACTTCAGCTGAGATTTTTAAAAATTTTGCTCCTATGTCATCTAAACCTGTTGCTTTATTTGAGTCAAGGGATTTGAAATAAAGCAACAGGTAATTAGTAATTAATAGGAGTTATGCTGTTACTACTCTAAATTGATGATATACATATGATATAAGTTTCAGTCATCTTTGCCACATAGATTAATAAATCAGTGGTGATTGGTCTTTAAGTCACATTGACTATGTCAAGGTCATAATGATTTTGACCTCAGTGCAGTAATGGGTTAACTCCTATTAAATTTAATCAGCAGGACCTTTTGGATCATTGATTCAAGCGCTTTATTTATTGAAGATTGAATACTGTTGAAGACAGCGCTACAGGGTGTGAGCTATGTTGCAATGTCTCATGGACAGCCTCAATAACAGCCGGTCTGCAGGTCTTGTAATTAAATGCACCAGCCGAACCTAAAGTAGAAAAGGCTGCCTTCCCATACAGCTATATCAGAGGTTGGGAACAAATTTAATACAAGCTGGCTAAATAACAACAGAAAATCTAAAATGAATTGTGTTATGCTTATATATTGCTAAATATCTTAAATCTATTTTAAACACAAGAAATTAAAACCTTCCCAATAACCAGAAGTGCTGACAGAGATGTAAATAAATGAAAAACAAATATCATGGTAGGTAATAAAATATAAGCAGGTTCGGTAATAATCGAAAGCTCAAACAAAAGCGAATGCCTGAATATGAAAATCTGTTTTGTAAGCAGTTTCAAAATGAACAAAAGTTTTAAACTTTCAATAGATTTACTGAACATGATATTACCTCAAAAATAATGAACACGTTTAACAAAAGTAAAATAATCTAGTCAATATTAATCTAGACTCAACTTATCCGCTTTAAAGTACAATTTCAGACTGTTTTCCCATGGAATTATGTGACAGTGATTCAGAGATCGTGAGATGCTTATAAAGTTATGAGAAAATTAAACATCTATGTTACATTGGAAAATATCTCATTCATGTACTTTTATCATGAGTTTTCATTTGATACCTTTGTCAGTAAGATATAACTAATATTAACATTTTGCTGAGATATATTTGATATCAATACTTCAGTAAGATTTAATACACTTAATTATATCAGGAAAATATCATTTATACAACAATCTGACAGATATATATATATATATATATATATATATCACTATTTTAGTGATATATTATTGATATCATTACTTCAGTGAGATATAATTGACATCACTATTTAATTGAGATATTGTTGATATCACTATAGTTGTTATCATTCACATGGATATATCAATATTTTTCAAGGATAAATACTTAATTATCATCACTGCTTCAAGATGATATCATTTGTATATTGATTCTTCAGCAAGATATATTTTTTCACTCATGACAACATTTTATTTAATGTACTGGTAATGTTTCCCATGGAATATAATTATCATAAATTTGCAAAAAAGACCCTCACAAGCATGTTTAAAATTTAAAGGCCCAAATTGTTACTCGTGTGCCAATTTTCTGAACCATCTTTTATTTGCATTGCATTTGAAAATTAGTAGAGATTTTGCAATTTAGTATTTTGTTTGGATGTCAAAGACTACTTTGTTTACATTTTGCTACATTTATGACTAATAATTTCTCATTAAGCTCTACTTTCTTCATGTGTAAAGCATTTTAAAGCATTCTTTAGAACTTTATAAAACTTTTGCTTGCCCTTTCTGAAGAATTAAAATATTATTTCTTTCTGAGGCATAATGTACCTTTAAATTTTCTATATCTATTCAGACAATTCTGCGAAATATTTTTCTTAAAAAGTTTCCCTGTGCATATTGCATAGTTTATATTACCAATATGTTTCTATAATCTAAAATATCAAGATAACTTAGTGATTTAGTGATTTATCATCTTTCACTTACATATGAATAAACAATAGGTTGTCCATTTTAACCCTTAGTGATAAAAGTTTATACACATATACATCCAGGATATACAGTCATGTATACACGGTGTTGTCAAAAGCCCTCTTAAAGCCTGTTTCAGTTAACAACATATGAAAAATGATTGTATCTTTCACAAGACAGACTGATATCCTTCTCTATTCTTCATCTTTATGGACAGGCTATGACAAGCTATTAGTAGGAATAGAATAAAGCGGGTACCGGTAACTTGAATTGTACCAAATGACAAGTTAACAAACTGACAGAAATGTTCCTTTCACTACTACAATATACATGTAATTGTAATGTATTTATAATATTACAAGTAATTGTAATGTATTTATAATATTACAATTTGACAACCTATTACAAGCTTTTAATACATGGGTACATCAGTCAAACTTACTGTCAAATTAACATATTAAAGGATGTAGTTTTCTCCCTTTCTTTGTTTTACACATTTAAAGGGACTGACCGGGGACCACTGAGGGTTAAAAACCTAAAAACATAACATTTATTATTAATTCTTACATAAATGAGCTGGGACCCTTTAAAAAGAAATATAATGCAAAGATAGAAAAAGAAATGTATCTTGAAATAAATTGAAAATCGTATTTTTATGCTTTTCCTAGCCCGATTTGAGTGAAAAGAGTATAAACGCTTTTCATTTTGGGTCATTATTTTCAATTTGAATAATTAATCTGGAAAAACAAAGTGCGCGAATGATCTGAAATTTTGCACAAAGATTAGTGGTCTAAACCTACATCAAATGGTACATTTATCTGGAAATAAATATTTTCAGTCCCATCATGTCAAATAACCTCAGTGGAGTCCCTTTAATGTTGTCAGTAAATTGAATGGGTCGACAAGTCCAGAATAGTGTGTACATGCATATTTTACAAATATAATAATCTTTAGAAGCTATGCATTTGTATTGCAACTGACTGACATTGTAACACTATAATGTTGTTGTTTTTTGTATCCACAACACTTGCCAGCCAGCATCAGTCAATGTCACCCATTACGTTGAGTAATAAATATACAAAATATAGGTAAGATGGATAAAGCTTGAAGTAAATAGATCAAAAATGACTTGAGGAAAGTCACTGAATACAACACAATTTCATGACTAACTAACCCTAATCTCCTTCAAATTATATATTATAAAAAGGTCTTGATCTCTCTTTATTTTGGAAATGCTATCAAGTATATATAATCTCTTGGTTCCATGGAATTTGAAATTAGGCTAACAGTAGTACAGACTCCGGCCAGACTTCAGGAAAATGCAGGCTTTGCTCGATCATTTCTATACTGATGGCATCTGACAGGGATTAAATTTCATTGATTATGGCTGCTAGCACTCCATGTGCAAATGTAAATATATATATGAATGCCTTGATAAATATTTACAACAAACAAGAAATATTAATAAGAGTCAAATCATATAAAGTTTTTACACTTTAATTACAAACCAACTAAAGATCAAACAGACCAACAAACAAAGCACTATGTCCAATTGAGCCGTGTCACGACAAAACCAACATAATGGGTTTGCGACCAGCATGGATCCAGACCAGCCTGCGCATCCGCGCAGTCTGATCAGGATCCATGCTGTTCGCTATCAGTTTCTCTACTTGTAATAGAGTTGGTAAGCGAACAGCATGAATCCTGATCAGACTGCGCAGATGCGCAGGCTGGTCTGGATCCATGCTGGTCACAAACCCATTATGTTGGTTTTGTCATGACACGGCTCAAATATTGAATCAATTACTTTTCAAGACCACAGTAACTGTTGTCATTTACATTTTTGTTAGAAGGTCCGTTCTGAATTTCAGGCGGACGCGGTCCTTTTTGTTTTTCACATACAACAAAGAGTGTTTTCTAAGTTTTTGAGGTGGCCCTTTATGGCTTTAAATTTACTCACAACACAATTATTTTGGTCTACAGCCACCTACTAATGATGACCCTTAATAAATAAATTATTGTTATTCAGGTCAAATTTGACAACAAATACTATTAACTACCTGAAAAATTACTGGGTTACTAAGCTTTCTATTTGTAACGTCAACACCATCAACGTCCCACCCACAGCAATGAGGGATGAGTGATACCTTAATGACTCTGTCAAAAAGAGGCCCCTACATTGTATACACTCAATACACTTATATAGGAAGCCGAGGCCCTTTTGCTGCATTACTACTGGTAAAATCTGACACCTGATTAGAACCAATAGCCTCAGTATACGTTTGCTATTTATTATTCCATCTTATATCTAAGTTTTGTAAAGTTTTATCTTTTTAAAATTTTAACTATCAGAGACCAACATACACTAATGGAAAAAGATTACAAAAAATGCCTGGACAAAAGAAAGCTAATTAATTTTAATTCAATAAAGAAAAACTGGATATGAAATTTAATATAAAACATGGAAAGTAACAAAATGTTGAGAAATTTCACATTCTAATAATGGTTATGTAACATTAAGCATTCAATTTTCTCTATAATGAACAGACTTAATCCAAATAAAAGCCTGCTTTGAACTTTGGTTACATGCAGAATTACATGTGTACAAGCCTTCTTAAACCATTTCTTAAGAGTTTTGATCATGCAATTATTCGATGATGAAGCAAATTACCAACAAAGAAACAGGCCACAGAGAGACACTTAACCAGAATGGGTCTTAATAACAGTCTGGCTATAATGAACTATTATGTAATCTATGATGTAAGAAGATAATTTGTACTTTTTAATTTCTCCTAATATGACATTAAGTACTTCCTTCCAGTCTGGATAAGTCAGAGGCGGGAACAAAATAAACAAGGCTATGTTCATTCTTTAATATGCAGCTTTAAATATATAAAGAATACACTTACATATTTTGATACATTTGTAAATGATTTTTCAATTTAATGGAGTCTTAAGAAGATGGCAAATTTGATGTGTATTGGTCACATGGGTAGATCTACCTGAGCAGGCTAGGGGGTTCAGATTAACAATATCCATGTCGGGCCATGTCCAAATCAAAAGGGGTCAGGGCTTCTTTTAAGTTCCAAAATTTGGAAGTAAGAGACTGCAAAATCTCTCACATTGGAAGTTACATTATATAGATAAAGAAGAAAAGACATTACATTTTGGAAGTCACAAGCCAAAATCAAGGAGTAAAATGACTCCCAAACTTTCGCCAATCATGAAGCCCTGCTGAGGGCACAAAACTGCACAGGGGAAGTAAAATTTAAAATAATCGGTTCAATTTCATTTTCTCAAAACAAAACTTTATCAACATCAAATATTATATCATTAAAACAAATAAGGAAGAGATTAGAATATAGGTTAAGTCTTCATGTTCAGTTCTTGACACTCATTCATCGTCATTCTTTTTTTTAAAAAACAAATAAAATTACTCATTATGAATCTTAAGTGATCCCATTAATAACACTCCTTAAAGTCCTTATAATAATTATTTTGTATTATTTTCATAATTTTCGGACACTCATGTTATCTGGAGATAATTCATAGAATAGGGTGAGCCAATTAAAAAAACAATCCCACTTTTAAGTCTACTTTAAATTGTCAACATTGCAAAATATATTACGCAGTACAAACATCACAATTTATCATATCTTAATCAAGCTTCATTCATATATTTTAAACATTTGACACTGGCACCTTTTTTTTGTTGCTACCCACCCTTGCACCCCACATAATACAATGTATCTTAAATAGACTTGTCCATCTTTCGAAATTTACTTGGAAAGTACTTGGAATAGCAAACAATGCAGACCATTTTTCACTATTAATAGTGTGATATTTCAATGGAGTATATAGGAGCTCCGAGTTGTTATGAAAGTTAATAAAATATATAAGCTACTTTATTATTATTTGAACCATTCGTTTTTAATACAAAAAACCCAAAATTTTATTCAATATTATAATTTCTTTATCACCACTCTTTTTTTCTTTTTTAAATTTGAACTAAAGTAGGAAAAAAATATATGCTTTTCAAAGTGTAAATGGAGCTCAAACATTGGTCCAGAAGACAGTCAAATATAGAAGGGCCAGTTAACATAAAAATTTATGTAAGAAAAATGCGAAATAAGCAATTTAATAAATATAAGGTGTCAAATTCACTTTTAGTTTCAAATACAAGACATTGTTTACCTTCAATGAACCAAAAACTGTAAAATTCAACAAGTTTATAATAACAATGCACTTAACACTTTTCAAAAATTTATCTTTTAAACAATCTGTTCAGTGTAAACGAAGATTAAAATGTAATTTTACCTTGAACATGTTTATATTAAAACCAATTTCTTGTATCTAAACAGTCATATCCATATTAAATGCTAAGAATTAAGATGACATGGTTAAACCACATACAAGATCAAACGATAATAAACATGTAACATGTTACTATACTGTACTCAAAACTTATTTTTAAAGCAGCTGCTTCCTCCATTAAAATTAAAGCAGCTGGCTCAGACATTTTCCTTTTTTTTTTTTTGGTGAAAATTCAAGCTTTGTAAAATTTTGTTTTTCTTAAAAATTATTGAACAGTAGACTGAAAAAGTACATTGTACTCTATGTCTTGTTCATTTAACTAACTAATATTTTATCACAAAGGGTCTATCCTTAACCCTTAAGCCTGCAAATAGCAAAAGATTTTACATATGAAACCAGTGCAGACCAAGATCAACAAGCCAGTGATTTTCCTCACTTAATTGGGAAGAGGCCAATTTAGCCTCTTGATTTTGGGAAAATAATCGCTAAAATTGCTAATTTGGGAAGTAAAAAAGCAGGTTTAAGTTAAGATTTTTGGGAAAACTGCATGATTTGAAAGAAAATTTCAATTGGGAAGAGGCCTTTTTATCGGAGTCTGTTAATATATAAGCTGGAAAATCACTGCAAGCACACGTATGCCATCAGGCATCTGATTATAATCATGGTCTGCCCTTTCCCTTATTCAGTCAGGCTGAAAAAAGATCACTAAAACACAGACTATCTGCCAGTAAAAGAATTATCAATAACTTAATAGCCACTTTATTTAATAGACAGTAAATCAAAAAAAGTTCATATGACTGTTTATCTATTTACTTAACACTTCAACCATTTCAAAATATTGAAAAAATCCAGAGTTCACAATTACTTTTAAGTTGAAAAATCTATTCTTATCTATTGCTTGCCACACACCAGTCTGAATCGTATTAAAAGTAACAGACTGTAGAATATGGAGACAAAAAAAACAACATACTTTCTCTTATATTTCAAAAGAGAACTTTGGATTGTGCATATTATTCTTAAATTTCTTAATTCACAAACTATTAATGAATTTTTTTTTCAAATTTGACTTTCAAATAATTGTAAACCTACAGTTATCTCATTCTAAAAATAGAAAACTATTTCAGTAAGCAGTACCAGTAGTATTTACTTATTAGATATTTCGCAATTGATGGTTTATCTCTATTTCATATTGACATTGACATTAAAAAAATTCATTTATCAGTAAGTCATTGATATCTTATGCAGATTATCTGAATTCTGATTCATGTTTTTTTTTCTCGGGCTATCAATCTTTTCACTAAATATATATATACGATATGTATATATAATGTGTTTGAAAAGTATGTCAACAATGTAACGACACCAAAAAAATTACCCAGTATGTTTGATAACATCACTAGTGAGTTGACGAAAAGACACACAAGAAAAATTTGTACCTAGTTGATGTAAACAAATGTAAAGTCATGTCACTCGTATGTTTTGTACTTCACAATGACCTTTGACATGTTAGCATGGACATTCAACTAAGCAATAAAAATCTGTAAAATTATAAATGACCATTCTTTTAAGACCAGGGCTTTTTTGTTCTTCTATAGCAGGGGCCATTTATAGACTATTTCCCCTCTGGAAAATTAATTAAAATCATTGAAAATTCAGGGGCTATTTAAAGACTAATTCCCCTCAAAAAAATTAATTAAAATCATTGAAAATTCAATTTTTATCCAGATTTTACCCTTTTGCAACAATACAGTGTTATTCTGTCCTAGGGCAGTTTCCCCAACCAGTGAAAAAAGCCCTGAAAGCAGAACAAGTAGGTTACCAGAAACTTGAAGTTATCCATTAGTCTGCAGGGGATTGATCACTGAAACTACTGCCCAGTCAACCAGTGCAGACCTGAAGATCAGCTGGCAAATTAATTAAAAGCCAACAGTCAGTGCCATCTGATCATGGTCAGCATTGTTAGCTTTTCAAGAAAGTACTTATTTTAAAATTTTCTCTCTTAAAGTGATTAATGGTTTAGACCAGATTGAATTATCAAAGATGGACAAGTTAGAGAGGTAAGGGTTATACAGGACTGGCTTTGATGAGCACAGTGAATTGTAAGATCCATAGAATATTCTGTTGGCCTTTAAAGTTGTAACCCTGCAGATAAGCTTAAAAAGTATTAGAAATTTGGAGTAGGGAGTATTTTACATATATATAACTAAAATGAAACCTGTGTTGCCCATTTAAAGCAGGTTTTCCCTTATGACTTTTAACCAGAGGTGGTTTTATAAACAATTAATTATTTATACTTAAATCTACTCCTTTTAGCAAATTTCCCCTGCTGAATTTATGAAATGGATTTGCCCAGTATTGAATTTGGAACAGTCCATTCAAAGTGTAAGGGATTTCAATATTAAAATACTAAACTAAATAGAGCCTGGTCAGACTGCACAAATGTGCACGCTTAAGCCTGGTTCTATACTGGTGGCAAAATCTTGTCACTTTTACCTCAGTTCCTGCAGGCTTAGGGTTAATAAACAAAATTCAAGAAATTTGGGTGTATATTTATACATTCAACAATACTTTGGATCATTTCTTTGCATCAATGATTTCAAAAACAATTTTAAAATACATTATTTTGTAACCATGTAATTACATCAAACATGAAACTGAGAAATCGTTCAACTGGTAGGTAAAAAATTTCTTTACATACAAATTTGAAAAAAAGGTTAAGGTTTATAATACAATGTATATAAATGTAATCGAACACTCCAGTGCAATATTGTCTTATCTCAATGATTTTAAAGAATCAATTAGTACACAATAAGGTTAACCTTAAAGCAGTACACCAGTCACCTTTTGATTTATGCTAACTTTTACAATATTCAGTTCCTATTTCTTTTTCTATAAAACAAATTCTTAAACCAAATAAAAATTATGATACTTTAATTTTACACAAAAAGTTAAAGGCCCATTATGCCTTAGAAATGCTGTTTATTTTTGGTATCATGTTACGGTTTCCAAAAACAAACTAATTTGTTATATACATGAACTATCTTTTGCATCTTTAGTTATGTTGGCAATTGGTATAATTATACATAATATTATAGTGAATTATAGTGAATTAGTATTTTGTATGGAAGTTAAAATACTACTTTGTTTACATTTTGGTACCTTATATTTAAACAGTGAACACTTAACTGCATATAAAGCGCTACTTTTTTCAGATTTGTTAAACATCTAACATGCACTTAATCAGCTAAATCCATTATCAAAATAACATTAAACACATGTTTGATATTTCTAAACAATGAAAAACATATGGATTTCTAGGCATAATGTGCCTTTAAAGATATGCAAAATTTGCCTTTTACTATTAGGGTATTATATAAAATGGTTGCTTAAAAATGCAAAGATCTTCAGAAATCATGAATTATAAGTTTATATTTCTTAAACTTTTAATACACAATGTCATGTAAGTCATATCAATTTGATTTTTTTTTAATACTAAAATTGTTTATTCATCTGGAGGAATGCAGCTTTAAATAACGATATGTACATGTATGTAAAACATGATAGTTTCTGAATATCTGGTACATGTATATATCCTGCATTCAGTGCCACAGGACACATAATGATTCAGTTCCTTATAGTCCCTTAACCACCCTTTTAGTGGTAGAGGTAAAGAAATTTTTATTTTTTCATACCAGTGTAATCGTAGTTCCCCTGCTGATTATTTAAAAATTAATTTCAATTCACAACTTCAAAATATTGTGAAAAACAATATTCAGTAAATTGAGTTGTCTACAAATTTTTTTCTCTTATAATGCCCTGCTTTGTAATGTAGACACATTTTTATGGTCAAAATGTTACATTTCAAGTTTGATAAGGCAACGTTTGCGTGTACTAAGTACCCTAAATCAATTGGTTAAAATTCCATACTTTTTTATGGTTTTAGATAAAAGTTATAGTAAAAAAACATCATATTTTGTCCAGTAATATGAAGGATCCCAGTTCTGATGTTCATGTGTTTAAAAAGCTCAGGGATCACGATTCTAGGCGACTTGGGCGACAAAGACACCTTGTCTCTCTCCATTACGCCCGGTTCGCTTAGAAAAGCGAAGAAAAAGTTGCCCTAATTTTCGATAAAAGCATGCAATAATTTTCAAAGTGCCAACATCGTCTACGCTCAGCCTGTTTCAAAGCGATTCGTTAAACGCATTTTCATTGGTTGGTAAAATTGGAAAGCCAATGAAACGCAGACAATTTTGCGAGTGTTGGAATTGAACGGTTGACATCTTCGGGTATTGTTAATTCAGTTAAATGCCAACTCATTATTACAAGTCAGATCGCATTATTTGTGATAGTTTGTTTGATTAGAACTTTTTAGTTTCATGAACACTACTACTACTAATAACTTAAATAAGGTAGAGATTAAATAAGTTAAAACAACTAAAAACATAAAAAATAATATAACAATTGTCAAGGGCAACCGGCTTTTACGGCAAGTAAGCAGAATTGTCAACTGAAGACTAAATAGTAATCAAACAGGAATCAAATCGAAAAAAATCAAATTGGAGTGTCTGACTTCGAAATTGAATTGAACCTTAGGTGTACCGTTGCAGCCCTATAATTAAGGGAAATACATGTAGTATTCAAATATGAATAATGAAGATTTTATAAAATAGTTTTCTTACCACGAATATATTCATTATTCACAAAATTAGATTTATTGGCAGATGCAAAGCAATTTAGCGTGGCAGTTTAAAAAATAATAACATAATTCCGTGTTGCTTTTACTAGACGTCGCAGAAAATGTAAATACTGTGATATCATAGAACCCCTGATATCATAGAAACTTCTAATATTGGGCCACTATTGAGTCTAGCCTAATGAATTTGGCGAGAACAGTTTGACCCTTTTATGGATTGTTTTTTTTCCTACTGTCAAACCATTGAAAAAAAGACATCCCCCATTCAAAATTATCTTGAAAGTATCCCCGTACTGCCTCTTTCCGGTCAGCTAACAGATTTTTCTACAATAACTGACAGTGAAATTATATTTAAAAAAAATCTCTTTCAATTCTGCGAATATTATCATTTTAGCTAATAAATGCACCAACTTTTTAAAATTTTACCTGAATTATTATTATGAATCGAGGACAAATCATTACTGACCCATTTTCCTGTTCTTCAAAATTTCACAACCACTTTTCAATCAGTTAACAAAATATAAACTGTACCACATAAAAATTGTCATACAATGTTAAAATATAATCAGTAATGTATTATGGAGAAATTTTGACAAACTCAACTTCAGATAAATGGTAATAAACAATTTTAACCTAATTTTAATGCCATTTTTCAATTTTGATATCTATTTGCAGTGGTAAAGCTGTCGTAATTGGGGTATGGATGAACATTTCAATTTGTATAACAGAAAAAGCATGTTCTTGTGAAATTTTTAGGATCTTAGGGTCTATATGACCCCATTCTAGTGACTACTTACTGAAAAGTTATCACAGAGAATGTATTTCCTTGGTTAAGTGACTGTTACTTTACTGATGTATTACCTTCCAATTAAGAACTGTATGGTAAAATATGTACATATTAAAATTACAGCTTTTGAAGTGTAGCAAACATAATGAATTCATGATATTGAAACAGTTGTCCAACTTAATATCCATTTCTGCAGACTGACAAAAAACTGAGTCTGTAAATCAATTATTTTTAGAAAATTATTGCGATTTGTAACTGGGTAAATAAAGGATTAGTGGAAAACACACATTTTACATATTTTGAACTAAAATGCTAGCATTTTCTTTTTTATCGCCATAATTGACATTGCTGCTGATAAATTTAGTCAAGGTGAATACAAGATGTGCTTACAGTTTGGTTACATGACAAATAAGGTCAAAAATAAAAAATTTCGAGGGATGATTGAAAAGTGGTTGTGATTGAAAACTGGCAGTATGTGGATACATCAAAATTCAAATGTGTTGTACTACTTATTCCAACTAATTGTACTACACATTGAGATATTGTGCTATATTTTGTATGGGCAATAATATATTCCCCTCTAGAAATGATTTCTGACCCATTACCAAAAATATTAAGAAATTTCTTAGCTTTGGGGCATTCGGAAATACTTTGACTAGGGCCCCTACTTGACACAGAGGGAAACATGATTATAAATGAAACAATTAAAAACAATGCACATAAACAGCTAATTTCAAGGAAAAAAAACAGTCTTAAAAACCAAATATCAAAATTGTGATGGTCAAATCTTAATCGGAAACGTTTGAATTCAAACAAAAAATTTTTTAAACAGTTAAAATACCAAAAGGGATGGATTCATAAATACCCCCACCCGCCGGGATTTTTGAAATATGGGGGCGTTGTTTACAATTATTTTAAAGTAAAATATAATATAAAAATATACATTTGCCAGTCGAATACATAATTAAAGATTACGTTCTACTGACAACATAAATATTATGCAGCTCTGATAAAACAAAAACTTTCAAAACAAATTTAAAAGTTTGACAACTACAGAAAAGTACCTGTACTTCCGCCATTTTGTTGTCAGCTGATTCATGCAGCGCCACCTTTGGGATACAAAATGTAAACAAATGCACGTGTCAGCTGTCAAAAAAGGCTGTATGTACCATTACGCTTGTAAATCGAAAAAAAATGTTTCGATGAATGGCAAAATAAACAATCATAAAATTATCCGCATCTGTTTGAATTCAGACGAGCTAGAAATGTATGACTCAAATATAATATTGTACTGTGATATCATAGGAACTGTACTCGTTCACGAAATCAAATAAAGGGAGGTACTCGTAACGCTTGTGATAATGAAACACAAGTAGCTACTTTATATCAATGAACTAAACATCTAACATTTAGATACTTTGTAACACAAGGTCGACGCAATCAGTTTCGAACCTCTTCATAGATTAAATTCGCCGAATCTGTAGTTCGTCGAAACCACTCTAATTCCTCGTGCTGAATATGCACCTACAGCACGTGTACAGCAGCCTTCGCACCAGCTGTTAAATAAAACTAAACTGTTAACTGCCATTTTTGAGAGAAATTTTAACTGATATTTTTTCTGTGACCCCAGTTTCTGTGTTCTCCCAGAACAAAAATTGAGGGTTACTGCTCTCTGGGACAAAAAAAAATAATATAATTATACATACATTACTTTTTTCTAAAAAATATTGATTCATTTTATTAACAAATAAGCCTATAGAAATAGTCCATGAATTATATTGTTTCTTAATAAATTATTTTCACATACAATTCATTTATTACACAAAGAATAACTTCAAATGACCCTAACTTTTAAAAGAAAAGAAAAGAACAAGACTAAAACAACTAAGAGGATATATATAATCATACAAATGTTAAAACTAAAATTAAACAAGGTCAACAAAGTAGTCTCTTTAAAGTTGTTAAACCATGAGACCAAATCTTGATTCCAGACAATGTTTCCACAGGACCAGCCATGAGCTTCGGTTTAGTTAGTGGCCTCTCAATAGTCTAAATCACACTTCAGTTCCAAAGGCCTTGCAGCTTTTACAAATTAAATTCACATGTGAACTAACTTCGTCGTGGACAGAGCGTTGGTTACACCTGAAACATGAAAAGCAGCAATAGCCGCAGCGTGACCCGTCTAGAAATTGTGTCAAGTGACCCAAGTAATGTGTGATTCCCAAATCAATGAAGAGAGAGAATATGATTAAATGTATTGTTGTTTGTGTCAAGGACGAGCACTGTCAAATAATCTCTGCTTCGTGGATCCTTGAGGAGGATGTGTTATTATTACTAAGACTGTGAGTATTTTATGAAGGCCCTGATTCCTTGAGGGTACACTATATAATTGTTCAATCAATATATTAAAATAAAATAAAATCATTTACAAAACCTTAACCTGCGCTCCATCCCCTATACAAAAATATTGGATTTAAGCAAAAGTGTAATGACTAATCGCCAACAAACAGTTACTGGTCGAAGTTGTCATTAGTTGGCAGTAGATATAAACTATTTTAAGTCCATTTTATAGCCAATAAGGGGTCTAAGTATAGATGCGCGTAAGGTTAAATTCTAGTGGTCGAATTTAGTAAATCATTATGTTTTTTTATTATGATTATATTTTATAAAATTAAACTTTAAAAATCACATTAAAAATGTTTCAAAACGATTAAAATTTTAAGTTCTAATAGTTTTTGTTTTTATCTGAATTATCATTAAGGCCGCCGCATTAAGAAAACGGCCTCACATTTATCCCAAGATTTCACACCGTATATCTTCATTAATTTTTGCTAAATAAGTTCCCCGCTACAACACTAATTTTCAACTTAGGTTCGTTAAGCCACCATAAAAACCAATGCGGGTAATTATAAAATGGAAATAATAACATGCTAACATTGTGTTGTTTGTTTTTTACCCCCAGATCACTTTGAATATCTGGCCCAAGCCCTATATGATAACGTACTCGGTATTTTGATATTGAAAACCCTTTAACACCGAAAAGGACATGCAGTTCCAATAAATCAATTATTTATATTTACTGCGGTCGTAACTTTTCATGTAACACCCGATATTAATTCTGGCATGAAATGTACGCGAAAACATGATGACAGAGGTAGGAATTGCTAAATAATTAAAATTCAGCTAAAACGTGTCTCCATGATGTCGAAATTTGTCCTCATTATGCCGAAGTTCTTAGCAGAAACATTATATTTGTCTTATTGCAAAAAAAAAGTGACGATAGGACAATGTAAAATGTTTTACTTGAATGTCAGATTTGCCCCTACTACCTAGCCGATTTTAACATCTGTTTCTATACACTTCAAAATGTGAAATGTTATCTAAAGCTGATTTTAATACGATACGATAATTTGTGTTGTATTTAGATGTGACATTCCAGCTTTACTTTTGGGATTGAAAAACCCGTGATAAAGCGCAAAACAAAATTTAACAGCAACAAATTTAAACAAAAATAAAACTAAAAATAAAACCCAACAAGGCCAAAAAAAAGTTAAAAAATTTAATTAACGTTATAATTAGTCGTTACGCTAAGAATTTACCTTTTTACCATTTTCGCAAGTTTAAAGGGGAATCAACTTAAGACTATTGTTGTATTCTTTCCTCTTGGGTAGATTTGCCCCTTTTTAATTTGAAGAATCTTTACAAATAGTAACAAGCGATATCATTTATGTAGCAAAAGCCCATTCGTTTGGGGTGACATTGCAAAAAACTAAAGCAAGAAAAAATAGCAGCCAGCCAACAAACAAAAAAAAACCAAATAATATGAAAAGAAACCCAAAACTTTACAACCCCAATTTTTATGAAAGAGCCATTACAATACGCACATCGTGCTAGTACCGACGTTATGTAAGCTAGATAGATAGTTTTCTCATTCTAAATATTAGCTATAAAACGTTTTTATTTGCTTTCTGCAATGACGAAGTTTATCTATTTCTATCAGCAATATACGGATAACGTGGTATTTCTTTTTCTTCTTCAAAGTAAAGCCAATAATTGTCTCTGGTATACAGGCACTTACTCAAAACATTGTTATTTTTGCTTAAATTTGCTTACATATGTTCGTCTGCTTAGATTTTTTGGTTGTGCGTACATAGTGTATTCTTTTATTGATAAACTTTATTTCAATCTCAATTTATCTTTTCTTTTAACAGTTTCTTTTTATGTATCATAGTTTTACTATTTGACAAAATTATGCACACATCTTTTGGTCAAATCACTTTTTCAGCCGTTTTGATTTCTGACGCCTATTCCGTATTATGTTTGTTTGCAAATAGCTTTTCTTTCTCTGTTATATAGAAACAGACGTTATCAAATAACGTTTCTTGTAACATGTACATGTCACGGCTTTAATTATTTTGATTAATTTGTATTTTTTTTAAAACCGTGTACATATAGAATCAGTTACCGCCAGCAGGCTAAATGTTACAAAAACTTTTATTGAACATTTTTTTGGCAAATTCTCAGAAAAATTCAACTGATTAAAAACAATCGGAAACCAAACTTTGATCTGACAGTTAAAGACTTATTTATTGCTCAAAAACACAGCAGCAGCAGATTCTTTTTTTCTTCTTTTTTCAAAAACTTTCAAGAGATGCATGTATTAGACCTACACATATTGTAATCAATTACTATGATCAACTTCAAACTGTTTCTTAAAATAGTTTTATTTTGCAACTCTTTTATAAGAAGGGCTCCACGATTATGTCCCTTTTAAGATTTCATTCAAACCATTGGTAACATTGGGACCATGGATGATTCAATGGACTTTAAAGCAGAATGGTCTTATCAAAGGTCTCGAAACTAAATAAAGGTCTTATTGCAAACTTAAAAGGACAAAAATCAGTACTGTGTCTCAGTCTCAAAACAACCATTACAACTATTTGATCAGGGATGGGCCAATGACTTAATAAAGCAATTAAACAAATTACAATTACTTTTCAAAATCTTCATTTTAATTAAGAATTTAATTATTCATATTTATAGTAGTAATCGGTTAAATAAAATTACTTTAATTTTTCATTTGTTGCTGTATAGTTGGCATTAATGTCAACCTGGATATAATAATACATGTACCGTATGTCCTCGTATGTCCCCGTTCATAAATTATCAGCACAACAATTCTTTGCAGACATTCTATTTAAAAATCGTAAAAAACATTGGTTACCAAAAGATGAGAGATCATTGATAGAGTTGATTCTTAATTATTCCAGGGTCTTTCAAATAGAAATATTTGAAAGACCCTGATTATTCCTATACATCATGGCATTTATCTGTTTTACTTACGAAAACATCTTCGGTCGAACTATTTCTGTAGTTGTCTATACATACTGGTGTCACCCCGGTAGGGATTTGGACCCTGTCCGTTGTAGAGGAGTTCTTTTAAATTTTGAATTGGCCTATTTCAAGTCATCTCTAGTGAGACTTGCAATTAATTTGTGTACAGGAATAGTCATTTCTTTGTATTTTACAATTACTTGTGCGTATTTTTGCAGGACTTCATCTCTGGGTGGTAGGTTTCAGGAAATAATAACTACTATGCACAAGAAAACATATCAGTTGTTACTTGGAATATATTAGTTACACAAATTAAAAAGACGCGAAAAAAGCCAAAGTGCTGATGGGTTGAGCTCCTACTATAATCATCTAAATTGCGGTTTGTAATTGTTTTAAGTCATTGCCCATGTGTGAAACGTATCACTTCCGGTAGGGTTTCAGTGAAAGTTTCATTTTTTACAACTGAAATAATTTGCTGTTCCTGGCTTTAATCTGTCTTATTGCAAGTAACATTTGCATTCGAACAGGATCTGACTTGTTTGAAGTTTGGTGCAGGAAAAATGGAATGTTTCTACCAGAATGTCAGAAAACCGATGGACGTTGAAGTAGAGTATCAGTAGGTATCCCCACCCACATCCTGGAACGTTCAGTTTTAATTGTACTTAACTCTTTTTAGTTATGCACAGTTTTTTTTCTAAAATCTTTAGGAAAACAAAATCAATTAATTGTGTTTTCAATTTAAAAGCTATTGTAAAATCCAATCTTAGATGTGCAACGTGTGCTTTGAACAATCCGGGTCAGCTCAGCCCTAAAACGTACTCGGGCCCCCCCCCCCCCACCCCGAGTCAGCTCGGCCCTATTCCAACTCGGCACGGGTCAACTCGGCCCACTTTTTAATTATTAATATTTAGGTTTGTGTTATCACTATTTATTGTTATTATGAAATTATTTACAAAACACGGATTGACAGTTTCAGAACTAGCAGCAGACAGGCTTTTCTTATCAGTAGAATTGCGAGTAAGATAACCGATTGCGTATCTCCGTGTATTTCTGACTCGTGGTAGGTTTAACCGTAAATTTAAATACCTTCAGTGTCAAACAATGTGTTGAAAATATATACTGAGAGGAAGCTAAGACAGTCCCAGTGAAACTTGAAATGATCTTACAGGACAATAGGTCCTGTGAAACCTGGTATTTTACAGGACCTCGGTGACAATTACAGGACCTAAAAATGTTGTATAATTTTCCCCATTTATAGTGATTATTAGGGATAAGTGTTTGGGGGCAAGTGCATACAAATTGCATTTTTGGAAGTGTTGATAAACCATTTTAAATAAGTTTGACTAAACATTAGGTTGACTAAAACAAAGCATGTACGTAAAAGTTTATTAAATATTATTTTGTAAGAATAAACAGCAAAATTACAAACGTTGTAAAATGAACTGAATGCTTGTAGGCAGTCTTATGTTTTTTCTTCTCATAGGTTTCATGTAGCTTGTTTTGATTTAGTCACTGCAGCCAGCTAGGTGACTTTGTGCTGAAATAAAAAAAAAATAAAAACACTTTTTTAGTAAATCATATAATTCATCAATTTCAATATCTCAAAAAATTATTTCTTGAAAGTTCAGAGTCCTAGTTAATATGAACTTAATAAGGTTCATGTGGATGTTGTTTTTTCCCACTGAATTATAAATAATATTGTCCTCTTATACAGTAAAGACTGTTTACAGTGACCTTCGATGGGAGAAAAGAAAAAAGGTCATTATAGACAGGGAGTCACTGTGGACAGTCTCTACATAATTCGGATATATGAACATATCATACCAATATTTTGTTGAAAAGCAGGATAGTACCATACTAAGGGTTTAATTATATTTTTATTGATATTAAACATATCAAATATCATTTATAAAAAAACAAGAGAGTATTAAAATTGCATGTATAATTGGTTAAAATTATAAACTACACCATAACATTAGTATTTAAAAGTTACATATTCATTAAAATGTAATTTATATTGATAAATCTGTTTGTAAAAAAAATGTTTAATTTCAATTTTCAATCAGCCTGATTACTTTACGGAGTTCAATGTATTAATAAACATTAGATACAAATCTCCACATAATTTCTACAGAAAAGTGCTATGAAAAAAATAACAATCGAGGTTTGAAACATAACCACACCTTTAAGACGTTTAGCATTGTTTATCTTTACTCGCCAAAACACCGCAGCAATTATTTATATGCAGGTGTCTTTTATCATTTTATCGGCGAAAATTGATTGAATCTGTCGCCATTTTGTGTTATTGTCAACAAACAGCAACAGTGTATAAGCGTGTCGCCGATTGGTCAATGCAAACTGCCGTAGATACAACACGCGTTCTGATTCGCCAATCGCATGAATACGTAATGAGAAAGATAAACATAGTGAACTTTTGCCTTGCTGCGTGTATTGATCTTTGTTGTTGTTGACATGCGTTCTTAATTAGCGGGTTTAAAGGTTTTAAATTTGGTTTTTCATTTTAGAGGAAACAAATTTTTTAACGACCCAGCGGCGTAAAAAAAGTATTTTAGGAAAATTTTTTAAACGGGGGGACTTCAAAATTTTTCTTCGAACAAATCGCTTTATCCGAAAGGGGACTTCTTCGCCAAAGTTCCACCCAGTTCCAAAACCTTGCTCACCCTTCAAAAGGGCGCGTTTATGGCTCAAATACCAAAGGGGGACTAAATTTATGGTTTGTTGTACGGGGGCAGACAGGGGGTCGCAAAATACAAGGGCCCTTTTTTAATTTTAAAAAACTGGGTTTGGCCACCAACCCATGGTCACTAAAAAACAAATGTCGCTATATACAGGGGGTCGCTAAGACAGTCTTTACTGTACTATCAAACTGCATCCGCTGCAAATTAAAATACTTTAAGTTACATTTGATTCAAGCATCACGATCATCGTCACAAATAAATTTTAACTTCTTTTCAATTTTTTACAACTGTTCTTACAGAAATTCTTATAAAGAATAATCATCGGATATTCACTACTTCGAGTGTTTACAGAAGTTATTTACCTATCATTTTCATTCTCCATTGACGCATTTGACAAAAAAAAAATGTAAAGAGGCAACAAGTTTTTTCAAAGCAAACATACATGTATATCAACATGATCACTAAACTTACCGACAAATGTATGCACTAAGCAAATTTATGCGCTATGTATGCCCCTTAATGGTCTTAATGAATCGCCGCTTATCTGTTAATATTGTTGTTTGTTGATACATGTATTTGATCGGCAATTATCAACACTCAGGAGATGTCACCTGTTCACTTCCAACATCCGCTCATTTGTTTTCGCCGCGTTTCATTGGTTTTCCAATTATACCGACCAATGAAAATTGGTTTCACAGACCGTTTTGATATAGGCGGAGCGGCGTGGAAGATTTTGACATTAATTTGGAAACTTATTGCACGTGTTTATCCTTATAAGGGCGACATTGTTTTTGCTTTTCTAAGCAAACTGGAGACAGAGCGCCTAGAAACATGAAAAGTGTTTCTTTTTAATAGTTCTACTGCTAAAACAATATACTGGACAGAAGGTCCGGAGAACTTTCTAAATTTGTCAGACCTTTCAAAAAATTACGGGACATGACCGACGGTCCGACGATGTCACCAGCGTGTAACAAATTTTAAAATCGTACATTTAATCCCCACAAACTAGCGATTTAAACATGGCTAAATTTGCATTCTTTTGCAAGCGAAGGGACACTAAGGGAAACAACTCTTGCTTTTTCACAGAGAGAGTTAATAAATATAAGACAAATAAATAACAATTTAATTTAAAATATACTTTATTTCGGCAGAACTACAATGTATAATTATATAATAATAAGATATTTCTTATTATTCATTTACCTTAACAACATGCAAAGCAAAGTTAATACGTTATATAAATTTTTGTACAGTGGGCCGATTTGACCCGTGTTGAGTTGACCAGTGCCGAGTTGGTATAGGGCCGAGTTGACTCTTTTCCGTGTGCTTTATAGTAAAACCAAATTATTTCAGACTTCATTGGCTTGTAATAGTTTATGTCGGTCAAGCCCAGAAGCAGAAATTAGCTGTATAGTACCGAGATTAAGCCTGGAAATTGCATGGAAGTAAATCATCACCACTTTGTGCTTCAGTGTTAAGATTGTCACATGTCCGAAGTCTGTAGGCCTACTCAGGTGCTTTTTGTGTCCTCAGGGGTGAACATACCCTCATTTTAGATTTCATCATTATGTTTGGTAATGGCATGCATAGACAACTGTATGCTTCCATCTTGCAACCATATACTAAAATTCATCCCTATCACAAGCTATTACTGAGACAGTGTTTCCGCTACTCAGTGTTTTTGCGTTAGACACAAACATTTCACATGTGACGCATGAAATTTTCAAAGCGCTTTTTCTATGATGCAGTTATAATCTACCTTAATTGGATGTCTTTACATTAAGTTATTTCTCCAAATATTATTGCCATCCCATTTAATATGGTAAATTATTGTTTGAGTATCTGAAATTTATTTATTTCCGGTAACTGCGTATAAATTGCTAACCAATTTGTGTTGCTATAGGCACAACTTCTTAGTTAAACTAATAAGCCTTGGTTCTTCCTTAGAAGATTTTTCGTTTGCAACCGCAGAAAGTGAGAAATTGAAGATAAAATGTGAAATCAAACAGTTCTGAGATTTACATTTGTAGTTTTTACTTTTTTTTAAATTTGACCCTTCATAATTACAAATGACCCATATTTTTAAACAGAGGGTCACAAATGACCCCCAAAAATTCTAGTCTGGCAGAAACACTGCTGAGATAGTTAAAGTTACATTGTTGAAATGTGAGCCTTCATTCTTGGCATGAGGGAAGTAATATTCAGTACCATGGAGAAAAAAGTTGCTTTTTTGGGGGTAAATGTTCTGTTGTCATATTAACAGTTTGCTGGTTTTGTTTCAGGTAATTGATGGAGGTGACTTAGACATTAACTTTTTTGTACAATCTCCTGATGGACGAGTGCTTATTTCAGAGCATAGAAAAACAGACAACTTTCATAAGTAAGATTTGAAGTTTCTTCATGTTCTCATGTATCATGTATGTTGTCACAATGACATTGTCATCCTTGGCAAAACAGTGGAAAGTATTGACACATTTTTTTAGGCAAATTAATTTATGCATTAGAAATCCATATTTTTTTCAATACTTATAAAATGTCAAACATGTGCTTACTTAATAATGTTTAGATAATGGATTAAGAGCATGTTAGCTGTTTATGCCCTCACAATGTGGGAGCATATAGCGTTGCACTTGTCCGTCAGTCCGTACGTCTGTCCGTCCGTCCGTATGTCCCGAAATCTTGTGAACGCAACTCCTCTTAAACCGGATGGCAGATTTTGCTTAAACTTACAGGGATGAACAACCTTAATGTGTAGGTGGTAGTAAAGGAAGGAATTTTTGCTGTGACCAAATTTAACAGAATTATGGCCCTTTGTTGATTTTTTCACTATATACCAGTGTTCGCGTTTACTGAGTAAACATATCAATTTACTTGCTAAAATTGCCAGGGAGGAAAGAAAAAAAGGGCTGTTGAGTCCCTGGGACGAAACACTTTTTCCCCAATAATTGGTCAATTCTCTCTTAAGTTTTTTTGCTCTGCTTGAAAATGATTTTCTATTCACTTTAAATAAATTGTATTATAAGAACTTGATTTTCACCTCATTTTCATTTGTTCCTTTCTCATTAGCAATGCAATTTATATCCCAAACGTAGACTAGGAGCAAGTGCTCGGCCTCATTTTGGGCCAACCTATCAATGGTATCCGCGAACATCAACAGTCTCAAATTTGATTGTATTATGAAGTTATGCAAACATTGACATTTTTGTAATTGAGGACTCGTTCCATTTGAATTGGGACGTAACAGATCTATTAGCACTGAGTCCCAGGTACTCAGTAAAGTTAGGGAAAATCGCTAACACTGATATACTATGTGGAAATTTTGTGAACTCAACTCCTCTTAAACCGGATGGCAGATTTTGCTTAAACTTCCAGGGATTAACAACCATAATGTGTAGATGGAAGTAAAGGAAGGAATTTTTGCTGCGACCAAATTTAACAGAATTATGGCCCTTTGTTGATTTTTAGTTTTCAACTTGTGGCACATGTAGTCTAAAAAATATTTGACCTAGAGTCATAAGATTGACAGAACAGTGGCGTGTTGGGGCATCCGTGTCCTATGGACACATTTCTAGTTTTCAACTGAAACGTTACGCTGAACATGTAGTTATGTGTCATAAAGGTAGTATAATGTCAATGAAGTAGTATTTTGACTTCCATACAAAATACTGATTCACTATAATTATACCAATTGCCAACAGAACTAAAGATGCAAAAGATAGATCATGTAAATACCAAATGAGTATGTTTTTGGAAACTGTAATAAGTCAAGATACAAAAAATAAACTTTTTTTTTGAGAAATGAAAATGATAGCATTTCTGGGGCATAATGGGCCTTTAAGTTTTGATTTACTTAGAAAAGGCCAGATAGCTTTTTATTTTCCAGAAATGGTATTTACAGTCCTTTTCTACTATTCTTTCTGCAGTATCTGACGTAACATTTATTGTACTTGTGAACTTTCATTGATTGGAGTACGATATGATAATCAAATGTTAATTAGAGTTTCAGCATTCCATTTAAATAGTTTCAATCGGTCACATTTGATTTTAAATTAGAATTTTAATAACAAACAGTGTTAAGTATATACACTGTAGCCTCGATATATCGCTAATCTCAGTATAGCGCTCATAGACCTTGGCTCCCAAAATAAAAAAAATGAGAGCCTCGTTAGAATGCGCTGTTAAGACATTGGACCCGAACATGAGCGTTATAATGAGGCTGTAGTGTATCTTACTTTATTTGATAATTCATGCACAAAAGTTTTAGATTTTCTTTTTATATGCTACTTCCTAATAATATCTACCACATTTTTATTAATTTTGCATGAATTGATGTTGTTTTTTTTTCAGAGTAGAAATTCCCGAGGCAGGTGACATGAAAGTTTGTTTAGATAATACTTTTAGCCACTTTGCAAGCAAGATTGTATTTTTTGAGCTTATTTCTGATGATGAAGATCAGGTTGGGGACGGAGATGAAGCTGCGGATTGGGACGGTGCTAAGGATGAAATACATGAACTTATGGATATGACTATAGAAGAATTGAAGGTATTTGTTATTTTTTATTCGAACACAATCTGCATATTTCCCTATTGAACATAGAAGAAGCGAAAGTGTGTATTATTATGCAATAAAATAACTGTTTGAAGTTCTATATTTAGACATGTGACGCGCTGAAAATAAGTACGGAAACAAATCAGGGGCACTTTAGCTTAATATCAGGTACGGCAGCATTTATTTGATAATGTCGTGTTAAAATCGAAATAACATATCCAAATCGGTCATTCGGATGCAATTCATTATATCACTTGGGCTGCACCCTCATGATATAATTCCTTGCATCCAAACTCCAAACAGTGATTTTATTAAGCGATAAAATCACAGTTTGAGATATATTATTTCTTAAACATAACACACAGGACTAGGGACCTAGTTGTTTAAAAAGTCGATAGCTTAACACAGGGTCTGAGAATTCAGGTATTAATTGGCTGAAACCTATGTTTCTTTTTGATGATGAACTTCAAAAATTGAATAAAGTCATAACCGTTTTCTTAATGAATGAAAGATAAGTTTGAATTAAAGCATCAGTTTCAGTTGATAAACGTAAAAATTAATTTGAATATTAAACATGATCCTGACCATGATTTAATTTGGTGTGTCAGTTTCAAAAATGACATTAAGTTGATTATCAAAACACATTTTCTAAGCAAATAATGACCTGAACTTGGCACAAATTCAATCACCAATTGTGTATCTCTGATAATGTACTTTTGTGAATTTTTTTACATTCAGAGTATGCTGGACAAGATGGGACAGAATTTAGACAAGTCAAGAAATTTACAAACAGTTTTAAAAATGTTCGAAGCTAGAGACAGAAATATAGTGGAGTCCAATTTTGACAGAGTCAACTTTTTGTCTTGTGTTCAGCTCTTCATAATGCTGTCTGTTGGACTTGTTCAAGTGTTTTTGATAAGAAGTCTGTTCGAAGATAAAAGCCGCGTTGGCGGACTTATGAAGTCAAAAACGTAACATGACATAGGGCACGTATAGGTTCTTAAATTGGTGTTGTTTCTTTTTTACAACAACCGCTTTATTATGATCATGGTGAGAGTGATATTTTATGGTGTTTACATACATAACATACATATTTACAGTTTACAGATATGGTAGTTATTATAGAATTGTTTTCAGTGTTTTATTGTGTAAACTGTATTCTCGTGTCACATGACTTTAATATCTACATTTTGTTAAATTGACAGGCAAAATTTGAAAATAATTTGTGTCTGAAAAATGGATAACTGTTTTTCTTTCAGATCATTTATAGTTTTTGTATAGCAGATTAAAATTGTTAATTCTTTCCTCCAAAAAAATTGAATACCTTGAGCTTAAAAAAGTCACTTTTAACTGAAGCTTTTCATTTATCAAGTCATGTTAAAAATGTTGATAACCAGTATTTGTTGATTACAATAACATGCTTTGAATCAAGAGATTTGATTCATATTTCTGCTGGTCTTATAAACAAAAGTAGATGTTTAAAGTCCTGTGTTGTGCGCACACAGTATATACAATGTTAAGTTGAATGAATTTGTAAAAAAATGTCATTTTTAAAAGATATTAATCCAGGTATTATTGGCCAACGAAGATATATGTAAAAAGAAATGATTTGATACAAAGGTGTTTTTTTGTGTGTACATTTTGCTAAAGAATTTTTTAATTCAGGTCCTCATTATTTAAAACAAAGAATTATTTTTCAGGGAATTGATGTATTCTCTCCTTTTAATTGTTTTAAGAATCACTATTTCTAAAACTTACATAGAAACCAAAATGTACAGTGTAAGATAAAGAGTAATTTACGAGAATGTTCTGAAGTGCCTGAAAGGAATGTATAAAGATCTTTGTATTTTTATGCTAAAGTATTATTGTACTGTGCAGAAATCAAGCATTTGAGCTGCGTCATGACAAAACCAACATAGTGGGTTTGCGACCAGCATGGATCCAGACAAGCCTGTTTCTCTGCGCAGTCTGATCAGGATCCATGCTGTTCGCTTTCAGTTTCTCTACTTGTAATAGGGTTTGTAAGGGAACAGCATGGATCCTGATCAGACTGCGCGGATGCGCAGGCTGGTCTGGATCCATGCTGGTCGCAAACCCATTATGTTGGTTTTGTCATGACGTTGCTCAATTTTCTGTATTTGTAAGATCTCTTGATATAATATTGTAAAATATGTGGGGAAATTATTGTGCATTTTGTGTTTTAACAGATAGGATGTTATTCATGTAATCGTATATCCGCATTGTCTTAAGATTCAAGATTCATTCCAACATTTTCCTGCCTAGAACCATAGATATTGTGCATGTTAATTGTTTCTTTAATCCTTACTATGCTGAATTTGTTAAATGGACTTGTCCTTTTGTTGTTGTCCATTTCTAGTTTTGGGACTGCCAATTGTTGTAAGGAGGGATTTTCATTAAAAGTTAAAAATTAAGCAGGCCATTGTATAGGGAGTGTAATCAGGCTGCAGGGATGTACGGGCTGGCCAGGCTCTATACTGCTGGTGTAATCAAGTACCTGGTAATTATGTCAATGGTTTGTATGAGTTTGGCCAATCTCTTTACTCATCTGTTGAGTTGTTGAATTATGAAAACTGGTAAAAATTGCATGGCAACAAGATAAAATATGAATTTTTACAGTAATGGAAATTTTTTACTAAAATTTGGTGAAAATTGTCAATTTCTGCCCAAAGGAGTCAAAAGCCATTGATATGTCTTTTTGTAAAGAAAGTAATGAGAGATGCCAAATTTTTACAAGCCATTGAACTTGGATAATATTCGCTAGTACCATGAACAAATGTTTGATACATATTTTATGTTCACCAAGGTTATTTCTATCATGAAATTTTTTGAACAATATTTTTTGTTAATGTCTATTTAAATTTTAGAATATTTATTGCTATACTCCAATATTTTACATATTAAGAAGTTTTTTCTGTTTAGTATATATTAATTGAACAAATTCCTCCATAAAATGCTCATATATTTACCATGCTGAGGCCTATATTTAATGTATTGTTTACAATATTGTTTGTTGAAATGATTTTGGTCAGTTTTGCTTTTTGATACCTGCCATATGTAGCCAGAGGCATTTTAGAAAGGAGATTTTATATTTGCTTTTGTGAATATCTTTTATTGCTGGAGTCCACGACTTCTGTGGTGGCATATAAACAGAAATGTAAAGCTTAAAGGCAAAAAAAAGCATGTACAAAATATTAACACATCTCATAATGAAATAGTATTTGAAATGTAGTTGAATACATAAATGACTTCATGATTATTGATGTCCCACCTTTGACTTGTGCACAAGAGAGTCAAAATATTAAATTTTCTTGAGCATACTATGCATTTTGTGTGTAATATTCCGTCAAAGCCACAATGATCGTACCCATACTGTGTCTATGTAGCAGACTGAAGAAAAGGTTCTATCAGTACGAGGGTTTGACAAGAACATATTCCATTCTTGGTTTCACGTGTCTTAATATCTCATTCATTTGTGATATTTTCAAAAAATATAAAATTTGATGATATGTTATATATATGATTTACATTGGTAATTTGTGTTCTTGCTGGGAAGATATGATAAATATTTTCATCCTCATATCTTCATTTTTGTCTTAGAAGGTTCAAATGTTCCCGTTCAAGGTGCTGATTTTGACTTTTTTAGATATCAGTATTCAAACAAATTATTAGATATATATGTTTAGTTTAAAGGCTCATTATGCTTCAGAAACAAATAAATTTTTACTTCTTTATAAGGGCAAACATGATTTTAAAAATAGAGAGAAATAGGATCCCTAAAGAAAGTCCAAAACGGCAAAATTTAAAATGTTGCAGGCTTGGTTTGATTGAACCCGTTCATGGACAGTACTGGAAAATTGCAAGCTACTGTTTCCACGCCCCCTAGCACAGGCTTAAGCAGTATTCAACATTTAAACATGTAATTGCAAAATTTTGAATTTGATACATGGGCAGATGTGTTCATACTACGGTAAAAAAAATACATAATGGTTTTAGAGCATGTTAGATTTTTGTTACCTGAAAAAAGTAGAGGTAATTGTTAAATTATTTGTCATAAAAGTAGCAAAGTGGTATTTTGACTTCCATACAAAATTCTAAATCACTACAACTGTATTTATTGCCATACAGCAACAAAAGAGAAAGATAGGTCAGGTTATTGCCCAATGAGTATCTTTTTGGAAAATATAAAAGTACACCAGAAATAAGAAGCTTTTAAGAAATGATACTGATAGCATTTCTGGGGCATAATGGGTTATTAAAGCAAAAATTGAATAAACATGAGTTTTATGGGCAAAGTTAGTGGTATGTAAAGTTTGTTGTTATTGTTGTTGTTTGTTTTTTAAAGAAATAATCGAAAATATTTTTCAGGTATGGAATTTTTGTTTTATTAAAAAACCTCAAAAAACAATAACAACAAAAAGGATAACAACATTGAAAGGTGATTAATTAATGGAAAATAATTTCAGTTTGATACTGAATTAATTTAGTTTTATTTTTTTCTAGAATTGAAAGTGGGAGTAAAAAGTTAATGTTAGTCTTACAAATTTTTTTTAATGTGATGTGTTTCTTATGCAAATCCAGAGAAATTGATTCTGCTTGTTGTTTTGCTGTATGTAGATATTTTAAGTATTTTACGAGTTTTTCTCAAAAACTTGACCTGCAGAAGAAAGAACTACATGTTCAAAAAAGACTTCTTTTCGTTCAAGAGTTTTTTTGCATGGCAAAAGATGCAGACTATCAATGTTGTCCAATAGCATGCTAAATGCTGATTTCTTTTTGTATCATGTCTTAAAGGTGGGTATGTCTTATACGTGGATTAATAAAGATTTTTCTGTCTTTTAAGACCAGGAAAAAATGATATTATATTGTTGATTGTGTGGGATTGTTTTATATGTGGGTGCATCCTATAGTTGGATAAATATGGTAAATATTTTTAATGCTTGAACAAATTATTGTCAGATTGTTGCCTATTTGAAGCTGTGTCTTATAGGTGGATGTGTGTTATGAGTGAATGATTATGGTAATTGTTTTAAACCTGGGAACATAGTATGTTATATTGTGCTGATTTATTGTTATAATAAAAGTAGATAATGAACAAAATTACATGATGATATGTAATAAAGTTATAGATGTGTGAAAGTCTGAACAAGTTATTATGCATTTAAAGAATTCCAGTGAAAAGTGAAGAGATCATATGAATTTCATGCAAGTGAAAGGACAATTTATCATTCTGGTTATACATTATTGTGAAATATAGCATTTAATTTATGTAATGATTTTTTTATGACAATGAAGTGTGTCTGTTTAAAAAAAGGGCAGGTTTTCTACGTTTAGGCAGTGTTTTCTGTTCTCTTAAATTTGAAGGCCTATTGTCTTAAATTTGAAGACATGTATAATTCTTAAATCTGAAAATTTTTCTCTTTGGGTTTGTTTTGTTTTCAGCTTTTTTTTAACCATTGAGGTGAAAGTGAATTTTTTGTATACTAATTGTGCTGTAAAATAGCTTCCACGTAGATAGGGGAAAACATGTATATTGTTTGTAATAAAAAAATGTACAGATTGCCATATGTTTCCTTATACAATGTAGATATTTAACAATGAAATCCATCTTGTTATACTTACATCAAATACATCTTTTTAATTTTTTTGTCACAGGCGTGAATTTACAGAGAAATCTCGTAAAAAGTGCAATTTGTATTTGTTAGTATCTAGGTATTTAATACTGGAACTAAAATTCTGTTGATTTAAATGTATTTTAATTTGAATTGATTTGCTTTTTTTGCCATCTTAAGCATTGTATAAAGCTTGAAAATGTATACATTACAACCTTTGCAGAACAGCACCCCTTGGCGAGGTGAAGATTTTGGTTGTTGTTTACAGGTGTTTGCTTGAGAGGGGTTGAATATATATAAAGTCATACTTTCTGTTGTTAAGAGGTGGTTGCTCTACAAAGGGCCGCTCTGCAAAGGTTGCACTGTATTGTGCTTTTACTAACATAATTTATTATCATATTTGAAATGTATTACATATAGATGAATCATCATGGTGGAACCTAAGTGGGTAAAACCTGAAATATGTAAAACATACATATTGAAACCTGAATTGGGTAAACACATATATTGAAACTCAAATTGAATAAAACATATATTTTTTTAAACCCGTATTTGGTAAACATATAATTTGAAACCCATATTAGGGAAAACATATATTTTGAAACCCAAATTGCATGAAGATATACATGTTTAATGTAAAGACTGAAAATCATGATTAAATTTCTTGCCTATATATAAACCACATGCACTGCCAACCAAATTCGGGTGTCATAGAGCCGAGTGTATTTTTTTTCACTTTCAATTTTACATGTAATACTTCCTATCCCTTGAGGTTTCTTTTTATTTAATCATCATGTTATTAATATTTAATATACAGAAAAATTAAAACTTAACCGAAAAATAATAATTTATGAAAAATAACGAAATATCCAAATGTCTGCCATTTTTTGACACATAACATACCTTTTGCCTTGTTAGTTATATTTATATTTAAAGTAGTTAGCTAGGTGTAACTGTAACTAGTAAGAGGAGTTGCTCTTGTTAAAATAACATATTGTTTACTAAAGTTATTTGTGTTAAGAGCTGCAATCCAGACAAATGATTTTAAATGATGTACTAATTGAAAATAGTTTAAAAGTATCAATGGTATTGTTTAAAAGTATCTATGGTATCAAGATTTCTTAATTGTCTTTAGAGTTTATTTTTAATCGGAAAGTTTGTACAGTAGAAGATGTGATAATTTAACACAAATATGTTGTGTTACTGAACAAATGAATTTTCTAGTACTCAGTACATGTGAATAAATTTAAGATAATGTTCATATTTTATATTTATATACATGTATGTACATTATTTAATAGTGATTTCATTGCAAAAATAAGTAGTCAGCATAATCAATTAAATCTTAGACCAGTCTGAAAACTGTAACATCTCATTGGCTACTATTTTTAGCTTTTGAAATCAGCCAATGGCAGCATTGAATTCTTAGACTGGTTTACAGATGGGTTATTGTTAGTAGAGAGAAAAAGTGAAATAGAACAGATGCATGCACATTGTTGAAAACAAGACAATCTAAGTTATTTGTAATTATTTATTGAGTTTAAATGTATGTTAATTGAATTTTAAATTTATGTTATATGTGAACCATCTATAAAACAAGAATGTCTTACAGGCATTGTATAAAAATATTAAAATGAAAAGTCATAATCTTCTTTTTTACCAATTTTTCTTTGTCTAAATATTTACAAAAACTACGGTACACCAAATTTTGGACATAATTTTACTTCACATTTTATGTGTTTCTTTATTTTGTTATGTAGTTCAGTGTCTGTGCTATGTTGGCTGTGTTTTTAGATGTTACACATCTATGCAATAAAATTATCTCCCCTTTCTGAGAAAAATGTTACCTTTTTATTTCCTCATAAAAGAAAAATAGGCAAATGCCTTCTTTTCTTGTGTCATTTATGATTGATGTTAAATGTGAGTTTAATGTAAAATGATTGAAAATCATTTGAAATAATTTTATTTAAGAAATGATTGAATTTAAATATGGATCTCTATTTTTATGAGAAATTTGGGCAGAGCTAGAAATAAAATCTTTGGAACTCCCTTTACAAACAAGTTATTGAACGGATCAGTGGTCCAGTGGTAACATGCTTTTCTAGTTATCCAAATGTTGAAGGTGTGATTCCTCGTGCCACAAGTAACAATACTGAAGTTCTTTCTTATGAGGCCTTAATATGTGTCTCAATGCTTTACACAAAGCATTTACAAGAACCAGGGTTGCGTTTGGAATATCAAAGCACTAGCTTTGAAAAGGTAAAATAAATGTTTTTCAGGGGGTTTCTCAGCTATGAGTAACTGAACTGGAATAGTACAATAAACTAAAAAAACAAGAGCACTACAGAGGCATGGCAATATACGCCTGAATGCAAGTCTGTTTTAAGATAAAATTTAAAGAAATCATAAATAATTTTAAACATAGAGGATACACATTTATAACATTTGTCCAAAACATGTTTTATTTCAATTATCAATATTATTGAAACATGCCAAAGAGCTATGCTCTTGTCACATGAATACTTAGTGACAATTATATATGCCACAGCTTTTGCTGTGGAGTACAGACACCTGGCTGAGACATGTCACAAGACATGCCCTTAAAAAGTTAATGTGATTATTTATCCCCATGTAATTGTTACAGAGTATATATACTTACTGAAAACAAAAATAATGTTGGTTTTTAAATGATAAAAATTTAAAGATATTAAATTTAAAAGCACAAAACTTATTGTTATTTAGTAAATTTACATATCTTAAGTAACATCAGTTTCAATTGATAAGATTGTCTTATTTCAAAAAAAAAATAAATCATATGAACCTATAAAATCTCCTCAATTATAATAATCTTAACAGGAAAAAATAAAAAAATATGAAATTTGATTAAAAAAGCAAAAACATCATCAAGGAATAGAGAGGCAAATACATATAAATGTATATTATGAAGAATCACATTAATAAATTCATTCATTTTAATCTCCCTTTGTAATATATACATTTATATAAGGATTGTAAATGAGCCAGTGTGACCTTCACCTGAGGTTGTCCAAAACTGCGCTCTGCACATCATCTCAGAAATATAAATATTTCTGCCTAATAGATTAATTACATACTATCGGTTTAAAAGAAACAGAGCAGACACAAAATTTTGAAATTGATACAAAATGACTAAAGTGTGACCTTGCCTAAAGAAGGTCAAATCTGCGCCAGTTCAAAAGATACAGACCGGACACGCAAACTCCTATATAAGTCTATATACATCAATTTATGCCTAGGGCAGGCCAATTTTGATCTAAGGAAGTCCAAACTTGTGTTCTGCACACCGTCTCAATATAAGTAATATCTTTGCCAAAAAGTTTTAATTTCTTTCTATCAGTTCAAAAGATAAAGAGCAGAAACAAAATTTTGACATTGAAACAAAATGACTAACTGTGACCTTGACCTCAGAAAGGTCAAACATGCGCTCTGCACATCGTCTCATTATGGTGACCTTAACCTCAGAAAGGTCAAACATGCGCTCTGCACATCGTCTCATTATGGTTAACATTTCTGCCCATTAGTTTCAATTTCCTTCCACCCGTTAAAAAAAATGCAGATATGACAAGAAAACCTGCTAAAAGACGGACAGACGGACAACCAGGTGCATAACAATAAGAGTTTCTTTGCATGGTAAAAGATGCAGACTATCAATGTTGTCCAATAGCATGCTAAATATTGATTTCTTTTTGTATCATGTCTTAAAGGTGGGTATATCTTATAGGTGGATATGTCTTATAGGTGGATATGTCTTATAGGTGGATATGTCTTATAGGTGGGTATGTCTTATCGGTGGATATGTCTTAAAGGTGGGTATGTCTTATAGGTGGGTATGTCTTATAGGTGGATATGTCTTATAGGTGGGTATGTCTTATAGGTGGGTATGTCTTATAGGTGGATATGTCTTATAGGTGGGTATGTCTTATAGGTGGATATGTCTTATAGGTGGGTATGTCTTATAGGTGGATATGTCTTATAGGTGGATATGTCTTATAGGTGGGTATGTCTTATAGGTGGATATGTCTTATAGGTGGATATGTCTTATAGGTGGGTATGTCTTATAGGTGGGTATGTCTTATAGGTGGGTATGTCTTATAGGTGGGTATGTCTTATAGGTGGATATGTCTTATAGGTGGATATGTCTTATAGGTGGGTATGTCTTATAGGTGGGTATGTCTTAAAGGTGGGTATGTCTTATAGGTGGGTATGTCTTATAGGTGGATATGTCTTATAGGTGGGTATGTCTTATAGGTGGATATGTCTTATAGGTGGGTATATCTTATAGGTGGATATGTCTTATAGGTGGGTATGTCTTATAGGTGGATATGTCTTATAGGTGGGTATGTCTTAAAGGTGGGTATGTCTTATAGGTGGGTATGTCTTATAGGTGGGTATGTCTTATAGGTGGGTATGTCTTATAGGTGGGTATGTCTTATAGGTGGATATGTCTTATAGGTGGGTATGTCTTATAGGTGGATATGTCTTATAGGTGGATATGTCTTATAGGTGGGTATGTCTTATAGGTGGGTATGTCTTATAGGTGGGTATGTCTTAAAGGTGGGTATGTCTTAAAGGTGGGTATGTCTTATAGGTGGATTATAAGATTTTTTTTATAAAACCATGAAAAATGATATTATATTGTTGATTGTGTGGGACTGTCTTATATGTGGGTGCGTCCTATAGTTGGATAAATATGGTAAATGTTTTTAATGCTTGAACAAACATGTTGAAGAAATTATTGTCAGATTGTTGCCTATTTGAAGATGTGTCTTATAGGTTGATGTGTCTTATGGGTGAATGATAATGGTAATAGTTTTGAACCTGGGAACATAGTATATTTTATTACATGTTTTGCAGTAGATTACTGAATTATAACGGTTAATTATATTCTGATAATTTCACAGTAATGATTACCAAATATAATTTCACAGTAGCCGAACTATATTTGGCGTAAAAATAAAATATTTATCATTAATGAATGTTTTTTTCAGCGGAAATGTAGTCAATCATAATAAAAAATGTACGTGATAACTTTAGATCGTAAATATTTACGAACGTTGTGCTGAAAAACATCTAAAATCTAAAAATAATCATGGAATTATATTTTGCTTCAACATTGTGACGTCATTATTTGATGACGTCATGAAGATAAGAGCATGACGTTACGCGGCAAAAATTAGTAAAATGGTGTAAAAATCGTTAAAAAATCATGAAATAAACAGAAAATTTGTTTGTTTTACATGTGAGATCAAATAATATTTCACTCGTGAACCCCAGCTATTATATTTTCACTCGTGGCTACGCCACTCGTGGAAAATATTGCATCTGGTGTTCACTCGGTGAAATATTTTTCGATCTTACACTGAAACAAACAAATATCCTCTATATATTGTGCTGATTTTTTTTTATTATAAAAGGAGATAATGAACAAAATTACATGTATTATATGTAATAAAGTTATAGATGTGTGGATGTCTGAACAAGTATTTAATATGTATTTAAAGAATTCCAGTGATAAGTGCAGAGATCATTTGAAATTCATGTAAGTGAAAGGACAGTTTATCATTCTGGTTATACATAATTGTGAAATATAGCATTTAATTGATGTCGTGATTTTTTTATAACAATGAAGTGTGTCTGTTTAATAAAAGGGCAGGTTTTCTTAATGTTGGTGACATTTTCTGTTTTTTTTTCTGTTCTCTTAAAGTTGGAGGAATATTGTCTTAAATTTGAAGACATGTATAATTCTTAAATCTGAAAATTTTTCTCTTTGGGTTTGTTTTGTTTTCAGCTTTTTTTTAACCATTGAGGTGAAAGTGAATTTTTTGTATACTAATTGTGCTGTAAAATAGCTTCCACATAGATAGGGGAAAACATGTATATTGTTTGTATAGAAAAAATGTACAGATTGCCATATGTTTCCTTATACAATGTAGATATTTAACAATGAAATCCATCTTGTTATACTTACATCAAATACATCTTTTTATTTTTTTGTCACAGTCGTGAATTTACAGAGAAATCTCGTAAAAAGTGCAATTTGTATTTGTTAGTTTCTAGGTATTTAATGCTGGAACAAGAATTCAGTTGATTTAAATGTATTTTAAATTGAATTGATTTGCTTTTTTTGCCACCTTAAGCATTGTATAAAGCTTGAAAAATGTATACATTACATCCTTTGCAGAACAGCACCCCTTTGTGAGGTAAAGATTTTGGTTGTTGTTTACAGGTGTTTACTTTAGAGAGGTTATATATATAAAGTCATACTTTCTGTTGTTGTTAAGAGGTGGTTGCTCTACAGAGGTTGCAAAGGTTGCACTGTATTGTGCTTTTACTAACATAATTTATTATCATGTTTGAAATGTATTTCATATAGATGAATCATCATGGTGGAACCTAAGTGGGTTAACATCTATTTTTGAACCTGAAATGTGTAAAACATACATATTGAAACCTGAATTGGGTAAACATATATATTGAAACTTAAATTGAGTAAACATATATTTTGAAACTCAAATTGAATAAAACATATATTTTTTTAAACCCGTATTTGGTAAACATATAATTTGAAACCCGTATTGGGTAAAACATATATTTTGAAAACCATATTGCATGAAGATATACATGTTTAATGTAAAGACTGAAAATCATAATTAAATTTCTTGCCTATATATAAACCACATGCACTGCCAACCAAATTCGGGTGTCATAGGGCCGAGTGTATTTTTTTTTCACTTTCAATTTTACATGTAATACTTCCTAACCCTTGAGGTTTCTTTTAACTTAATCATCATGATATTAATATTTAATATACAGAAAAATTAAAACTTAAACAAAAAATAATAATTTATGAAAAATAACAAAATATCTGCCATTTTTTTTTGACACATAACATACCTTTTGCCTTGTTAGTTATATTTATGGTTAAAGTAGTTAGCAAAGCCTAACTGGTACAAGAAGTTTGCTCTTGTTAAAATAACATATTGTTTGCTACAGTTATTTGTGTTAAAAACTGCAATTCGGACGAACAATTTTTTATACTTAAATTATGTACTTAACGAAAATAGTTTAAAAGATATTTAAGGTATCAAGATTTCTTAATTGTCTTCAGAGTTTAAATAATTCTGAATTGAAAAGACTTGTACAGTCTAGAAGATGTGATAATTTAACACAAATATTTTATGTTACTGAAGAAATACATTTTCTAGTAGTCAGTACATATAATAATATAATGAATAAATTTTAAGATATAGTTGGCGAAGTTCATGTTTTAAATTTATGTATTTTCATTTCTTAATGAATAATCATTGCGAAAACAAGTAGTCAGCATAAACAATTCAACAAGTCAAATAATATACATAGGCATTGTCATATTTTTGAAAATATTAAATTTTAGACCAGTCTGAAAACTGTAACATCTCATTGGCTACTATTTTTAGCTTTTGAAATAAGCCAATGGCAGCATCGAATTCTGAGACTGGTTTACAGATGGGTTATTGTTAGTAGAAAGAAAAAGTGAAATAGAACAGATGCATGCATATTGTTGAAAACTAGACAATCTATGTTATTTGTAATTATTTATTGAGTTTAAATGTATGTTAATTGAAGTTTAAATTTATGTTATATGTGAACCATCTATAAATCAAGAATGTCTTAAGGCATTGTATAAAAATATTAAAATGAAAAGTCATAATCTTCTTTTTTACCAATTTTTCTTTGTCTAAATATTTACAAAGACTACGGTACACCAAATTTTGGACATAATTTTACTTCACATTTTATGTATTTCTTTATTTTGTTATGTAGTTCAGTGTCTGTGCTATGTTGGCTGTGTTTTTAGATGTTACACATCTATGCAATAAAATTATCTCCCCTTTCTGAGAAAAATGTTACTTTTTTTTATTTCCTCATAAAAGAAAAATAGACAAATGCCTTCTTTTCTTGTGTCATTTATACTTTATGAAAAATGTGAGTTTAATGTAAAATGGTTGAAAATCAAAGAAATGGTTAAATATGAATATCTATTTTTATGAGAAATTTGGGCAGAGCAAGAAACAAAATCTTTGAAACAGATTAGCAGTCCAGTGGTAACATGGTTGTCTAGTTATCGAAGTGTTGAAGGTGTAATTTCTCGTGGCACAAGTAATGATAATGACGGTCTTTCTTATGAGGCCTTAATTTGTGTCTCGGTGCCTTACACTACCTTTGAAAAAGTAAAATAACTGTTTTTCAGGGGGGTGTCTCAGCTATGAGTAACTGAACTGGAATAGTAAAATAAACTAAGAAAAAAATACAACAGGTCAATCTGTTGTCAGATGCATACCATATTGAGCTAAGCGCACAGACTTCTTGGAGCCGAGAATGTCTTCGTGAAATTTCTCCCTGCCCCAAAAATTGAACCAGCGGGTCCTAGATTAATTATTAGTTGTTGTCCCTATTGATCGAGTTAAGTGGGCAGACTTCTTTGAAGGTATGATAAACAACAACAAAATTACAAATACAATGTAGTTATTAAAACATGTTAAATGAAAATCTAGGGAAAAAACATTATATAAGAATATAAACATTGCAATTCAGATACATGTATACATTTTATAATACAAATTGATGTGTTTTATTCCCTCCAGTGAACCACCATTTCAGATAATTATTTTTGAATGACTGTTAATTTGTGGAATTTCTGATATCTAAGGGAAGAGAATTCCAAAGTTTATTCAGTACTAAGAACAGAGAGCTATTCATGTAGAAGCACCTTCCTTCTGTAAACAAGCCGGAAAGCTTCATCATACAAGAGAATTCAGAGTCCCTTCTAGTCACATTCCACAAAACTAGGTACCTAAGCCTCCCCATGCGTACCTTTACTAGTACATGTGCCGCCTCACCTCACATGTACTTACACTAGTACATATTTCTTATGAGATTTAGATTAGCAAATCAAAGTCTTGACTGTATATACTTTAAACTGGTTTGCATGGGTGATTATTAAACGGACGACATATTGTCAATATTGATTAGGCATGCATTTTGGAAAAAAAGATTTTTCCTGCATGTTTGACATATTGGGTATATGTATGTTTCAATTTGGTATGAGATTGTGTTATATGCCAAGTTTTGCTACCCTTCTCATTAACAGACTGGAGTGTCACTAGAAGATAATACAGATTTCTGTCCTTAAGAGATGAACTCTCTTATCTTATAATGGGATATAATTTTATGCCAGATGTTGCCATGGAAATATCAGACAAGGTTACAATACTAATCTCATGGAGAACAAGAGATTTAACCTTTGATACAATGAAATTATGGTAAACAGAACAAGAAAATCTGTGATGTTATTAAGTAAAATTAGATAATCTGCCATTTCTTGCCAATATTTCTAGTGTTTCATCCACATTCCTTATCACTTCCTTAATGGGAAAATAATATCAGAACTTACTGTTGAAACGGTTTTTACAGACATTCAATGCCAAAACCTTTTGTAAAAGTTTGAAATTTATTTCTGGCAAAACTTGTGGGCCAAATTTTATTGATGTTATTGTAATTTAATGGGTTACATTTAGAAGTTATGACCCCATGTCTGCTTCTGGCCCATCATGATGACATGGCAAAATAACTTTCATGCTTATTAATTTTCAGCTAATTTGCACATGTTCATTTAAAACATTTTGGAAGTAATTGTGGCAACATTTTTAGGTAGCTCAGGTCTTCTTAATATGTAGATAACAAAAATAAACAAATTCAAATGGAAAAATATTACATTTATTATTTCTGAGCATTTTAATTTTTTATGAGACAAGGTACAGTACTTTTTCAGTGTAAAAAATATTGAAAAACAACAATTTTTTTAATGACACCAATAAAAGTTTGTGGTGTACTTTATTGAGCTGAATTATGAAAATATTGATTGCCTGCAGGTAAAAGTTTTGGGAGGAAAATACTAAACCATTTTTTACCTATTTCTATTAATCACATTCTTGTATATGTTTTCAGTCTACATATTTGTATTGTACTTTTAAGATACATTTTATTTTACCAACTAAGACAGATTTGGTCAACATGATTTTACTTTCTCTTTCGATATTTCATGTAGTACTTCTTAAGTATCAAAACAGTTAAACAAGAAATTAATGAACCCTTGTGGCTACCGATCATTAGATTACTTGTTAACCAGTCGGAGGCAAGTCGTTGCAGAAACATTACACTCATTGCCCAGTACTGGTTGGGTGACACCCTGTCAGAGCGAGTCGTTGAATCATTGCTCAGTATTAGTTGGTTCTCTAAACGAGTTCTAAAGTGTGCCTATATGATTATAGCTTACTTCACAATTTAACTAAAATAAATTTTGCATAAACCAAGAAATTATTAAATGTGAATGAGGTGCTGAAAAAAGTTATCCCTACATTTTCCTCGTAGACTTGCCCTGGTTTGAGTTTAGACATTCGAGGTTTTTTTACTGCTGCCATCAGGTTTTTCATGTATAGTTTTCCAGAAAGGAATCAATAGAACCTGTTGAAATTATACTTAATTTTCACAAAAAATGTATGTTGATACTCAAACCTTGGTGTTATACCATATTTCAATGATATTCTTACAGAATAACCAAATTGCTGGGGAAGTTATGAATGACTCCCCCCCCCATCATTCCCTATCTGGATATGTGCATACTGTCCAATGTTATTAAAGTATGATATTATATGGATAAATGTAACAAAAAACAACCACATTTTATGATATTTCCTTTTTTATTACGAACAACATTGTTTTTTTGTGTTTAGTTTTTTTTTCATTAACTGAGAAAAATGGCAATTCATGCAATAAAATGCTACAAAGTACAATTATAAGAAATGATTTCACCCTGTTCTTTTTTTTTCTATCAAACATTAAATGAGAGGTATGGAAACACATATGAAAAAAACTTGTACAAAATGAAGAAAAAACATGAACAAAATCCATCCAAGTTAATTCTCTTTGGTAAAAATATGTTGCTATTTTTCCTAACTTCCTTATTGTTTGTACAACACAGGTCACTGCCAAACATTAATAGGCTAGCATTTGTGTTGGACTCTGGACCTTTGACTCGCAATCATTTTAAATATATTTAAAACATTGCATTTTTTTCAGACGCTGTGCATAAATCAAAATTGTCTGTGTTTTAAACCCTTTACCTGCTGAATTTGTGTAATTGATTTATCTTGGATTGAATTTGAAGCAGCCCATCTAACTTTAAAGCGGCCTTCAGCTTTTCTTAAGGTTAAATATGTTATTTTTAGATAAATCAATTCACATACTAAAGTCTTGTCAAATTAAAAGACTTCAGGTAGAAAATGAAATTTGCTGACAGTAAGATACATAAACAATAAGGAAACCCCTTGATACCTCTAATTCACAGGTCCGCTCTCAATATTTAAATAAGTAAATCTGACTAGTTGTTGTTTCCCATTCTTCTATTTTTAGAAACGAACATCACTGACAAGTTATAAATAATGCTTGGGATGCTTTTTTGAAAAAATGCTGAACAGTGATATAATGCACTTTTCCGAGATATAATTACTGATATACATGTACTTAGTTTGCAAACAATGCAGAACAGTTTTTCTAACAAAAAAGTAAAAGATGAAGGCTGGTTAAAGGGATTTCAAATATTAAAATTCAAAAACTGAGCTACCAACAGCATAGAGCCTGATCAGACTGTACATACTCGCAGGTTGGCCTGGTTCTATACTGGTGGCAAAGTCAATTTCACTTCCAGCAAGTTATGGGTTAAAGCAAAGTACATCAAAACATATTCATACATAAACACATTTAACAACAAGAAAAAACAAAACTTTCAGCACCAGCATAAAAACCATGTACAATTTCAACCCTGCACTTTAATAATACACATCAAATGTTAAATGATATAAACAATGTAGATCTACTACATGAAAGTTATACAATTACATTTTAGGTACAGATGGACCAATGTAACAGTTACTTGAAGTTGTTGTAACATATTGACATGACGACACCAGCAACCTTGCCGTAACATGTTGACATTACTACACCAGTACTGTTGCCATAACATGTTGACTTAACTACACCAGTACTGTTGCCATAACATGTTGACTTAACTACACCAGTACTGTTGCCATAACATGTTGACTTAACTACACCAGTACTGTTGCCATAACATGTTGACTTAACAACACCAGTTGTGTTGGCATAACATGTTGACTTAACAACACCAGTATTGTTGCCATAACATGTTGACATTACAACACCAGTAATATTGCCATAACATATTGACTTAACAACACCAATATTGTTGCCAGAACATGTAGACTCAACACCAGTATTGTTGCCATAACTTATTGACTTAATTTCACCAGCAATATTGCCATAACATATTGACTTAACGACACCAGCAATCGTTAAGACCTATAAGGGTCTAATGACCCATTACAGTAACAGTGATGAAAGTGGGCATCAAATACATGAAGTCCAGTTAAACACATGCCTAGAGTCATTGACCTTTCAAAATCATGCAGATTAGTTTCCCCAACACGAAACAAATGAAAATTCTTCCATGACTTATCTTTCACAGATGTTCTTAAAGCCTCATGCCTCCAGACAAGTTTAAACATTTCAAGAAAATCCAATTTGAGAAAGATTCAAGAATTTAAGTTATCCGCCATTAATGACTGATAAACTGGTAACTTCTTCAATAAAGGCTATTTTTGCATATTTTGACCTCTTTTTTGTAATTTACATGTATTGTAGGTGCCGTTTGCAATGTTTCAATTACTTTGTTCAAATTCACAATATTTTACTTTTAAATACCAAATTTTCATGAAAATTAGCATGAATTTGGAGGCATGCTTCTAACTTGAAAATAGTTAGAAGCTTCAAATACTTCAATTTAGTGGATACAATTTTATTTTTTCAAATTTTTTTTTAGTATTTTAACCTTTACCCTGTTAAATTTATAAAATTTACTTAGGCTTTTTGAATTTAGAACCGTACATTTTCAAGTTTAGGTGTCAACACCAAATTGCTAAATACAGCGCAGCAGGTAAGCTTGCATGTCTAGCTATAGATATACGGCACAGCACAGGTCTATCAAACTCTTCATTATCCACAATCAGCCTATATATATATATCATCATAGTTTGAAACAGCTACAAGCACAACATCATGGAAAATATCATACAATAAAAAAATATACAGACATAAAAATACATGTCAATAAAAAAAACACACACACTTTTTTTATACAATCTTTCCTTTGCATTATGACATGGAATGAATAAAATGCATATCCTATCTGTATAAATGTAATATTTTGCAAAATTTTGGAGATCTCTAAAGAGAAACAAATTAACTAGCCAAACAAAAAATACTTGGTTTGATCAGGTATACAATAAGAATCTTACACTGGCTGCCGGTACAGACCGGAATATCTAGCTAGATGGTAACTGTTTACAGCGGCAAAGAGGAATTTAGTCTATCCAGTGATATAGATGTTTTCTATGGTCTCTGGCCTGCTTTCATAGATAACTAATCAGTAATTCAGTAATAAACAGTTTCTCTGCAATTTACCAAATCTGAAAAATGAATTTGCCCTGCATTGGACTGGGATTATCCATAGTTATTTTAAAGGGGGTTTCAGAATCCAAAGGCTATAATTAAACAACAAAGAATATGATTCAAGTGTATAATGAGCTAGTTAACCAGACTTTAATCCAGTGACATAGACGATTCCAATAGCATTTAAAGAGTAACATAATTATCACTTTATACTTTTATCAGTACTGACACAACCTTTATAAAACTAGAAAAATATCAACAACAACAACAAAAATGAAATAATAAAGGTAAGAAAAAGCAGACTACGGTAAATGCAAATAATGCCATATTAATAGTGATAAAGATTCTTCGCAGGTTATAATTATATGGCCCTGCGAAAATTGTAGCATGCTTATATAGCTCGCACAACTCCAGGACTTTTTTTCACAGATTGGGGAAGCCGCCCTACCCTTCATGCCCTTAATTTTTTGGGAAAATTATACAGTATCTTTACAAAAGGGGAAGAAAAAACTTGCTGTAAATTCACTATTTTGGGAAAACTGCATGAATTTTAAGAATTTTTCTTTGGGGAAGCCGTCCTTTTCAAGGCCCCTGCTATAGAAGGAAAAAAGGCCCTGCAATCTAGAAATAACAGGCAACTTATCCACACGAGTCGGGTTATGGAAAATATACTGCATAAAATATATTGTGACCAGCCAAACCATCACAGAAAACCCTGATTATTAAAAAATACATTCTATATTTCTACCTTTTGGGGCTGTGCAAAACATCAACATGGTGCTTTTTAGGGACCCAGTTTTTCTTATTTAACCCTTTACATGCTGAATTTCTTTAATGAACTTGTCTGGCTTCCATTTCTTGAACCTTCAATTATCAATTTCTGGTTTATTCAGATTAGACTTGTCGAGTGAAAAACAAAAACCATATATACAACTGTTATTGAATTTAATAACAATCTGTTACTACATCCTTTCAATTACTAAAATACAAGGTGGGGTTGACAAGGGATCTTTTCAAAAAAACAACAAAAACTGGGGAAATGGAATTATAAAAGAAAGGGAGCTTATAGAAGGAGAAATATGCTACGTAACAGGTCCTTGCTAGGTTCATTCAAAATTTTATGCCCATTATAAAAACAAATGTGTTCTGTTGTAAATAGCAAAAGCCATAGTGTAAGCATGAATAACATAAATTTAGAAAAAGGTTTGTACAAAACATAAATCATTTATCAAAAAAGCAAGTTTTATACATCATTGTACTTTCATGTTTTCATGAAAGAAAAGTAAAAGAAAAAAAGTTTACACACTGAATGGATAAAACAAGAGACTTCTTACACAGATGCCAAATTCATTTCCACAACATCAATAGTATGCCTGTACTTCTTAGAGGAAATTATTACAAATTCTAAATTACAATTTGCATATATAGTACTTCCTAAACATTGAGCATCAAAGGTAAATAAATAAGTCAATAACTTGTATCAAAACTTACTTCCTAAATGCACAAATAATGAAAACATAAACAGAACAGCATGTTGCTCATCTATGGGAAAATGAACTAAAATGAAAAATGATTATATTTAACCCTCGATTTCCTATATTTCTTAAATATAGTCTGGTAATAATAATATGGGTCTGTATAAGTTTGAATATGAAACAATCCATTCCAAGTTCGAGATATTTCAATATCAAAATACAAAACTTAAGCTTCCAACAGAATGGAGCCTGGCCAGACTGGACAGACATGCACACTAGCCTGATTCTATACTGGTGGCAAAGGCTGATCACTTTTGTTTCCAGAAGATTTAAGGTTAAATAGATATAGAAAGACTGATGCTGCAAATTGAATGTATGAACACAGAAGGATGACATACAAACAAATAAGGTTAAACATAAGCTTGATCCTGGAGAGATATTGTAGCTTATATGAACTACATTTGAGTCGAGAGATGAACTACATTTGAGTCCACTGTAACTTGAACTAACCACTGCTTGTGTCATATGATGAAACATGGTTGTGACCCAAGTTTTTGAGTTAATTTTTTCATAATTTCTAGACACTTGATTTATTAATCAAATAAACAGTTTCTTCAAATTAATGAAATATATGATGATTACTGATCAAAAGAAAAATATTCAAAATACATCAATATAGTTTCTATCAAGGACAGTTCCGAGTACGTTTGCTAATTTTAGAATATACCCAGTTGGACACCTTGCAATGTATTTTTTTCCCCCAATACCAACCATGTTTGTTAAGTCCTCGATATGGCCACAAAAAAGAGCTTGCAATCCTAACTATATTCATACAGCAGATAAAAATGTAACAAAATAACAAAACACCCTAAAAGGTGCTGTCTTTTTTGCTTAAAAAAGAAAAAGAAACAAAATGTAAATGAAATATGAACTAGGATACTATACAAATATGAAAAAAAAATGTACCAAAAGTTATAAAAATGAAAGAAAGTAAGTAGAGGTAATACTAAACACACAGTCATTTTCCATTTGTGAAAGCATCCAGCACGTTTTTTGTCGAAGTTTTTCTAAGTCGAAGTTTTAACCTATCAGCCAAGCAAGCTGGACTCTGGAACACCTCAGGATAACTTGTGTCATTCTCTCCAAAATTTTCAATGCTAGAAGTCAATTGGTTAAACTGTTCCACCTCAAAGTCTTTAGTAAATTCTTCCTTAAATTCTCCATTTAAGTTTTTAATTTCAACCTCATCATCTGATGAATCAGAACTAAATGTCTGTTTTCTATCCACACCATTTACGTCACTTTTAAGATTTATTATATGTTGAACATTTTCTTCTACCCTGCCATTCACACAAGCACCAATGTCATTCATATGATTTGAAACACTCAAGCCAGTACCCAATGCAGTCAGATCATTCATTTCTACCTTCACTTTATGAAGATCTTTAACATCCTTATTTATACAAAGTGCAGCTGTATCACTTTCAGATCTAACATCAACTTCTACATTGCTTTCGCTTTCCATTTTACCAACAACTGTTCCATATTTTGCCTCATATTCATTATCCATACCATTGCATTTGTTATTAATATCAGCAGCAGAAGCTTTATCAGTGACACAATTTGCATTTTCTTTTCCATTTAGCACCACTACATCATTACTTGCATCAATTACCCTCTCAACCTTATCATCATCAGAGGTAGCCCTATCAACATCTACATCATGCAAATCTTTGCCATTTTCATGATATGTATTTAAAGCCACAAAATCATTTGCAATTTCTATACCTTCAACAATGTCATCTTCATCTCCAACAGAACCCATTGCATCATTTCTTGTATCTCCTGTTTTATCCGTATCTAAATTGTCAAGCACCACATTATGCATAACACTATTGTCTTTATCATATCCATTCAAAGATTCAATATCATTTACAATATTTTCAGATCCATCGCTATCATCGTCTCTATCTTTGTTTTCTTTTGATTTTTTGCTATTTCCAATGTTCACCTTTTCATGCTTTGATTCTTCTTTATTTGCACTTCCATTATCTACAGCATTAGGTGATACCTGAAAATCTACCCTGTTTTCTGGTATGTTTTCAGATATTTCAGGTACAACCATGTCATTTCTTTTTCCCAATGAATCTTCAGCATCATCAAAATATTTAAAGTCCCTGATAAGTTCTTTAGCTGCACTGCTATTTACCTGAATCTCATCTTTAACTGAATTACCATCAATTTCTACCTTAATCTCATCCTTAACTAAATTACCATCAATTTCTATTTCATTAGGAACAAACTCTACACTGCTCTGTACATTCAAAGCATCATCCAATTCATTTTCAGGAGGAGATCTAACTTGGCATAAATCTTTCTCTACGGTGTCTTCAACATGTATTACTTTCTCTGAATGCCCATCAAATTTTTCACTATTGTCAATTACCTTTTCAATGTCATCACCGTTTTGCTCCAAATTTCCTTCACATTTACAACCCCTAGACTCAACAGATTCAGCATGATCAGTTTCATTTTTCAGCATATCATTAATAGAAAGGACAGGCTCTTTGTCTAAAGAACACGTTTGACTAATTCCATACTTTGAACACAATTTCTCCTTTGATAGTCTTTTTTTCTTTTTCAGTTTGATTTCTAGATCAGAGTCTAGCTCATCTCCGATAACTTTACAAGAAAGTCCTTCCAATTCAAGCAGAGTATCATCTGCAGATACATCCATGAATGGAGAGGCTTTGATTATTTTATTCTCGCTTGACTTTCTTTGGTTGTTTTCTAATGCTTTTCTAAGGTATTCAGCACAAGAGCTGACCTTTTTATAATCAAGAATACTATCATCAGCTGATATATCAATTACAGGTGAAGCTTTCTTAACTTTTTTCTTCTTTTTCTTCTTCTTTAACATTTGATTGTTTTCTTCTGTTACTTCAGGTGGATTTTCAAAGGTTTTATTATCTTTATCTGGTAGCAAATTTTTATTTCTGGGCATGTTTACGCTAGGAGAATTATCATTGTTTTTGAGATTTGTTTTGTTAACGCTTTGTGTATCCAGTTTAACTTTCCTTTCACTCTTTGTCTGTAATATATTTTGATCACCATTTTCTTTTTTGTTTTTTCTTTTATCCATCTTTTTATCCAAACTGCTACTATCCGAATTGTTTGATTTTACTGAATTTCTCCTTGAACTCTGTTCAGGTGTCATATTTTTCGTCTTTCCTTTAGATTTAGAAACATTTTTCATCTGAGCTATACTTTCTAACTCTTGCTCTCTTTTTCGCTCTCTTCTACGTAATTTTTTCCTAGCTGACTTTGACAATTTTGCCATTACGTCTTCATCGTCAATTTGAATGGGTTTTAATAGAAGTTTCTGATTCAAGTTTTTGAAACCTGTAGAGGCTTTCTCCAGTTCAGAGAAATCTATATTACACTTTATCCCCTCATATGCTGCATTATTTTCATTCATACCATTTTCAACTAGATCATCCTCTTCATCTTCAGAATCCATTGCATTTAGTGTGTTCAGAAGTTTATCATACTCATCCTTTGTCATTGAAACTCCTTTTGGTGTTAATGCTTGAACCAGTCCAGAACACAAGCTATCTAAAAGTGAATGCTGAATTTGAAAATCACCAAATTGACCTAGACTAGTTTCAAGACCAAAGGCAGACTGGTTACCTGGTGTTGAAGTTTTCTGTTTACCCTGCTGCTGAGTGGGAGTGGCTAAACTCTTCCCTGAACTAGAGCTATTTAGAATTGACATTAAAGATTCTACAGTAAATTTGTCTTCACCAGATCCATTTTTAGGGAATACTGTTTTCTGGGATTGAGAAGATGGTTCTTTGCCAAGATGAACTTTCTCCACAGTTCCAACCCTATTTATACCACTCTCTATCTTCTCTATAAGTTTTTCTGCTGCACATCTTGTGTCTACCTCTTCTGGTTCTTTTTTCGGTTCAGGTCTAGAGAAAAATCCAGGACTAGAAATATCTATAACGTTCTTTTCAGACTTGGATTTATCTGGAGCAAATGGATTTTCTATGTAGTATGGACTTTTTTGAATTTCAAAACTGTCACCCAGTGCTCCTTTATGCTTCATGTAAGTCATTAGGGGTGCAGATTTCTTCAGTGGATGGACTTGACATTTTCTGAAAATCTTTCATTGTGCTCATTTTCCTTGAAGAGATGCTCATAGGGGTTGTCTGCCTTACAGACATCACATGTGGTGAACTTTCCTGCTGTAACTTACTGTATGAGCCTAAACCTGGTTTTTCTTTCATCTTGTGTCTAAATTTATCTGCTTCTTTCAAAGATAAATTCTGAATATCTTCTAACAAAGAACTCATGTTACTCAAGTCTGCACCGGGGCTCTTCATTATAGAGAATTTCTCATCATTTATAACACTTTTTACAATCTTTTCCTTCTTATCTTCATTTTCTTTATTACTACCATGCTTATTTTGCATTCTTAACTTCACTCTTTGACTTAGAGGCACAAAGGAACTGTTTTCAAGGTCTTTTTCAGAATGTGCCACTGTTTCATCAGACATTGAGAATGGGACACTGACTGGTTTTCTATTCTCTGAACTTTCACCTTTGTTAACAGTTTTTTTACCATTAGGACTAAGGGTTAAGTGCCTCGGCTGCTTGGCTTTTGTGGTGAGGGTCGTCTCATCATACTCGGAAAACGACGGGTGCAGGTCTTTAACGGAGGTCACCTGTCCAAGATTGACCTTTTCAAACTGGAATGACAGATTGTCAAGGGATGGAGGCTGTACAGACTCTTCCTTCTTCTTCTTTTTCTTTGCTGTAAGAAGATAAATATAGCCAATGATATTAATATAAATGTGTCAATATTAGAAATAAAATGTAATTTGGAAATCTCAATCTAAAATATATAATTTCTATACAGTTTGAATAACATAGCTGTTTCATTAAGTTGGGCTTAATTTAAGACTAACACAGTATCTATATAGAACAATATCGTTACACTTTCAAGGTGGAGAAAGACATTTATTCCAGAACAGATCTTTGGTTTGTTTGATTGGCTTTAAAGTCGCACCAACACAGTATAGGTCATATGGCAAAGTTCCAACTTAACTGGTGGAGAAATACCTCAGATGCCCTTCCGTACATTTTTTCAGGCACAAACGGGCACCTGAGTAGAACCACCGACGTTCCATAAGCTAGCTGGATAGCTTCCTCACATGAAAGAATCCAAAGTGTCTGCCGGGATTCGAACCCACAGTGGTTAGGGGCAAATGCAGATAATTGATACAACCATCAATCCTCTACAAACTTGCACAATGAAGTCCAAGCAGGCAATAATTTATAATACCATGCTCAGCGTACAGTTACACTGAGGAAGTACAAGTACATGTAATTCGAAAGAACGTCATCCGACTGTCTGGCAATATCTCAAAGCTATATTAAATGTTAAGCCTTTAGTATCAATAAATGATTCATAAAACATAAAGTTCAGTATTAAGTATTTAATAAAAACCTTTTGGCTTTTTCTTTGATTCTGTGGATTGTGTTATAAAAGCTTTAACCACTGTAGGATAGCATTTGGTAAATAACTCTTGGGACTCTATGGTAACATAATACGAGCCCTCGGTCACTGTGTCAGTTACTGAAACAAAACAACAAATTATACTGTGAATTAAAAACTAGAACTCCGCGAGTCTGATGTGTCGCTTTGTGAACAATATAGTTTAAGAGAAATGGCCAGGACAAAAATGAAATTTGAAAATCAAGGGCAATTCCTCGAAAAATTAGAAATGCAGATCAGTAGTTTCTGTGCACTGCACTTCTTATCAATAAGATCTATCATCCTATTAAGTTTCAAGTCTAAAGCTTTTATAATTTATGAGAAATGGCCTGGACAAAAATAAAGTATGAAAATTAACAAAGGCCTTAAGGGCAATAACTCAAAAAATAAGAAATGCAGAGTACCAGTTCTTGGACGCTGCAATTCTTCTTAATGTGATCTATCATCCTATGAAGTTTTATGTCCATAGCTTTTATACTTTAGGAGGAATGGCCCGGACAAAAATAAAGTATGAAAATTAAACAAAGGGCAATAACTCAAAAAATAAGAAATGCAGAGTACCAGTTCTTGGGCACTGCACTTCTTCTTAATGAGATCTATCATCCTATGAAGTTTCAAGTCCATAGCTTTTATACTTTAGGAGAAATGGCCTGGACAAAAATAAAGTATGAAAATTAACAAAGGGCAATAACTCAAAAAATAAGAAATGCAGAGTTCCAGTTCTTGTGCACTGCACTTCTTCTTAATGAGATCTATTATCCTATGAAGTTTCAAGTCCATAGCTTTTATACTTTAGGAGAAATGGCCTGGACAAAAATAAAGTATGAAAATAAACAAAGGGCAATAACTCAAAAAATAAGAAATGCAGAGTTCCAGTTCTTGTGCACTGCACTTTGGGTCATTATAAGTAGCATGCATACCAAGTTTGAAGTCAATTCCGACTTATAATGACTGACTTATGCTCTGGACAAGCTTTAGGGGACGCCGTCAACGACGTCGACACCGCCGACAAAAGTAACCCCTATATGCCGCCTTTTTCAAGGCGACACAAAAACCACACTTTGTAAACATATCAGTATCTATTTAAATACAACTAGAAATGATATTGTAGGTAAGAAACTTGTGTATTTATTATCATTCATCTCAGTAACAAAATGCAAAAATTTACAATACTGCATGTTTAGAATGTCTCTTTTCATTGGATAATCCTGACGTTTATATAACCTATATACAAGGCTACTATTAATTTTTTAAGTAATTTTCCCTTTTTCCTTAAATAGAGTGATTGTGCTGTATTATTTCGTGATCAAATATTTGCGAATAATTTCAATTCCCAAAAATCGGAAGTATTTCCACATCACAAAATTAACCATTTATACAGTATGTGTTACTATTGGTACAAAAGACAGCTTTAAGGTTGAAAGTGGACTTTACAAAAGAAAGTGAAAATATTCTACCTGGTTTAATCCATTCAACTTCATAGCAGGGTTCACCTTGCCTAATTCTTGTTTTCACAATCCTACAAATATTGCAAAATTTATTTTTTATTAATCAAAATGTACTAGAAATGTAACATTAGGTGTAAAATGTTTCATTAGGTTGCTCTTAATGGGTTAAGTGCTAATCATAATGCTGTTGAGTTCCATATGGGCCAAGCCATTGCATCCTTGAGCTACATCACTTAAAAGCTTAGTACTGAATGGTTCAAGGAATGGATTCCAGTGTGTCTATAAGCATATAGCTTCTTTTTTTAGTTACGTTTTACATCACACCAACACACTATAGGTCATATGGCGACTTTCCAGCTCAATTCAAGGAGGAAGATCTCAGACGCCATTCTGTGAATTGTTTTAGACATGAGCCATCACCTGAGTAAAACCATCAATGTTCTGTAAGCTAGCTGGAGAGCTTCCTCACATGAAAGAATCAAAAGTCCCTATCATGATTAGAAACCCACAGCAGTTATGGGCAAGTGGTTAGAGCTTCTAGCTTCCTACAAAATAAAACTAAAGATAAATTCTTTACAAACCAATCATATTGCAGAGATATGCTGGCTGAACTAGCTCTATACTTTTAACATACGTAAGTTATTAAAATCAAAAGCATTCATATCAACAATCAAATAGCTAAATAACTAAACATTTATCAGTCTTAACAAATCAAACAGTTTTACAGGTACATTGTACACATAATGTCATATAGTTTTAGATGTTGATAAACTGAAAGAAATTTAGAGGAAGCAGAAATATAAAACCACAAGTAGTTTAGATGTTGATAACCCGTTACCCCATAGACAGTGCCTTATACTATATGCGACCAGTACAGGTCCAGATCAGCCTGCACATTGGTGCAGTCTAGAACCAACACTGCGCTTTTCAATCGAAAATTCTTTTTTTGATTCTTTTTTTTATATTAAAGCAAACAGTGGAGATCCTGAAAAATCTGTACCATAAAAACACATACACATGGAGTAAAGGGTTAAGAGTTTTCAGAGAATAACATAACTGTTTTATACCTGTGTGGTTTCAGGTGTTGATGAACTGAAGGGTTTTTAGACTGGGACAGATCTTGCATGTCCCACAAAGTAATCAATGGTAACACCTTTTCTATTGTATACTCCAATGGCCATTCAAGTTTGATCTGAGAAAACTCCTGAAATTAAACAAATACAATGTTGTCATCCAGTTCATCTTTTTTTTAAGTTGGTTGGGTTTTTAAGTTGAAAATCCCTAAATAGACTTGCCAAAAAAAGAGAAGGTTTTCCTCTACCAACTCAACTTATATTAAGATAAACTTGACATGAAGGGACCAAAAATATTTTTGCAAGTTATAGCATAACTGGATGTTGGTCTGGACCAATATCTCATGTACAAGATTTCAGACAATTCACTCGATCTACTTCCGAGGAATAATCAATATCTTTGTGAAAATTTACTCAAAAAATGAAAAGGGTTGTGACACTTTTCACTCAAATTTTTATGCATGGACTCTAGAAATTTGAACCCATTTTGTCGCCTCTTATAATCATGCAGCCAGGGATAAACAGTAGCTGAAATTCTGATGCCTCAACCCTTTAAGGCAATCCTTCAGCTGCAAGAAAGATTTATCATCTAAAAATCAGTTTTGTGTTAGAAAAGCTGGTTAATAATCACTGCAAGACTGGACTGTTTTATCAAACTATTTCTTAATGAAAAGATCACAATTAGCTGACTAATGTGCTCTCACTGCTCGCACTTCAAATGGCCGCTAAAGGTAAGTCACTTAATACACATGGTCACTCTGGCATGTTTCACTGTACTTCATTTTAACAAGCTGTTTATATGTATTATTTTTTTTTGGGGGGGGGGGGGGGGGGGGGGGGGGAGGGGTGCACCAACACAGTATAGGTCATATGGCAATTTTCTGCTTTACTGGTGGAAGAATACCTCAGGTGCCATTCTGTGGATTATTTCAGGAAAAAAAACGGCGATTGAGTAAACCCAAACTTTCTGAAGCTAGCTGGAAAAACTTCCCCAAAAATAAACAAGGGAACTTTTTTTGTATGCATAAATTCCATTAACGTATTTATAGAAGTGTTAGAAAAATTTTAAAACAATGAATCTACCTGTAGTTTTGCTGGGACTGGACGTTTCCATTCCGGAAGTCTTGACGGGCACCTATCCTTGGCACATAAGAATTCATCTATTACCTATGATGTTAAAATATTATTTTTTAATAAAAATCCCATTTTACTACAATAAGCTACACAACATTTTACAATGATAGATTACTAAATAATGTTGATCATCAGACCAAAGAGCCCCAGCTGGCATCATTTTACAGATGTAAATACACAAATTTTTCCACGCAACTCCAGGGGTATTTCAAAAGGGTCCATCTTTAAAATTTGTTTTATTTTTTATTAGCTCTTTTTGGATCTTAATTTCCTTACCCTCGGGATACTTGAAAAATTCCTACAAATTAAATTTTATTAAAGTTTTGTTGGGAGGACTTTTTTAGATTTCTTTTTTGAACATATGAACATACGTGCTCACAGATTGAATCACATGGTTAAATAAATACATCGTATATAACATAATAAAGTGCTAAACTAGCTAGTGAGAGACTTAAACTTGCATTTTCATGTGTGTTTTTTTGTGTGTGAATGAAATCGAAATTATTATAGTTGACATTGGAAATCGAATCCATGCCCACAAGACCAATTTTCAATGCATCGGAATGAATTGTTGTACCTCTATAAATATGTAAGGAATACCTTTATCTGTGGAAAATCGGGTACTTGGATAGCCTTTCTGCGAGCTAGAATTTCCGTCTGATCAACACATTCTTTCTCTGACATGGTACTCCAAGACTGTAACCTAAAATAGATAATATGAGCCATGTCATGACAAAACCAACGTTATCAATAAAAGCTGATTAGGTGGATTGACCACCCAGAAATGACTAAAAACATGTAAATTAAAATCTGTAAAAAAATACAAAAAAATATACAAAATTTTCAAAAAGTTAACACTTAAAGAAAACTTTGTCTTACCTGATAAGAACATCCTGACCTTGTAGAGACTGCAGCAAGCGGACAGCATTGGCTATACCAATACCAGGCACACCTTTTGGTACAAAATCACAGCCAATCAGAAGACCTAGAGCCACAAGGCCGCCCCTATCTATACCAAGCTTTGATTGAATGTCACTGAGTCTGTACATCTCTACATGTGGGTCCTGAAAAAAATCATTTATTCTATTCCTAAAAATTGCAAAATTATTTTCATACCGGCTTGTAGGTTTACAAAAATAAAAGCTGACCCTTTTAAAACTGGAATCTAATTACGTTAATTTGTTTGGGTATTGAGTGTTACAGGCCATACCAAGGTCAAATCGAAACTTTTGTAGCGTTACAAGTGGAGGTGCCAATCCATGTATTATTTCAGGTATTAAAGAGTAGACATCAAAGAAGAAATATCAACCTTCTATTAGCTAACTGGATAACCAACCTATTAGCTAGCTGGATAACTAACCTTCTTCAAGCTAGCTGGATAACTAACACTTTTCAAGCTAGCTGGATAACCAACCATCTGCTAGCTAGTTGGATAACCAACCATCTGTTAGCTAACTGATATTCTGTTAGCTAGCTGGCTAACCAACCTGCTGTTAGCAAGCCGGATAACCAACCTTCTGTTAGCTAGCTGGATAACCAACATCCTGCCAGCTAGCTGGATAACCAACCTTCTGTTACCTAGCTGGATAACCAACCTCCTGCCAGTTAGCTGGATAACCAACCTTCTGTTAGCTAGCTTGATAACCAACCCTTTGTCAACTATCTGGATAACAATATTCCTATAGCTAGCCAGATAGTTTCCTCATATCAACTTATGTACAAACAGGATTAAGAATGGTCCAAAAGTTTTTAATTGTAACTATGAAAGACCTACCTTAGAGTTCATGGTGAAGTTTCTATATACAGTAGTGGCACCATACAAAAATGCATCTCCATCATTGGTAAGACAACCATCTACCAACTGCAAAATTTTAAAAATATATTCTTATATTTATTTAGCTCAATTCTATATCAAATTTCAATCACAAATAGCAGTGTAATAAACACCTGTCATACTTATTGACAATCATCAAAAATATGCTAAATTTGAAAGTGCCTAATAATTTAATAAATCAAAGGACTTTAACCCTTTCCCCCATGAGCATATTGTGAAAAATGGCCGTTTTCACTGAAAAGCCTCCTGTTACAAGTTCAAACTGCTATGAAACTATGAAAAATGCTTCAATACTAATCAAACTTGGCACAAATGTTGACTGGACCATTGCCTTTGTAAAGACATGCTCAGTCTTAAATTTCCTGTTACCATGGCAACGAGGGGACATCTCAAAATTGCCAAAAATCACTATTTTGCCTCGATTTTTTCCATCAAAATTTATTTCAAAGTGCTGCAACTGCTCAAGGGATTGAGATAGAGTCAAAGGCTTTTCAGCGTTGGTTAAACGTTACATTATGATCGACCTGGGGTCATTTTTAGCCTCTCACAAGTCCAAAATTTTCTTGCCCAAATAGGACATTTTTTTCACTATTTGAGGCCTAAAAAAGGGGGGGGGGGGGGTCGAAAGTGCGTTGTTTAGCGTATATATGTGGTAAAGGGTTAAAATATTCTTGAATTTCTGCTCACAGAAACACATAAAAACTTCTACACATTGAAAAAATCGACACATAAAAATCCAATATTTTTTTATTAAGAATATAATAGGGAAAAAGAATCAGAAATTTGACTTCGAAACATCGTGAAAATCTAATTGAAGTTCAACACAAAAGTTCTACTGTAATATTCCTAAAACCCATATACAGGATCAGGACCGCTACTTGTATTTCTGCAGACATATCTGGTATTTTTACAGGTCAATGTAACCCTGAAGTGGGGCCAATTATGACCCCATGGGCATGGCTTATACCATACACTGACTTCCGCTTAAAAATATATTTTGCGGTTATATTTTATACTTACCCCATTAGCATTCAACAGAGCACACAAGGCTTCAGCCTCCCCTTTACTCTGAATGTATGGAATCCCTAAAATTTCTAGTAACTCGCAGCACTGAAATAAAAATACAAGAGATGTGAAATGGACAGTATGCTAAAATATTGCAAAAGCTTTAAAGCATCATGCCTCCAGATTCATGCTAATTTTCATCAAAATTTTGAAAATGTATTTTGAAGTAAAATATTGTGAAGTGAACAAAGGAAGTAATATGCACATTGCAAACGGCACTTACAATCCACGTTAATTAACAAGAGGTCAAAATATACATAAATACCTCTCACTGCTTTAGTAACACAGTAGAATTATAGTGATTGATACTTCAAAATCAGTCATTAATCACACATAACAAGTAGATAATTAAATATTGAATCTTTTTACTTTTTTCTTCAGATCTTAATACATTTTTCTGAAGATTGAATTTCTTGAAATGTTTTGGCTCAATTGGAGGTGTGCAGCTTTAAAAGCAAAAACAGGAGCTTTGCAAAAATTTTCTATGTTCAGAGAGCACAATTATTCAAAGTAAATTTACTAAACAGTTTTTGATCTTCAACTGTGGCCTACAATACATCAGTGAGAGTGAGCAAATGCAGGCAAATTTTAAATTTTTAACCTTAGTTATTAACAGTAATATTTCGTCTTTCTGCTACATGTACTTAAGCTCCTTTGGCTCAATACAGAGTTGTAGCATGCATTATGTATTTGTATAGACATTACACATTACATATCAATAGAAAAGGTACCATCTCCATGATTTCAGTAAAAATGGCAGACAGATTTAAAAATTGACAATTTGTGTCAAAATGTTGCTGTAAATTTTATTCTACAGGCCCTTGTGTCTCCCAGAAGTTTTGATCCAGGAGCAACACTGCAGTATTTGCCCAATACTTTCATTGTTAATAATTAAGTGGTAATATTTACTGGTAAATGCCAGCACTGACAGCAACTGCCACAACTGATTTTAAATCACAAAGCTCATTATCACAAGTCCTAATAATTATCTAATTGGCGCACATATTGGTTGCTCATGATTCCATTAATCTCTCAAAATCACATAAATATCTGTTTCTATTTTTAACCATAAAATTACCTCTTTCAACCAAGAGTTGAAATTCCTTCTAGTCTGTTTTCCGGCAGGTCTTTGTGGCGCTTGTTTCCCTTGTCGGCCTGGAAACCTTGACTGTTGTCTCTTTATCATTGTATCCCATTTTAATTCCGGTGCCGCACCCTCTATAACAAATACCAGCTTTACACCAAGCTGTGTAAGATGAGAAATGCGGAAAAACAAATTCCTGAAAAAAAAGGTAATCTTTTTTCATTAAAAGCAAGACCCAATAATTTCTCATGAATGAAAGCATTAAAAAGCAGCAAAAAAAACCTGCTTTGCTCTGACTCAGACTGCTGTCTTGAATATCCTTAGGAAATATTACACATAAGAATTTGTTTGCGGTAGAGAGGATGTAAGGATGTCATGTTACAGGTCAGTTTAACCAATTTTATTATAGATTCTACTAGTTTCAGTACGACTGTACTTTTATCAAGAAAGGAATGAAGAATTTTCTGATGATATTGAATACACCAGTGACAGGCACACCAAGAACACCTAACACTTACATTGTTTTGTTTTTTTATATATTTAGTACATATTATTTTTTTGCTCAATTATTATATATTAGCATGCATTTAGTATTACAAGTATGCAAATGCAAATTTATAGATTGTTCAGCACAACTAGCCTACTTCTCTAAAGTCTGAATTAACTACCAACTGCATCAATTTAATATTACGTTACCATAACACTCCTCTAATTCATGTAACAACTTAGTACAGTGTATATATAAAAATTAAAATAAAAAGAATAAAAATGCTTTTCTTCTTACCTTAAATAAGGTTTTGATACAACTCCTTGCATCTGTTTAACACACTGATTTTCACAGACCCAAATTGACAGGTCTACAGCAAGAGTTTGGCCAGACAGTGAGGACAGTGCCCTGTGCTGCTCCACTGGGGCAAGTATCTGCCATAACTGAGTCACACCCATTTTTTATTAGGTTTAGTGAACAGCCCTTGAATATCTAGTGATGAACATCTCAACTTGTCACATGCGTCATTTCATTTTTGTTTTTCTGGAAAATAATATTGTATACATGTATTTCATCAGACAATCCTTGGTGCTGGATAGTAAAAGTTAAACAAGAGTCTGGATAATGTAGAATATTTTAACTTTAAAAAGGGCCATAATTCTGTCAAAGTCCATGTTTGTTATGGGTCTTACACAGAGACCTTCTATTGTGCTCTCAAATAAGTGCGTTAAGTTTCAGCCCATTCACATCTGTAGTTTTGGAGATACCATCTAGCATGCAAATGTTTGGAAGACGTATTTTAACAAGATGTCTCAGAAATAATTATCATTTTGAATAAGGCAATGAAAATAAGTCATGCTTGAGTGATCATCTCAGAAGGTATAGATAAGGTGATTAGAGTGAAAATGAGTCATTACTGTCCTGTAAGGTTTATTCGTACAGCATTGGCCTCTGAATCAGGCCACTAGGGTTCGATTCCTGGAGTGTGCAGGTCACTTTCCTTGTAATTGATCATGAAAACCTTTCTTTTGGTCATCTACACTCCATCTCTGCTCTGGTATAATGTACAGCAGCTATTATTTCCTTGTTAAAGTGAAGGCAACTAGAACTGTTAAGTTCATTGCTAAAAAATTATTTCTCAATCAGAGTTGTGAATTTGTGGAATGACTTGCTAGAAAAGGTTGTTTAAGCACAAAAAGTTGATACCTGAAAAACCAGTTTAGACCACAACTAGAATGTAATCAACAAAGGCATAGGAGGTATCACATTTTTTTTAAACTCTAAAACAAGATGTAAATTCAGTGGTTTATCATTCACACGGGAAACGGACAAAAGCCCTCCTGTCAAAAAGTGACAAGGCGGACAAAAGCCCTCCCGTGAAAATGACAGGGCGGACAAAAGCCCTCCCGTGAAAATGACAGGGCGGACAAAAGCCCTCCCATGAAAATGATTGGGCGGACAAAAGCCCTCAAGTGAAATTAACAAGGCGGACAAAAGCCCTCCCGTAACAAAAATAAATATCTATGTTGAATACCTGTGTTTTTTTCAGTGCACTCAACATTAAAATTATTTTTAATATATATTTGTTGTTGTTTTTAATTGGCCTAAGTATGTGTATGAGCTAGAACCACCTTTTAATCTGAATATACCTTCCTGAAATGTTTAACAAGGTAACTTTTTTATGCCGTTAAAAACAAAGTCACTTTCAACAGTAATTGACTCATTACAAGGTACATTATTTATGTCTTTAACTTTCAAGTAAGATAATTTTAACTTCTTTTCATCATTTATTACTCTATTGATCTTACCCTCACATAGGAGTAATCCTTCATATCTACGTGAATAAATAAGCACTTACAGAGTTGAGCACTTATTATTCAGATGCCTGTTAGGAATGTGCTCAAGCTCAAACAAACACGCTTATGCAAATGGAAAACAAAAATATCAATGATTACAATTTTAATATGTTGAGTGCATTGAAATGAAAATATTAACTATTCAACGTACATTTATATGTATTTGCTGCGGGAGGGCTTTTGTCCGCCCTATTATAGTCACGGGAGGGCTTTTGTCTGCCAAGTCATTTTTATGGGAGGGCTTTTGTCCACCCTGTTATTTTCACGGGAGGGCTTTTGTCTGCCTTGTCATTTTCATGGGAGGGCTTTTGTCCGCCTTGTCTCTTTTTGACGGGAGGGCTTTTGTCCGGGAGGGCTTTTGTCCTACACTCCATTCACACAGTTTTTGGTCTGACACAAAGCCAAAAAGTATCTATTTTTCACAACTATTAAATGAAAATTCATGATTGCCAAATTGTTGCTACATTAGACAAAATTGTCAATGACTTAAACATCAGAAACAGAGAGATTCAACTGATTCTGTTTAATAAGGTGTTTATCATAAGTCTTGGCACTTACAATGCATTATTTAAACTTTTTACCCAACAAAATTGCTAAATTTTAACAATATAAAATAGAACTAAATTACTGTTAACTTTCTCTGAAGTGACTAGTCTAGAGTCATGTCTACGTCCCCGCGTGGGGTTTGACAGTCACATTAATGGAATATAGATAGATACTGTTTCAAACGACAAAGGGACACTGACACATTCAGAAAACACTGATATGTAAATTTTACAGGTTACGCAAATGTTGGCTAAATCCTTGAATAGAACATCTACTCTCGAATTGAACATGTACTGAATTGAACAACAATTTACAGAGCTCTGACATCACATACATTCTACATCCCGAGGGGTTTGACATTTACGGAAGATAGATAGACCAGGAATATATCTTACATTCATTCCATTTTCTTAAGATTATTTTATACAAGTTTTACTCCTGAAAAGTAGATAGTGGTCTTATCCAGATAGCCTACAGATGAGAAGAAAGGTTGCATTTGTAAAATTTTATGCATGCTGAAAATCACAACTTCTCTGCAAATAGCCACCAACAACTGAAACGATCTTGACCAAAAAATCTTGTCAAAACCTTTACAATTAACCTATTCACATCAAGCACATTTTAATGATAACTAACCAGTAGTGTGCCAGCATCATGTTAACAGGGTAGGTCTAGAAAGGAAAAAGACATCGTTTCTTCCAGAAAATTAACATAAATCATGTTAATTTTATAATTAACTGAAATTTAAACATAAATGATATAATTAAGATTAAACATTTGCGACTGACATAGTGAAAATGTTAATTTCACACCTCATTGTCCACTGTCAACATAAATTTTACACCAGCCTGCCAGGTGCTGTCCATCAATAAGGGAAGTAACTCTAGCATTTCTCAAATTTCCCGCAAAATTAGGTCAGTCTCGTAGGGTGAAATACCTTTTTCTAGACGATTAAAATACAAATTATTAAACTGAATAGCCAAATTAAAGGGATGCGGGGTTCATTTTCTAAATAAAAACAATAAACTAAATTCAACTAAAAAGAACAAAACCAAAATATCACGTGATACAAATATGCCGATGAGCAGCGCCATTTTTGCTTATGCGCGCCAGATTTTGAACAACAGTTTTCGGCGACGTTTCGTGGATTTATTACACGATGCCGCTCCTTTCTAAACGGATTTTCAATTGTGTTAAACCCTTGTCGGATGTTAAACCAGAAGAAGAAATATATACCATTCCACATACAAAGGAACAATTTCGTTCTCAACTGTATCCTTTGCAAAATTCATATTCAACCAAATAATCCAAGATGGGCGGCCGCCCATGGAAAATGCAATTTGCAGACGATAAAACGACCATTTTCAAGAAAAATTAACTGTTTTCATGGTGAATCTTCATTCAGTTATCATAAGACATACGTTATCATCGGTGAAAACCAATAATAGGGTTAATTGGAGCAAACTTTCCATTCAACTTTCTGCGAGAAGTCGTTCAGAAAAATTGCTAAAAAACATCATTTTCACCCGTATAATGTAGTTCGTCAAGTATTTCATACGTTAATTTAGTTCATTCGGTGACAATTTTCCATGCAAATAGCATATTTTATCTTGATAAATGCTTGAGAAAATGTATATTTCTTCGGACAATAGGACAAAGAATCTGAAATGGCAGCCATTGTTTTTCTTGGGTTGCCAGCTTGCTTGACTGGGGTTACCTGTTTATTTTGACGATTTCCTTGAATTTCGATAGAAATCTTTGATGTTTTCATATTGAGTATTGATGTAATATCAATTCTGTGTAAAGTACATTGGTCATTATGCTGAATTAGGCGAATTATTGAGTGGGGTAGGGTGTGTTGTGCAATGGAATATGAAAGGTCAAAGGTCACTACTCTTTATTTTCTAAAAACCACAGCAGATACTACATTTAATTAATCAGGATTTGCAAAATACCAAAAACAATAAGCAAACAAATAAAAGAAGTGTGTTTTTGTTTTAAAATATTGTTGGTTATTGATAATTACATGGTTTAGATAATATTTACATGATTTAGTAATTTATCAAAAGTGCATTCATTCGGGGCTTCTGTTAGTTGATGTCTTGGTGTCATTCCTTGATTTTGGCTTACAAAATGTATTGCTTTTCCTTATCGCCTATATTATAATGTTACTTCCAATGTCAGATATTTAAATTTATGCAGCTGAAGACTTCAAAATTTTGGAACTTATGGAAGCCCTGCTCATTTTAATACAGATAGTTAATAATGTAGGTGCAGTTGCCCCAGGTGCTAGTCTTACTTTAGCTTGTTTTGCAAATAGGGAAAGATCATGGATTAACTTCATTTAGTAGTAACTATGTAGAGGACACTTAGAAAATATTCATTAAAGTTAAAGGCAAGGTCTTCTGACTTCAGACATGTCCATGTCATCATCACTCAGATCTTCTTAATCTGAATTAATGTTCTTCTCCTGTATTAAATGAAATACAGATTTTATAACAACATGTAATTGCAATAATGGAGATATATAGGAGTGTTTTTTAACTTTGCATCGAAACATTGAAGTAAGATAATTTTTATCTTCTTCCTTAGGCAGAGGTGTTCCAACTTCCTCATGCCTATGTCCTGTTGCTGTAACAATGGAATGTCTTCGTGGCCTCAGTACCTGCTACCAAATGCTGAATTATAGAATTATAGTTAGGTATGACTTAAGTTTGTGTCAGATTGGAAGTATGTATGTTGATAAAAAGAAAACATTGTAGAATAATAGCAATGTATGGGTAACCCTAACTCTCTAGGGAATATTTAAGTTTACCGTTTACTACCAAATGAACATTTACATTTTGACTTGAGTTTTGTCAGTATATTGCCAACCAATCACTGAACTCAAGTTGATAAATATAGATTATGCATTGATTATGATTGCAGGACTTACTACACAAATCTTACCAGATATACATATGTACTGATCATAAATTACACAACAAGCACTCAAGAATTGAAACTGAAACTAGTATAGTAAGAAAACATAGTCATTCTGAAATTAAAAACCCTTGGGGGCTAACCCACTGACTTACAATCTTTTGAATTTTGAAGGTCGGAATTGGATTTTACATGCCTTTGGCGTCAGGCGTGTGCCCTGTTTTTCTTGTACAGCTTGAATTAATGTCATTATTTCTACTTGTATTATTATTATAAATTGCATACCTTAACAAGAAACTAGGGAATATGAGAAGCGTTTGCATGTATATGAAAAAAGAATCTGGACATGCCAAAGCACTGGACATGTAAATCTCACTCACGAGGAGGCTTGGAATTCAGAGAAGGCTGTACTTAAAACATTGAAGGAACAGTTTGCACCATGTTATGACAAACCCGTTCTTGAACTTGTTCATCACAGTAAGATTATTTATTCAATGTATAAAGTATTTAGTGAATGTATCTGTAATAGGATTGTAATAAATTCCAGCTCAACAATTTGTTAAAGCAGTATTGATATACATGTTTCAAGCAAGTGGCTTATAATTATTTACTATGCATAATTTATAATGATCATAGACTCATAGTGACTTGAAGTTGGGTCAGATGATTGCTTCCTGTGTGTCTAAATAATAAGGAATCTTTCCTGATTATACCAATATCTACAAGTTACTTTCAGGCCCTGGAGATTATACATACTAGTCATACTATTCTAATACCAATGTTCCTCCTGATTAGAGTATGAAAATCTTACTGTTGTGAAAACAGTCTTATATTCAGTATTTTGGATTGACTTCAAACCACTTGCCTAAAACCACTGTAATTTCTAGTCGCGCTAGCATCTTTGTAAAGTAATCTCCAGCTACTTTACAGAAAATTGGTGGTTTTACTTGGGTGCATGTTTGTGTCTGTATTTTATAAACCCAGTATACCAGTTAAAAATTTACTATCAATTTCAATTATATATTTTGGAATTTTCATTTGTGAATTATTGTCGTAGAATTTGCAGAGAAAAAAGGAGATTTCATTTGGGAATATCACCAAATATTGGCAAAAAAACCACAAAAAGCATGACATAAAAACCAGATACAAATACATTATATTATATCTTAATGATTTTCTTAGGTGTAAAGTCATTGGATATATTAGTAGACGAAGCATGGCTAATGTTACAGCAAGTACTTGTTGTTGGAGAGAGAGTACTTCTTAAGGTCAAGGCTGGTGGAAAATCGTAAGTGTTAGATAAGCATAACAAATTTTAAAAAAAAACTTGACAATTTAATTTCATCCGCTTTCATTTATTTATAAGGCAAATGCCAAAAGTTTACATTCATTTTGTTTAGACTTAACAATATAAATTGTGAATGCATATATTTTACTGAAAGAACTTTATATATAAAAAAAATATTCATGACCAAAGGTCTTGCTTAAAGAATATATGTTACAATTGATGCACTGTTAAGTACAAGATCTTTTGCCACTTCAGGATGAAAGCAGTGATTGTGAAGGTTGACCCTGCAGGATTTGAGGTTTGTGTTACTATTTAACTAAATATAATATGGTTTGTAGTATTTATAATAGTTGATAGCATTTTACCACTGTCATCTATGAACAGACACAAGCAAACTGATTTTGCCAAATTTTCAATTTTGGACATTCTTTTAAGTTTTCACTTTTATGTTTTGGGTGAATTTTCATAATTTACAGACGTTTAAATAATTAATCAACATTATCAATTTTTACGAAATGTGTATCAATTATTAAATGACAGAAAATATCAATGAAACATCAATATTGTCTATTGATGACAACTCTATTGTTAAACTAGGCTGTAGTGGGCAGTGGTTTTAGTACTTGTTTGCTAGTTTTACAAATCAGAACAAATAAGGAATCATTTCTTACGTCTATAATATATATTGTCGCCACATTATCTAACAGGTGTGGCTATAAATTGTTCTTTATAAAAATCTATTCATTACTCTTTTTAACTTCAATATTAAATTATAAATGAAATTTATGTATAATGAAATTTTTATTCATATATTTAAAGGGAAATCCAACTAGTAATTGTAACTCGCCATCAAGTGACAAAGAAAACAAGGACAGTAACCCTTCATCGTCACCCAAAAAATGGGTACCACCTAAGGTAACTTTAAATTTTGTTTTTTTAATTGCCCAAAGAGCGATAAATGCCACTTCACAGCACTGTCTGTACGGCACTATAAATTTGTAAGAAGTCAAAGAAGCCAGTGTGAATTTGAGAGTTGCAAGCAGCAAAGTATAATGAGTGATTTTTAAGTGATTATATTGTATCGCCTGCTACAGCGACTTACAGAGGTCACTTCTTACCATTTCTGTTTGTCCATCAAAAAGGGTATTCGGACTATCTTTCAAAAACTACAGGTGCAATTTCATCCAGTTTCATCAGGAATGATCAGTGCCATTTCAAGTTCATTGATTTTTGTCAGACTTATTGCCCTTTAATTCTGGATTACTTCTCTTATACCACTAATGAAATTTGAAATGATCAGTACCTCGAGTACTTATGCATATATCATGTTTTTTTGGAGTTTTTTCAGTTAAATGATTTTTGGCTGAGCTAAATTATTTTAACTTCTTATTTCTTAAGGTATCTCAAGATTCATAACTCTAGCCTGAATATTTTCAGAAATATTCTGCCGTTGAACTTTGATTTTTTTCTAGAAATTGTTATTTTTACTCTTTTATTTCTTAAATAATTTACTTCAAACTTTAAATTTAAGTTTTATATAATCTCCCATATCATAATAATGTGACAAGGTTCATAACTCTAGAGTCAATATTTGTTGAAATATATAAGCACATTTGCATAGTTGTGCCCCCTTTTCTGTTGCTTTTATTTTACTATCTAGCTCGGAGAAAAGTGAAGTGCACTGTCCATGGACTGATATTGTTAAAATCTTTTTGAACATCAGATGTGCCTCTTGAAATATTTCTTTAATCACAATGAATATTTTTGTTGAATGTTTTATTTGATTTTTCTATTTTCCAGTTGCTACCATATATGTACAGCATTAGGTTCGAGAATGAAGATAGTGTTATCCATTCTGTTCCAGCAAATGATTTAAGGTATGGGAGACCATTATTGCTTTCTTCTAGATTTCTTTTTTAATCGCTATAATTTAAATGATTATCTGTTATGAAATTTTACTGACTACAATGCTTTTTAGTAATGCAACTTTTTACTTGAGAGGCAGATTTTTACGATGAGTTTCTGTTAGTTTTTTAATTTCACAAATGTCGGCCTTTAATAAATCGATATCCTTGTTGTGTGTAAGCAAGATATAAGTCCCGATTTTCCCCCTATATGTTCTTTATTAAAACCTATATATGAGTTGATATTTTATGTGTACATATTTTTATGTGTTGAAGTTTTGAAATCGTCTGTAAAGAATAATTCAAGAATATTTTGATCTTGAGATATACTTTTTACACCTTTTCTTGCTGCAATTATGATTGCTGATCAACTTTTATGGCAGATGTAAATTACACTGTCACGGCTGTGTGTTCTAATTCTCAGGTTAATTCTCAGACATTTTAATCATGCACATGTATTTCACTAAGGTGTAATATTTTAATCTTATATAATGAAGGCAACTTGGGGAATTTAAGAGTATCCTTCTTTCTCCTTACTTTGTTTTAAGTTTATACATATTTTAGTTTGATTCTAAGCTGCAAGAGTAGTTCCTCACACAAACAATGGCTTGTCGTAGGGGCAGTAAACATTACATTTTAACAAAGAACATGATTGAACATTATGCGTTCTTGGTATGAAAAAATTATATTTTGTAAGTACAAGCATCTTTGTTTAATGCATACCTCGGATATTTCAGTCGTGGTGACAAACCACCGTCAAAGGAACTGTTGCGGTTATTTATACGTACATACACTGTCAGATCGGGTTATTCTCCTAACAGTCCATGGATTGTTGATGAAGCCCAAGTAAAGAAATTGGATCTACAGAACAAATATGCTAGTTTTCTCTTATCCCCAATTAAGGTAAGCAAACTTGTTTGAAATATTAAACAGTTTGATTTTTGGATCGTAAGGATTTGCCTGTTGATAAAATGCAGAGATATGGATCTATCCAGTTGTATATTTTTGGACAAAGAACTTCGAAATGTTCATGTTGGCTTTAAGTAACATAAGTTTGGATTATCTTAAGTTGAAATATTTCTTTCTTGTAAATAAGATTATAAAAGATCGAGGTAGTTTGCTCAAAAAAGAATTTGAAAAAAATAAACATGCATGTGTTTTGGGACTTTAAGCTTGCTTTTCAGAAGAATAGGGAGAGCTTTTGTTCGCACCCTGACATCACAGTCACAATTTGGCTAAGTTTCTGTGTGCAAGTACTGAAAGAAATTGGATTAAACTTCACACACTTATCTGAGAGTATATTACTGGTCAAGGCCCATTACTCTAACATGGATTTTGACAGAATTATGGCCAGCTGATTTAGGGCCTTTTTTAACTTAAAAAATTCTACATTTTCCAGACTTATGTTTTACTATCAAGCACTGAGTAAAGTCAAGCGCGCTGTCCTACTGACAGCTCTAGTTATAAAAAAATTCCTTCTCCTAAATAAATCTTATGTTGATATTTTCATGCAGTGGAAACCTGATGAAATTGCCAAGAAAATTAGGGAGGAGACAAAAGGTATCAAGTCTACTGGCAAAGGTTCGTCAAGAATAAAGTCAAAGATGGATGCCAAAGAGGAAAAACGTAAAGAAAAGGCAAAAAGATCGATCTCAAAAATTGAAAAGAAAAGTGAAAAACTGAAACAACAGAAGGAAAAACAATCGAAGAAAAATGAAGTGGCAGAATTAGATTCTTCGGATGATTCCTCTGATTTGGAATCGGAAAATGAGGAAGGGAATGAAAATAAAAGTGTAGTGACCGAGATTATTTCAGATTCAGACTCAGATACACCACTGTCAAAAGTAAAATCTCAGTTGACTCCTCAGAAAAAATCTAGTAATACTAGTAGCCCAGTGAAATCTGGGAAAAAATCGCAGTCTCTCGCAGACTTGCAGAAAAATTAAAAAAGTAGTAAATCGAAAAAGCCAATGTCCTTTAGCTGACTTACAGAAGCAGTTGGAGAAGAAGAAAATCAAGAAAGACAAGAAGAAGTCTAAAAAGGGGCAGGTATGGAGTTAATTTGTACAGTTAAGATAAAACATTTGTCGTAATTTTGACTTGGGAAAATTTAGCATTTTACACCACTTTGTGTTCCAAAAGGTTTTGTTAAATATTCCCCAATTTTCTGTTGGTTATGGAACTAATTTTTTCTAATTTTAAAGGCATGGGCAGTACATAAATATTAAACTGAAATAAATCTGTATCAAATGATGCTATTTTGCAGAAGTTTGTTTTAAGATCTTACTGTGTTATTTGCTTATTCAGATTTTTTATCACCAGTGTTGGTAAAACAATCAAGGAAGTAATATATGAACAAGTTTTTCCTTTTCCTTGATAGAGTAATTTTGGACAAGACATGCATTTTTCAAATGAATGAAAATTATCTTAACTAAAGTGTTAATTTTAATAAGCCATTGAGGTGTAAAATAAAATTAATTTTAAAATAAACCCAAAATTTTTGTTGTTGGAAGGTAATAATTGTAAATTTGCGCTTGATTTCTAAAAATTCTTGAGGGTACTGGACCGACCATGAAAAAATTATCTGCGTCTTCCTTCTGTGGCATTTTCCAGCTGTTTTATTAGGAAAAATTGTTCAGCTTTTTGGGAAATGTGAAAAGTTGAAAACTCTTAAACATGACTTTTTAACATGTGAATGATCATAGAACTTGTCACTTCTTATAAGAAACAAGTCCCCCCCCCCCCCTGAATTTCGGCAAAAACTTGAGGCAATATTTGATTGGGACAGGGCCTTAGATTGGCCTCTTGTGATAGAGTGATAATGCCTTCATATCCTTTTTTGGTTTGATCAGTATGTTTCGTTGAATGAAACTATAACAAAAAGATAACCTGCTAACTATTTTAATAAAACTTTTTTTAGGACCCCAAACAATTGACATTAATAGACACTTTGAAGAAGAAAGGGATGAAAACTCCTGAGAAGAAGAGTAAAAGTCCATTGAAGACTCAGACATCATTGGATATGAAGAAGAAGCTATTGAGTCCTTCCAAGACACCTATCTGTATTGAAAAGTATGTTATTCTTTAAATACAAGATTTATAAAACATGTGGCAAAATATTGTCTCATTGCGCTAGGTTTAAGAACCAGTATTTTAGAGGTACAGTTTCTCATATAAGACTGTTAAAGTTGCACACCTCCAGATGAGCCAAAATATTTAAATAAAGATCAAACTTGAGAAAAATGTACTAAACTTTAAGAAAAGGAAACAGATGCAAGATTCAGTTAATAATTTATGTGTGATTAATAACTTAATTTTGCAGTATTTATAATCATATTTCTACTGTGTCTGTAGTAAGGACTATGTTTGCATATTTTGACGTCTTTCGGGTACTTTACATGGATTGTAAGTGCCATTTGCAATGTGTATTACTTTCTTGGTTCACTTAACAATACTTTACTTTTAAATACATTTTGATAAATTTAATGAAATCTGAAGGTATGCTGCTTTAATTCGTTTATATAATTATGTCAAACTCAAACTGACCTTGGCTCATTTATGAGGATAATACTTTTTGTTAACATTTTTTTCCACCAAATTTTAGCTGTTAATTATTTGTGTGTAGCCTAAAGTATATTTATAAACAACAATGTAGTTTAAGATATCAGTTATAAATTTGATTAGTCATTTTACAAATTCTACAATGTGAAAGTAAATTAACTTTAAAATTGATTATACAGGTTGCAGGCAGCAATTAAAAAGAAAGATAATCCACTTATTGGTATGTACGCGTTACAATCGGCAAAATGTCTGAGTAAAACTCAGAGGGACAATTTGAAAGGACTTTGTAAAGAACATGTCATGAAAAAATACAACTTTTTACAGGAGAAGCGAAAAATGTAAGTTTTTCTATTTTTGCGCTAAAATGTTTTGTGCTGTTTGTTTCAGTTTTTCTATTTTTGCGCTAAAATGTTTTGTGCTGTTTGTTACAGTTTTTAGTAAATGTGAAATGAATATATCTATGAGATAGAGCATTATGCCGATAGAAGTATAAATGGTACAAGTGTGAATATGAAAGTCATAATGAATGAACAATTTGTGATAACCTGACTCCAATTTTATATACTACTTGTCATGAAACATCATTAAACCCTTGCTTCTTGTGGCTAAGGGGTTGCCTTTAATGATTGAGGCATCAAAATTGAAAGCGCCGTTTATCCCTGAGTGATTGTAAGAGCTGACTCAATGGGTTAAAATTATTGGAGTCTTTGCATCTCTTAGCTTCATCAGGTGAGGTGGTTTTGACCCGTGGTGTTGCTTTAAGTTTGTAATACCAGAGGTAAGCCAAAAACATCTTTCCTGAGTCGGCATCATATTACCTAAATAGTGTTGGTACCCTGTATAACCAAACTAAAACCAAACTAAATTTAGTCTAAATATTTGTTGTTTTCAATCTATTGATGGATTACTATTATAATAGACATTCTTTCGCAATATTATTATATAGTTAATACAGCAGATTTTGACAACATAAACTTTAAGAATTACTGCTTGAATATTTTAGAGCTAAAATGACTGAGGAGGAAAAGAAGACATATTTGGAAAATAAAGCCCGAGAGCGTGCAAAAGAGGCCAGGAAAAAATATAAAAACACTATGAGGGTGAGTGTTACTGTTAGGGACCATACACTGCTTTTGTCATTGAATGTCACAAATGTGATGGCATTTAAGGTTTCATGATCACTATCTGTGGATGTTTTAGAATTCTTAATTAGAATCAATTTACATGTTTAGGTTGAATGTAGAGTTATAGAGTCGGTGATAGGGGTTTGGAAGGCAGCCTGTCTTTATTTGCTATGTCAATGAACAGGCCTTATAAGGGACCCTGTAACATTTTCAATTTTGCTGTGTTGGCCAACTTTTAATGTTTTTAATATTTGATATTGATTTGTTTTTTGGCTATGGTGACATTAGATTTGTAATCCATAGGTTTGATCCTCAAATTAGGCAAAATTTCTCTGTGACAATCTCGGACATTGAGTTTAAAGGTCATTTATCTTTCAAGGCCGATCCAAAAATGTGGAATTAAATACTTAGTAGTCAGTCAGTTAAGGAAAGAGTTAAAATTACTGGTTTAGTCAGTCAGTTAAGGAAAGAGTTAAAATTACTGGTTAATTATCCAGGAAAGCTTGTGAGGTTGACTGAATTCAGAGATATGATCAAAACAAATGTGTTGAAATGGACAAAAAATATTCAATTTTATATTTTCTTTCCTGTACTTTTTGTTGCTATATTTGGTCGCATTTACAGTATATTTTGGAAATGACTGAAAAAATGAACGAAAAGAATTTAACCTGTAACCTGCTATATTCGTAAGATGGATTTGCCTGCTTTGAACTTAGAACAATCAATTCAAAGTTTAAATTTAATAAATATTTCAGAAATTTGAGGATACCATATTAGATTTACAGCCATTACCAGCACCAACACTAGTTGTAACCCCAGATGGTCTTCCTAATGAACTGTTTGGAGATATTGCCATGGTGACAGACTTTATATCATGCTATGCTGGTCTCTTGATGCCGGATGATGAGTACCCAATCTACACAGGTATGTTTTCAGTAGCTGCTCTTTGACAGCACAGAATATATTGAATTTTAGCTGGACTTTTAGAAGAATATGGAGAGCTGTTGTACTCACCTGTGTGTAAGTTTGGTTATTTTCATCTTTGAAAAGGACACTGGACCACTGGCCCCTGACTATGGGTTTGAATCCATGTTATGTAGAATTTTATTCAAGGAGCTATCGGAGGAAATATACCTCTGATTTAGACATTTCATGAATGTAATTGTTTCAGCGTTTAAAAGCCTTGAAGAAACATTATTATTTTTAATTTTTTTTTTCTTTCTTCCAGATTGTTTCATGAAAGCATTAGCAAGTGGTAAAGATGGTTTCACATACCTATGTCGGACTCTCACAGTGTTGTTACAGACCTTGTTACAGGACCAGATTGCTGAGGTACATATCATATCATATATAACATAAGTTGAAGGGCCATGTAGGTGGATAAATCTGCAGCAACATGTAATAGGCTACCTGCCTACGTTTGGTTAATATTAATTTACATTCTCATTCAGTGTTACTTAATTTGCAGCAGCTGCCAAGAAAATATTAATTTTTTCAAAAAAAAAAAAAAAAAAAAATGAACTGTTTTGACTTATTTCTTAACAGCAGTGAGAGATGATATGATTGCACATATAAATAAAACTTGATGTAGTTTTTCAACTTCTTCAAATTTCTCAAAATGACAAATATATTTCTTACTTTAAGCTTGGGACCTTTCCTCAAAATGCTTGAATGCCCGTATAACATTACAAACCTAGGTGTTGAAATATAAAAAAAAAAAAAATATAAATTAAGAAAATCCTTGCCTCAACCAACCTCAAGACTATATACTGTTAAATTGGTAAATAAATTCTTAGATTTTGAAATTGAAATCCCTTAAAACTTGACAATCCCTTTACAAAAACTTCAGTTGTTACAAGGTTAATTTCAGTATCGGCTAAATCCTTATAATTTTCTTTGTAGGATTATGAAGAATTGAAAGTACCGTTGTCAGATATCCCAGTTACACCAGGCTCGTGCTCGGAACTGGTGAGATTGTGTTTAAGGAGGCATGACATGTCAGACAGCAAGAGTGATACTAGTGAAAATCTTGATGATGTTGAAGAATGTGAAGTTGTAAGTCATTGAACATTTTTTAATGCTTGAAGAAGAATCAGAATATTGGCCTCTGCTAAATTTACAACATTTTGAAATTAAATCTAGAAATGTCCAAATATTTGTAAACATTTTCACCTATACTTGCTCAAAGTTTGTTGGCTTCTTTTGTTTTTATGAAATCTGGATTTATATATTTTTTAGCGTGTCTATTGAAAGAAATAGTGACTGTTTTAACAGATTTGTTTACGTTACTTTTCGCACTCCTTTTTGAAATGTAAAAATTGCATAAAAAGCACGCTATCCCAACTTCCAGTATTCAGCTGTTTATTGTTTTTTGCCTTTACATTGCAGCCTGATGAGTTGTTACAACTGTTGGAAACACAAGAGTTCTATGAACTGGAACCAATTCAAAAACTGGCTATATTTAAAGGACTGTGTGAGAGGGTGATGGGAACGTACTCTGTGCAGTATTACATGGAGGAAACACAACAAAAGTCCACTGAACTTTGGTACGTATTCTTGACAGTCTTACTGTTACTTAGATTGCAGGAATTCTGTAATTTTAAAAATCAAATTACCCATTGATGGTTATGTATACAAATGTATAATTTCATCATTTTACAGGGTTCGACACTAATGGGGTCCCGGGATTCCGAGGATCCCAAAAAGTCGGGAGGAATCCCTGTGATTCCTAGCTGGGGATTCTGTTGGGATCCCTGAAAAATTGCTGTGTAAATTTTTGAAATTTTCTGAATTAATGTCATTGAATCACAAATATTCAAGAAAAGTGGTTCAAGAAAGAAAAGAAAAACCCCGCCGGTAAAATCTACACTCTTGAATTATGTACGCTAGTTTTTCTTTGTGCAGTGACTGCTATCAACTCATTTGCGATATAAAATGACAAAAATGTTTTGATTGAAGAAACATTCTTGTATACAGTAATTTTATATCATGCATTGACTTCATAAAATAGAGTTGTGAAAATTCAAAAAAGAAATGTAATTATCGTATAATTATTACACAAGCGATGTGTACTTCAAATTTGTGTTGATCGGCAATGCCGGCGGTAGCTACTGTACAGTTATCCAGTGTTTGTTGTTTGTTTTTTTATTGCCAAAAATTCGGCACTTGTGACCATTGTAAATTTTCGTCAAAATTGTGAAAAAAAGATAACTGGTGTATTTTTTCTCCCTACAGTAGACTACAGCAAAAGTATAATTAATAAACAAAATAAAAAGAATCCAGACTTTTAAGTTTAAAATCCTTTTTGAAACTCACAGCCTTCAATGCTAAATTAAAAAACATTGTCTAACTAAAGTCTAAGTTCAATCAAGGTCACGCATTATTTACCGACAAGAAATACAAAAATCCTTACGCGTTACGTGAAACATACAGCAAATGACGAAATATACAGCAAATGACGTATATTTCATCTGACAGTGCTTTTAGCCAATCAGTGTTGTGAGCTACATGACTGCTTGTATGGGGTGAGTGCCTTTGATGTGACAGGTGTCAAAACTTACAAAAAAATCAATACACAGGGAGGAAAGGGATCGGACATTTCAGTGTAAAAATTGAGAACAATAAATTTGGATATTGCCCATCCTGTCAGGGACTTGGAGCAACTTATCATTTTTAAAAATGAAATCATTTAAAGGTACCGTACTTGTAATGCAAACAAAACTGTTTCTTGATATTTTTATTAGCTTAAGTAAAAGATTATCAAAATATTTAATTTACAACAATCTATGGGATTTTTCCTTTTAAACACAAAAATGTAAAATGAAATCAAATATTTTTTTAAAGTGATTATTATTAAGAATTTCCTTAAAAATGACATGAAAGTAAATAATTATAGACACTTATCCATACCAGACCTTTCTGGAATATGGAGCCTGATCATTACCTGTAACTTTTTAAAGATCTACATATGATAAGTGGGCTCTATTTCAGTGAACCCTAGGCTATCTGGGAAAATGTTTCCCCAGTTCCTATTTAACTTCAAAAATTCAAACCACCTTGTCAAGTCACTTGCATTATACCTTCATTTAGATACAGAAACTGGTTCACAATTATCAACTCCAGGGAGAAAACAGGTTTTAGCAACCTATTTTCAAATCGAACTCTTGTTCAGTGAGCTTAATGTTATTCTGTTTCCATGTTCATGTAAAAATATATTATGTTTTAATTTATCTTAGCAGTCCAAATATATACTTTGAAACGCTTTTAAAACTTTAAATAGCATTATTTCCAAAGAGCTCATAAACTACATTTTCTGCATCTGAAACAAGACAATATATCCTGTATGTAGTCTCAAAAATGAAAAGAATTTGAAATCGAATTGCTGCAATCCCTTGTTATTCTTCGCCTCCATATTTTACTATTTTGATCTGAGGAATCCCTGACATTTAGGAGGAATCCCTGAATTAAATCTCAGGGATTCCTATGGGATCCCTGGTAAAAACAGTTAGTGTCGAACCCTGTTTTAACATTTACAGTAATAGTTAATACTCCCTCGGTTGAATACAATTTTGTATGCATTATGTATAAGACGGGTATAAGTAGAATAGGGGATCATCTTAATATATTTCAGTTAATCATTGCTTGGTATTGAATTTCCCAAAACTGAAAATATTACAGTTCCAAAAATGAAAGCAAGGCTTAAGTGCATTTAAGAAATTTTACAATGATCACAGCTACAGATTAGCTTTTAAGTTAATTAGGTATTTACCCCTGGACTTGACAAGCAATTGGGTAACACAGAAACAAAACTGGATATCATCGAAAAATTTATTGATTTGCATAGATTTGCATCGGTCAAAATATTGTCAAGTATCTCAGAAACAATATACACAAAGACTGTACTAAAAGTTCATTTAACAAATTTTTTACAACATCCTTAGGCTCTGGTTATGTAAGATATCCAAATATTTTGTTAGACTGCATTGAAATAATTGATTTTTTTCGGCCCCGTTTCGCCATTTTGTTGAAGCAAAAAGTAAATAAACCTCAGTCTGGGCCGCGATTTAGTTATCTCTCATAAGTATGAAAAGCTTTTCTGCGAAAAAAATGACTTAAATATAACCAGTCTACTCAATTGTTCCCTGTTAACAAATGGAAAACGAAAGAACAGAAGGGAAACAGGCTGTTTTCAAATTTGTTTAGCAGCTTTTGCTAGGTGAATTACAATGTGAGATATTAGTAATACGCTAGAGTATCAAAACAAATTGGGTACTGATATTTTGATTTGCGTTTTTATTACCGAAGGTTTTAGTTTATTTGGGTAAATAGGTCAAAATTATTTGGTAATTACGCAGATACGCTGCTTACCTGTAGCTCTGCAATGATGGGAGGCAGATAATCGATTTGATATATGGTTAATTTTAATGATTTATGTTATTTCTTAATTCTGTAACAGGGGCGTCCGTGGCCGAGTGGTTAAGGTCGTTGACTTCAAACCACTTGCCCCTCACCACTGTGGGTTCGATTCCCGAAAGGGACTTTGGATTCTTTCATGTGAGGAAGCTATCCAGCTAGCTTACGGAACGTTGGTGGTTCTACTCAGGTGCCCGTTCGTGCCTGAAATAATGCACAGAAGGGCACCTGAGGTCTTCCTCCACCTGTAAAGCTGGAACGTCACGATATGACCTATACTGTGACGTAAAACACAAAACAAACAAAAATTCTGTAACATTTTTAAAAGGGCAAAACCTACCCATTTTCAACTGGGTGAAAAAAAAAAAGCAAAAAAGTTTTGATCATATTAAAATGCAACCTGATAACGAAGGAAAAAATATTTTTTTAGGAAAGAAAAGTTTGCAAAGATTAAGGCCAAGAAAGAAGAAGAGAAACAGAAAAAGGGAAGTGAGAAAGATGGTGCTGATGATAAAAAGAAAGAAAATGAGACCACAGACAATAAAAAGAAAGAAAAACATGAAAAAGATGCCCGTAAGTTTATGATTTTCAAAAGTTTTGTAAACTGATGTGATTTTTAAATATCTAAGTTTTAACTTGTTGTGATACATTTGAAACATTTTTTTTAAGGCACAAGCTTTCATTAACATTTGTAGGAATGTTTATAGTGCTGTTATCTCAGATGAGTCATCTGGGGTCAAAAACTAGGTCAAAGGTCGAGTGTTACACTAGGCACAAGATCTCTATGACATTTTTTAAGAGTTCATTGTGCAAGAACAATGACTACCTTGCTTTCTTGAGAGTTATTCCCCTTTATTTGATTAATTTGAAAAAACTGTCCGAAGCATAACTCTTAAAGTAGTTGAGGGATATTCTACAAACTTAATACTGTGACGTAGCACTTTGGGAGGAAGTGCAGTGTGCAAGAACAATAACTCTATCTAGCCTAATTTTAGAGTTATTCCCTTTTATCAGATTTACTTGAAAAACTTTGGCCAGAGCATAACTCCAGAAGTACTGGAGTGATTATCTTTAAACTTAATACATATAAATTAAACAAAATAAATAGATCACATATATATATATATATATATTACTAGTTATGCTAACCTTCTATTCATTGCTGTATTCTTTTTCCACTTGCTTTAAAATTGTACTTAACATTTTAAGTTTTGCCTGACACCAAGTAAAATGTATGAAAGTATAACCTCCATGTGTATCATAGCTTTTGTAAAATCATTGTCCATTATCAATATCTAGAGTTTACTTAGCCATAGATTTCTGTAAGTTATTGTTGTAATACTATTTTTATACAATGTATGTAAATGTGCCACAATATTGGCGCATCAAGTCCTGTGGACAAATTTCTTCTGAGTGTATATAAATCAACATGAAGGAAAAAGAGAAAGAAACATAAACAATAAAAAAACTATACTGACGGAAATTATCCTAAAATAAATCAGAGCTCCAGATAGCGTGCGTATCAGCGTAAAATACGCAAAGAAAATCTAAAATACGCATCACTTTCAAAATTTGTGCGTCAAAATTCCGCATACAAAATGAAAATAGGCTTGTATGTCAAAATTTAAGCGTGAAACAATAGAAGTGTAAACATTTTATATTTATAAAGTGGATGTTTTGAGCATAAAAAAATCAATATATTTCTACTTTATTGCTTTGAAAACTAAAAATTCTGTTGTCAACAATGCATGTATAAAACAAAAGTAGCAGGAAGTACAAAAGGGAGGTAACTCCCGTAGATCAACCTGTGAAATTATTGATAAAATTTGTGCTAGATAATCATTGTAGGAGTTAACATAGTATTAAGTTTGTTTAGGCATCTATTGACATGTTTATGCCTCAATATAAACAAAAATATATTTTAATTTCTTTCACTTTTGTTGTTGGAACAAAAAAAAACACGTTTTTCACCTGATGTTTTGTACTCAATATTTTCGTACCCAGTCTACAGTTACGGACAATTTTCTTTCAGACCAATACTTTTTTTTAAGGAAAGATATAAAATTCTTGTTTATTTTTCTTTTTACATAATTTCCACTATATAATTGTTCAAACTGGGGTACATGATAAGGTACATGTCATCAGAAATAAAGAAAGAAAATATTGACTCCTAGAATATAAAATAATTTCAGGGCTTCCACTAGTGGAAATTGGGAGTCGTTTACTCCTTCATTTTGGCTTGTGACTTCCAAAATCTAATACTTTTCCTACTTTACCTATAAAATGTGAGATTTTAAAGTCTTTGACTTCCAAAGTTTGAAAATGGAAGCCCAGATAATTTTGCTGTGTATCCTAAACTTGAGTTCCAGTATTCTCTGGAAGTCCGTCTTTACAGAGCATGTTTTGTATTGTTTCACATTGAATCAGTATTTCATTTGTTTTTCTAAAAAAAAAGAAAATAAACAAACAAACAAAAACAATAAGTTTAATTTGTTTAAAAAAATGCAAAATGGTTTTTTGACAAGTTTTACCCCTTAAGTTTTTCAGAATTTGCATTTTACCCCTCGCTCTAGATTTCGAGGGGTAAAAACTCCTCGGCCAAAAAAATTATCTGGAGCTCTGAATTAAATTTTTATGCATGCTGATGCTGAATTTTTTTTTTTCCTTTTCAGCAATCAACAATATGTTACTCACCCAGTTTTATGGTAAAACAGATGAAAATGCCCAAAATAATAAATCTCCTAGTTCAAACAGTGAAACTGTTACGGAAGATGATGATGGGGATTTAATTACCACAATAAAAAGACGGCGTTTGACAACTGCTCAAGCTCAGGAAGAAAGACGGAAGAAAGAATTGGAAGACAAAATAAGGTGAGTTTTTGTAAGTGATGTCTATGGTGCTCAAATTGTAACTAAAGAATAGCTTGACAATTATTGTCAGCAAAGATCAATTCAGGGCTTTTTACCCAGTAATTTGAAAGAGGTCTATGCATTTCATTTTGAGAATTCTAGTGTAATATTTTGTCAAATTAGGAAAAAATTGAGACATTCACATTACTACAGTTCCATATATATACTGCAAAGACGGCCGTTTATCTTTAAAGCCTTTTATGTTTAGAGGGTATTTTTTTTCCAGAAATTTATAATATGGTGTGTAGGCCCATATGTTGGATGTAGAATATCATTAACTAATCACAACATATTTTGTATTTGACTTAGTTTTATGCTATGTTTAGCATACAAGTTCTGTGTTCACAATCACTGTAGAGTTTCATACATGTTTTAAGTGCAGCAGTGACCAATATCAGTAGCTCTTGTCATAGAGTATGACTAAATTTTCCCTATTTGTTTAGCAAGCGTAAAATTCCTGGTTCTGGTCTTGCAAGTTTCCTCCACAGTCAGTGAAGGTGTTACTTTGAATCTTGTTATATGAAAACTAGAACTACGATTGCAGGTCTCAAATTAAAACGATTTTAAGTGGGATTTTATTGACACAATTTTTGTTTGTATTTGATATAGGAGACAACAGGAGGAGGAAGAAAGACAGAAGGAGCTATTTGAGAAAAATTTTAATGTAAGAAATTTTTTTCATCTTAGATATGTGATATTTAACAGTAGTCTAAGGTTGTGCATGGTCTAGTGGTTAACCTCTCATACTCAAGATGTAAGGTTTGCTGGCCACTTGTGTTTTAAACCTGGTCTAGAACAGGTTGTTGTTTCATTGATCAAGAAACTTTAAACTTAGTGCTGATTACTGGTTTGTTCCAGGAACAGTTTGGAGAGTGTGTCAATATTATAAGCTTATAACTTTCTACACATTTAAACTAAGATGAATTCTGTATAAACTAAACAGTCTTTAAGTTTAAGTAAGTAAAATATGAATTACAGATTGTTAGTTGAATGTATGTGCTATGGAGCATACAAGATAGGTGGCCTACTAGCTAATTTGTCTGCCTCTCAATCCAGGAATTGTGTGTTTGAGCCTTAAACTTGGTCTTGACCGTATTGTTTTCCAGGAAGCTGGCTTGGGAGATATTTCAATAGACTTCAGGCTGTCATTATAATATATCTAGAATTAATAGTGGTGTAGATTTTGGTCTGACTGTATCACTTGATTTTATAAGATGATACAGACAAGTAATTGTAACCAGTTTTATGGAATGCATGTTCCGCAGTTCTATGATAAATTTATTTTGTTTTACAGGAAGGCATAGCCTTGGCTAAATTAACACTGCGACAAACTCCAGTTGGCACAGATAGGAATCATTCTAGATACTGGATCTTCTGTCAAACCACCCCAGGTGTCTATGTTGAAAAAGGTAAGGTATTGACTAAGATTTGGGCTGATTTGAATAAATTGTTTGATCGATTTTGAATTCAATCTTGAAAGCCCTTGTTATTCTTAGGTTAGGGTAAGACCTGTGGGCATCTAAAAAGATGGTTTCTGGTCAAAAACTTTAGTTCAGATTGACTTATCAAAACTTTGTGTATAGCAAGTGTATGTGTAGATTACTTTTAGGCCATCCAGTGTCAAGGTCGCTAACTTAAAATAAAAAATCGGTTTCCGGTCAGTAACTTCAGTTTAGAATGAATTATTTCAATGAAACTATTCATTTATGTAAGACCCAGCTTGAAATTGCTCTTGGGGCCCCTAGGTTCAAGATCACAATTACTTAAAATAGAAAATTAGTTTCCATGTTAAATAATTTAGAAATGACCTTGACCTAAAAATGATCTTAACCATCAAGGTATAATGATTGAATTTTGCTTCACTTTGCCATTTATTTATGAAAAATATTCAAACTTGGACAAAACAACAAGCTTGACTAGACCAAACTATTAAAAGCGTGGCAGGATCTGTTGTTTATCATTAACATTGCATATTGTTACATTGTTAAGAACTTTGCTTGTATTTGTATTCCAACTACAAGAAAACTTTCTACAATGGTGATAATTGAAATCCTGGTTTCATGGCATTGTCATTTTTCTTGTGTTGTTGTTTCTTATTTATATAACATATATTTACAATTAAAAAAGGATGGGCTGGTGATGAGATGGAATACACAGTGAGGAAAGACAATGATGATGATGTAGATATGTCAAGCTCTTCAGACGATGAATCTGTGATGGAGGAAGATGCCGAGGGTACATCGGGTCCAAAGAAGAAAACCAGGCACATAAAGATGGCAAAATGTGTTGATACTACGTAAGTCCTTACTTTAATAATGCTTTAAAACCTTGCTTAACCCTATACAGGTGTCTGTTGCCGATTGTTCAAGGATGTTGACTTCAAACCAATGGCCCCTCAGTGCTATGGTATGGTCTCTTCATAAGGTTTGAATCTCCACAGGAAATTTTTATTCTTTCATGTGAGAAAGCTATTCAGCTAGCTTACAGAATGTTGGCGGTTCTACTTGGGTGTCTTTTTATGCCTGAAATAATGCATGGAAGGGCACCTGAGGTGTTCCTCAGCCAGTAAAGCTCAAATGTCGCCATATGACCTAAATTGTGTTGGTGCAATGGGAAACCAATAAAAATATATGAAATAAACCCAAACCTGATTTGGGTAACAAATTATAATATCTTTGAATCTTGAACTGCAAACATCAGGAGTTAAAGGATTAAGGAATTTCAGTATCGAACAACCAGAATAGGGCATGTTCAGACTGCCAACCCCCCCATCCCCCCTGCAATCCCCCCCCCCCCCCCCCCCCAAAAAAAAAAACCCAACAGGAAGGCTCGCCTGGCTCTATACAGGTTCCATTGACTTTCATGTCCAATAGGGTATGAGTAAAAAGTGGTTGGTTTTTCTTCTTTTTATACTGATAAACCACTATCAATTTGCTTAAGCTGTAGTATTTTTAAATTCAGCAATGATGATACTGTATCAAGTTTTCATACATTTGATTGATGTAAAACAAAAGATGGCATAATTTTTCATTTGATTTTATAGATTTCCTCATGTTGGTCAAAATCTTTGGTTTACATACGACAAACTTTCAAAAATCGATGACTTGATTGAGACACTTCACCCAAAAGGGGCCAGGGAGAGTGTGCTGCAGAGGGAGCTGAAGAAAAGATCGGATGATGTTTACTCGGCTATTCGCAGGTATCAAAGGTCAGTATACCATTTGTGTTTGTTTATGGATTATCCCGCTAAAAATATTAATTGGACATGTCCATCTTTCAATCAGGACAAAACCATTCATAATTTTTAGGGTAAAATTTCAAAATAGATATTGATTGAAAAGGGAACAGCAACAGAGAAGACGATGATCAAACGGGATGAATGTGCCTGCTGATAATGATTTGCACTGGTTCCATGGGTAGAAGCAGTTGTGGACACTGGGGTTTTCGTGGCCAAATCACTTATACTGTGTCGGTGGGAGGTAAAACCCAATCAAACAAACAGTTGTGGACAGTAGGCTATGAGTTGAGGATTACAAAGCCTTATGAATCTGTAAATATCAGCAAATATTGGGTGATAATAAACACAAAACTGTTGGGTTTGCTATTGGCGGTCTTGGCTAGTTGAATTTTAATCAGCGTATCTACATGACAATTTTAAAAGTGGTTGTTTGTTTACTATGGAAATTATAATATGAGTTGCATTATATATTGAATGATCCTCGTAAAATAAAATAACTGCACATGTAATTCTTGTCTCCAAGACATTATTTCTATGCTTAGATCATTTTAATTTCATTTAACAAATTTACAAATTTAACATTTGTGTAAATAACTAATTTTACGGTAATGGTATTTCTTTCTTTTTTTTCAGGCAGAATAGGAACCTGAGAGACTGTGATGGTGAAAAGGAGATGTTTAAAACATTTAAAAAGGTAAAATAATATTTTTAGATTGACCGTATGAAAGATAAAGTTGAGTTATTATGATCGCTGGGTAGTAGTGGTGCAAAAATGTTAATGTAGCAAATCAAATATCAACATAAAAGTTACTAGACTTGCATATTCATACAAGAAGTTATAGTAAAAGATAATAGTCAATTGTAAAAATTGATATACTAAGTTGTAAGACAAGAGTTATTTTAGAGGTTTGATGTTTTTGCAGGAATTGTTAGAAAGTGAACTCCGACTGAGGACTGGTGGCCTAGGAGGTGTGGATGACTTTGATACATGGAGTGTAAAATTAGAAACTTCTGAAGATGTATCTACTATGGTAAGTGAATGAGTAGATTTTAAGATTCTGTTTACATCTGTTAGTGGAGTGTTTTCTATTACAATATCTTAAATTCATTGCTAGAGTCACTCAACTTTCTTGCTGTCAAATAATAACTGGAAGATCCCCAGCTGTGAACCAATCCTATAGTGCAAGCTTTTTGTTTTTATTTAATTACAATCACTGTATAGGGGCATTTGAAGTACTCTGCTACTTTTCTTCCAAAGAATTCCTAATCGAAATAGAAAATTTGACTTCTGTCATAAAAATGTTAAAATAGAGATAAAATTATATCTTATTTAGCATTAATGATAATTGTGCAGATTGCCTTAAGTATAGATCCTGACATGGCCTGCACATTCTTTGCAGATTTTGACAGAATTAATTATTATGGCCCTTTATCAACTTATAAATTCTACATTATCCAGGCTCTTATTTTACAATCTTTAAGCACTGAAAATAGTTAAGCATTCTGACCTACTGACAGCTCTTGTTTTTTACGCATTTATGTAAGGTATAGTATTAGAAATTGAGATGATTCTCTCCTGGGTGAATTTCAGGCTGATTGTTTATTAGAGTCTCAAGCTAATGTGTTAGAGAAGTTCCGTGATGGAATCATGGTAATAAAGAAAAAGAAGAAGGTGGAAAGTGATGATATTAAAGAAGAGGATGAGGAAGAAGGTTGGTAGTTATATATTGCTCCGTCAGCTCATTTGTCCACCTGTTTAGCTCAATAGGGAGAGTATTGGATCAGTAATAAAGTAATTGAAGGGGTTGTTGGCTCCATTTTTTGGGAGAACAGAAATTTCTCTGTGGCATTTGATCTCAGACATTGAGTCTTATCATCATTTGTCTCTTACTGCTGGTTCAGAAATCATTTGGCATTTGTAAGTGGGTCACTTGTGGAATTTACTGTTTAGTTATGCAGGGAAATGGGTTAGGTAGACTGACCACATAGACTGTGTTAAGATTGGTGTAAAAGCATACAACAAATAAATAACAATGTATTAGTATAACTAGCCGATAGAGGATTGGGAGTTCTGCACAGTTAATGAGTTTCATGTTTGAAAGATGCTTGGCTGGTATGTATACACACACCAGAAACATTACCATTATTAGTCAGATAACCTATATAGATTTGTTGCTAGGGATTTTGCTCGGCACCCATGTTCAAATGAATAGCCTCCGATATAATGCTTAGAGAGACGTCTAAGGTTTTCCTAAAACCGTAAAAATCATAATTGAAGTACAAGTATGACATCACAATCGAAAAATTGTGAGTTGAAAACTCAACTTGGGTAAAGGTAATACATTAGATAAAGAAAAATATCAGTAAGGTTATTGCAATGTTTATTTTGTCTGTTATAGAAGAGGTGAAAGTTGAAGCCCCTGGTATTCAGCAGTGGAGAGAAGCTGTCAAATCAAGCAAAACTATGTCTCGATTACACGTCCTGCTTGGTATACTTGAAAACTGTGTTAAATGGGAAAAATCAGCAGCAAATGCTGTAAGTATTTTAAATACATATATTTAAGGGAAAATTATGTTATTTGTATGATAGATTAACACTAGAGGACTTTGCTATATCTTGTATTATATATTGAATTGCCAGGGAATAGTAAAAACTTAATTTTCTGAATTTAAAATGCATCGGCCATAATAAGCATAATTTCAGAAATTACTAGTGTTGATTTTCCAGTTTGATATTGTTTCTCACACATTTTTTTGGGTACCAATATTAAGACTACTGACTAAGAAAATTGATGTATTTATCTAAAATATAAATTGAATACAAGTTTTTTCTCAATTAAGATAATTGTTGACAATTCCCAATTTGATCTTAGAAATTATTACAGCATCTAAAAATTATGCAGGTTTTACCAAAACTAGTTTGAATTTTTGTCGTATCTGCCTCTAAACATGAGGCAACATGATTTTAATAATAACAAACATCCTTTTTAAGTTACCTAGCAACAGAATAATTGTGTATATGTACATTATAGGCTTTTTTAGCTCACCTGTCACAAAGTGACAGGGTGAGCTTTTGTGATCGCTTTTCGTCCGGCGTCCGTCTGTCCGTCGTCCGTAAACTTTTACTTTAAATGACATCTCCTCATTAACCACTCAGCCAATTTCATCCAAACTTCACAGGAATGTTCCTATGGTGGTCACTTTGGAAAATTGTTCAAAGAATTTAATTCCATGCAGAACTCTGGTTGCCATGGCAACCAAAAGAAAAAACTTAAAATATCTTCTTCTAAAAAAACCAAAGAGCTAGAGCTTAGATTTTTGGCATGAAACATCTTCTGGTGAGTGTCTACCAAGTTTGTTCAAATAAAATCCCTGGGGCAAAATTGGCCCCGCCCCAGGGGGTCATTGATTTTCCCTATATGCATATAGTAAAAACTTAAAAAATCTTCTTTTAAAGAACCAAAAGAGCTAGAGCTAAGATATTTAGCATGAAACATCTTCTAATGGGTGTCTACCAAGTTTGTTCAAATAAAAGCCCTGGGGTCAAAATTGGCCCAGCCCCAGGGGGTCATTGATTTTCCCTATATGCATATAGTAAAAACTTAAAAATCTTCTTTTAATGAACCAAAAGAGCTAGAGCTAAGATATTTAGCATGAAACATGTTCTAATGGATGTCTACCAAGTTTGTTCAAATAAAAGCCCTTGGGTCAAAATTGGCCCCGCCCCAGGGGGGTCATTGATTTTCCCTATATACATATAGTAAAAACTTTCAAAAATCTTCTTTTAAAGAGCCCAAAGAGCTAGAGCTAAGATATTTAGCATGAAACATCTTCTAATGGGTGTCTTTCAATTTTGTTCAAATAAAAGCCCTTGGGTAAAAATTGGCCCCGCCCCAGGGGTCATTGATTTTCCCTATATGCATATAGTAAAAACTTAAAAAATCTTCTTTTAAAGAACTAAAAGAGCTAGAGCTAGGGTTTCTTAATCGGAAAAAAATCATAATTGATCATCGAAAATAATCGAACAACCCTTTTCGATCAATCATCGATTATATAATCGAAACAATAACAATAACAAAGTAAATATGTACAATGTTCATATCATGCTTTAATATTTATAAGAATTCCATTTCCATGCATGTAACCACCACTTTATCAACCGAAATAAATAAGTTTAAAGATATACTATGCTCATCCTTGAGTAAAATATTTTTATCAAATAAATTCATTAAAATCTATAAAATTATTATGTGTCACTTTTCAAAAAAGCAATGAATAAACTATATATGGGAACAAGTTAAGTTGGTCCTTTCTTTACAAAACTGCCATTTTTAATGACACTAAATATTGATATTGCATCCACCTTTAGTGTGTAGAATAATTTTATAACATATCTTCTTTGTGTGAAGTCAAAACATATTTATTTTATATTTACAAATAGACTGTGTAGCAATTTTAAATATTTTCTAATGTCAAATTTGAGCATAGTATACCTTTAAACTAGCATGCCTCACTGTCAACTATTAACTTCATGGTCACCAGTATACTTTCATATTCAATTGAATGAAAATTATTGTTTCAACCAAAACTGGCTTTAATTTAGTGTTTTTATAATACAGCAGTGATTTTTTTACCTTTGCATCCTGAGTCCAGAACTCATTGAATTTGCTATGGATGCAAAGTTTCAAATAATGTGCATCTTTTGGATGCATACTTTTTCTAAGTAGGGAGTCCTGTCTGACAGAAATTTGGTATTAAAATTAATACCAAATAGTGTTCAACTTATGTCAATCATATTCTAGGTCCAGCTAAGATATAATAATGTGCTATACTATAGGTAAGCTTAAAAATATTAAGGAAAATGAAGTTTTGATTAATATCAAACTAAATTAATGGAAATAAACATATTAAATTTATTTGACAGTTTTGAATAATTTCAGTATCAGAAGCATTGTAATTAATATAGAAATCAAATTCATTTTTTTCTCCATTCCATTGTTAATATACCTGTCATATCACTTAAGCAGTATTAAGATTTGTAACTTGGATTTGTCGGCTAAATTATGGGACTCATAGATTTATAGCCCAGCGAGTACTAAGGACCCACACTGATAAGTTTGTAAAAAAATCACTGATACAGTCAGTCACTTAAGTAACAGCAAGAAAATAAATTACCGATAATCGATTATTAAACTTTGTAATCGATCATCACTGATTGGTTCTATAAACGATCAATTTTCGATTATACTCGATCATCGTTTAATCCATAGCTAGAGCTAAGATATTTAGCATGAAACATCTTCTAATGGGTGTCTACCAAGTTTGTTCAAATAAAAGCACTGGGGTCAAAATTGGCCCCGCCCCATTGATTTTCCCTATATGCATATAGTAAAAACTTAAAAATCTTCTTTTAATGAACCAAAATAGCTAGAGCTAAGATATTTAGCATGAAACATGTTCTAATGGGTGTCTTCCAAGTTTGTTAAATAAAAGCCCTGGGGTTTAAACTGGCCCCGCTCAGGGGGCCTATGTACAGGTGAGCGACTTCAGGGCCATCATGGCCCTCTTGTTATTTATTTTTTACCCCAATTTTCAAGCATAACTAAACTAAAATTTTCTACTTTCAAATGCATTGGCTGTGGCATCGAAAGTAAAGAAAATCATCCAAATTTTTCCCCATGACTGTTTGAAATTACCATGCTAGTGTTAAAATAACTTAACCAACTATCAGGAGATGTCATAAAAACACTTGGGTGTTGGATATTGCTGAAAAATTAAAAGAAAAAAAGAGAAAACAAGAGGTTGAATATATTGTCTGATTTAACTATTAACCAGATTAAATGGAGTTGTCCAGCTTCCGTTTATGGAACTGTTCAGTACAAGTTTTGGAAATAATCGAGGTTAAAATTTGTCAGCCAACAGTATAGATCCTGATCAGGATGCATAGATCTGCAGGCTGGCCTGCGTCTATAATGGTGGCAAAAGGTGAATCACTTTTGGGTCCAGTCTGATATAGGGTTTTACACTTTAGTAAAATCTGTGATAATGGATGCTGCCTTTTGTTTTTAGAAATGTAAGATCTGTAGGAAAAAGGGAGAAGAAGAGAAGCTGTTGTTATGTGATGATTGCAACCAGGCTTTCCATATATACTGTCTACGACCAGCCTTACCATGTGTCCCAAAAGGAGACTGGAAGTGTATTGCTTGTGCAGTAAGTTATCTCCCCTCTTTGTTTTTTGTTCGAGGCATAGGTACATTTACAGCAGTTATAAATTTACAATAATTCATGATTTCAGTAGCATCGTTTATGGTCATACCCTAATTGATGACTTCTTATTATTGGATAAAAGGATAAAAAAAAAGGTACACCGGTTGACATTATGATATCAGAAAAATTTGGGTAGTCTCTATACAACTTTGTATTGAAGTAAAGTAAAAAAGTAATGAAGTAAGAAATTTAAGTATAATTGAAGCTGTACAAATGATGAACTTACAGTTTTTCTGCCATACCATTTGAAAACAGAGTAACATACCTTTTCAGTTTTTCTGCCATACCCTTTAAAAAACAGAGTTGTTATGAAGAAGATCTTACTTTAATTTGTATGATTTTTTCAGCCGTTGGCAAGGAAACGAGTTATTGACGTCCCTGGAAGATATCATGAAGACTCAGAAGACGACGCGGAGATTAAAGAAGCTAAAGCGAAAAGTATAAAACACGATGAGGCATGTTTAGAATGCGGTGGTGACGAGAGTTTAATACTTTGTGCCGAGTGTCCTTCTGCATATCATTTAGAATGTCACGATCCACCATTACGACGCCCACCCAGGTTTGGATGATTAGTGTTTATCAAAATTTAATCAGGAAGGCGAGGATTTTTTATCCCCGTCTATAGCAGGAGCTGTCTATAGACTGCTTCCCTTCTGAAAAATGCTTTGTAATCATCCAGTTTTCAATTTACATTAGCAGGGTTCGTACAGTCTTAAAAAGTGCTTAAATTTGAGTCCCTTTCTTAAAAAGTGCTTAAAAATGAAAAAAAGTGCTTAAAAGTCCTTGAATTTGATTACTCTCTTGAAAAGTGCTTAAAAAGTGCTTAAATATGCTGAAAATGTGCTTGAAAATTTGAAACACAGAATAACATAGTTTCGATAAAAAATAACAAAGTATAAAGAAAATGATCCAATTTAGTATCAAAATCAATAAAATGTTTACTCAAGGTAACAGTAAGTGGGCAAATTGCAGTTGTTTTGAACTAATCTGTATTTGATGACCCTTTCTTGTTCTTCTATAAATTCCTTAAAATTGTGGTCAGAAAATGTGTATTCAACAAAAAATGGCAAATAAACTACCCATCTTCGATTGAAAATTGTGTCGGTATATGTGCAACAAATGTGCTTGAAAAATGGGAAAACATGCTTAAATAGTGCTTAAAAAGTCCTTGAATTTTGGCATTGGAGATCTGTATGAACCCTGATTAAGTTTTTACTAACCTTTCTGCAAAAATACCATGTTATTTTCCCCCAAATTTAAAGATAGGGCAACTTACTCTACCTGTAAAAAAAAGCCCTGAAAGGTGTTTTAAGTACTGGAACCATTGTTAAGTAAGCAAACAAAATGTTTTATGTTAAACATTGATCCTTAGAACAGAAAGTCATGTTAGCTAATTTGACTAAGATACCCAGTTATATTATATAGGTTGGTTATTCTTTCCGATTTAATGTCAGGGAGCGGTTTGAATCTTGGGTCTATTACCAGTTAAAGCTCTGGGACACCATGACTTTGGTATGTCTCATAATAATAGAAAAAAAATTGCAATTCACAACAATGTTGTATCTTGTATTTTAGGGGTCGATGGCTGTGTAATGACTGTAAGAATGGCGTAAAGAGAAGAACTAGAAGAGGGGCTGTAACTCAAGATGCAAGGAAACAAGGTAACCGTTTATAACATAGAAAAATTCAATGCTAAAGTGATTATGATTTCTGAGCCACCATTATAGAGCCAGGCCAGTCTGCACATCTAAAATTTATTATTTCAAGATCAAAATCTGTCAAACACATAAAGGTTTTTCAACTAGGAAGCAGAAAAATTCAGTAGTAAGTGTTGAGGTTTTATAAAGATAACGGGGAATTTTCATTTATTAATGACCAGTGATTTATGCTCAAGCTAATAAGTTGTACTGTATATGTGATCAGCCGTGAATTTCTTTTTAGCCTGTCATGATATATGATTTTCAGTATTTATATGGAATTTGACACTATTCATTTAATTGTGATACATTAAATTTGAAATAATTATTATATTAATGCACAGAATCAAAAGCCACAAACAGTTGGGATTATAGTAAAGATATATAAGATTCATAGAATCTGTAATATGACTTGCAGCTTACAAAAGCTTACGGGAAAAAAGTAGAAATTTATAGCACAGCAGATGCAAAGTTTTTGATACTGATTTTGTTCTTGTATCGGTATAAAAGTCCAAATATGAAGTTTTTGATACTGATTTTTCATTTCTCGTATCAGTATGATAGACCTGAAATTCTTTATTAAAGAAGTAAATACTAAACTTGCACAGGTCGTCCAGCAAGCAAGCGAAAACGTTACGTAGAATCTAGCGATGAGGAATCGTCGGATGACGAATCGCAGGACAATGAAGACAACGACGATTATGATGGCGAAACTGAGGACGAGGATTCGAAACCTCCACCAAAAAAAGCTGCTCGTACGTCAAAGGGTAGAGCTGGCAGACAAAGCAAAACTACAAAAAATTCAAAACAAGATTCACCAAAAAATGAAACGAGCAAATCAAGGAGTAGAAGATCGGCCCCATCACCAGAACCTGTCTATGAAACAAGACCAAAAGTATCGAGAAGGGCCCCATCTGAATTATCAGTAAGACCAACATTTTTGTTTGTAATAAGTTTACAAAATGGTGAAACTAGCTTTGCTTGATTTCTATCATTAGAGGTTTTCTTCATCAATGAATTTATTAAAAGACTTTTGTTTAGAGTTTTGATTCTTTCTTTCTGCAGGATTGCCTTTTTTTGTTGTGATGTGTAAATCGTGGTTGGTATAAGTCTGTACTAGTGACACAATCAAACTCATTAGTTATGCCTGATTGTGAACTATGTGCAGCTTTCTGGCAGTATTGAGTTTGTATCAAATAAGTTAACAGTGTCATGGTTCATGTTTGGCTCAAGCCTACAAGCCCTTGACTGAGATGCAGACACCTTAACCATTAGACTGTAGCTGCCCCATTGAATAATTATTATACTACAGATTTGAGAATTTTAAGTAAGCAGTAAAACCATACAATGATAACAGTTCATCCTGCTTTAATATATTCTTTCATACACACCATTGGTTTGATCATAAAACTATATTAGCTTTGTTCCTGAAAGTTGAAAGAAATATAACTGTTTTTAAAGTTTTAACTGTTACCAAATACAATGCACATGAAATATTATTGTGATTTTATTATTTCTCTTTAGCTCATTGAAGACATTATCAACAAGATGTTGGCTTTTAAAGCAGCGTGGCCGTTCTGGCATAATGTCAGTAAGAAAGATGTAAGTGCTTATGTACTCATAACAAGCATTAAATTCGGCTGGAGTCAGAGATCTCCTTGGCAGCTGAAACTAGTGCACTAAATAGAGGCGTTTTTGGTAGATTGTTGGGAATCTCACTTAATGTGACATTAAGCTCATTTCTTTTTGCTGTCAGGTTGAGCTTTTTTAGTTAACAAATTTCAAAAGTTTGACTTTTATGATATGATTGACCAATAGCTGATAATAAAAAATGTTGGGAATAAAATACGAAACTGCCTAGAATATAAAAGGATTGCTACTCTCCTTTATAAATGAATGTTACATGGGGCGTCCGTGGCCGAGTGGTTAAGGTTGTTGACTTCAAACCACTTACCCCTCACCGCTGTGGGTTCAAATCCCGACAGGGACTTTGGATTCTTTCATGTGAGGAAGCTATCAAGCTAGGTTATGGAAGTTCGGTGATTCTACTAAGTTGCCCCCTTTTGCCTGAAATAATGCATATAAGGGCACCTTAGGCCTTCCTTCACCAGTAAAGCTGGAATGTCACTGCATGACCTATACTTTGTTGGTGTGACGTAAAACCCAATAAAACAAATGAATGTTACAGACAAGTTTTGACTGATATTTATGGAAATTTCACAGAATAATATATTCATGCAAAGTAAAAATGAAATTTGAAGCAATTGTGGTAAAATTTAAAGTAATTTGAAGTATATAATGTCTTGTTATCATGTGACTGGTTTGTATTGAGAGAAAAAAGTTTGTGAAGATGTTATCTAATAAACATTTGTATGGTTTGTGGTTCTACACTAGTTCTGGTTAAATTAAAAAAAAAAAACAACAAAAAAAACAGCAAGAATAAAAAAAAACTATTGAAAACTTTGAAAGAAACTTAGGGATGTATTATGGTGGTTATACTTAGCATGTAAGTTTGTTATATCAAAACACAGGCTTTGTTTGATTTTCACTGAAATTAACTCATCATTAGTAAGAGTAATGCCCCCTTTATATTTGACATGGAAGTATGTTTTATTAAAACACAAGATTTGTTCAATTTTCACTGCTATCAACTTATTGATAAGTGTAATGCCCTTTTTAGCTCGACTATTCGATAAGAATAAGTAGAGCTATTGCAGTCACCCGAGCGTCGGCGTCGGCGTAACCACTTATGTTAAAGTTTTTGTAATAGTTCAAATATTTTCAAAGTCCATAGACATATGGCTTTGAAACTTTGCACACTTGTTCACCATCATGACCCCAACCTGTAGACAGGAGGAGGTAACTCTATCAAGCATTTTGACAGAATTATGCCCCTTTTTCGACTTAGAATTTACGTTAAAGTTTTTTTGTAATAGTTCAAATATTTTCAAAGTCCATTGACATATGGCTTTGAAAACTTTGCACACTTGTTCACCATCATGACCCCAACCTGTAGACAAGAGGAGGTAACTCTATCAAGCATTTTGACAGAATTATGCCCCTTTTTCGACTTAGAATTTACGTTTAAAGTTTTTGTAATAGTTCAAATTTTTCAAGTCCATTGACATATGGCTTTGAAACTTTGCCACTTGTTCAACATTTCATGACCCCAACCTGTAAACAGGAGGAGGTAAACTCTATCAAGCATTTTGACAGAATTATGCCCCTTATTCGACTTAGAATTTACGTTAAAGTTTTTTGTAATAGTTCAAAATATTTTCAAAGTCCATTGACATATGGCTTTGAAACTTTGCACACTTGTTCATCATCATGACCCCAACCTGTAAAACAGGAGGAGGTAACTGTCATCAAGCATTTTGACAGAATTATGCCCCTTTTTCGACTTAGAATTTACGTTAAAGTTTTTTGTAATAGTTCAAATATTTTCAAAGTCCATTGACATATGGCTTTTGAAACTTTGCACACTTGTTCAACATCATGACCCCAATTGTAAACAGGAGGAGGTAACTCTATCAAGCATTTTGACAGAATTATGCCCCTTTTTCGACTTAGAATTTACGTTAAAGTTTTTGTAATAGTTTCAAAAATATTTTCAAAGTCCATTGACATATGGCTTTGAAACTTTGCACACTTGTTCACCATCATGACCCCAACCCTGTAAACAGGAGTGGAGGTAACTGTATCAAGCATTTTTTAGCTCGGACTACTCGATTAAGTAGAGCTATTGCGCAGTCACCCGAGCGTCGGCGTCGGCGTTTATGTTAAAGTTTTTTGTAATAGTTCAAATATTTTCAAAGTCCATTGACATATGGCTTTTGAAACTTTGCACACTTGTTCACCATCATGACCCCCACCTGTAGACAGGAGGAGGTAACTCTATCAAGCATTTTGACAGAATTATGCCCCTTTTTCGACTTAGAATTTACGTTAAAGTTTTTGTAATAGTTCAAATATTTTCAAAGTCCATTGACATATGGCTTTGAAACTTTGCCACACTTGTTCACCATCATGACCCCAACCTGTAGACAGGTGGAGGTAACTCTATCAAGTATTTTGACAGAATTATGCCCCTTTTTTCGACTTAGAATTTACGTTAAAGTTTTTGTAATAGTTCAAATATTTTCCAAAGTCCATAGACATATGGCTTTGACTTGTTCACCATCATGACCCCAACCTGTAGACAGGAGGAGGTAACTCTATCAAGCATTTTGACAGAATTATGCCCCTTTTTCGACTTAGAATTTACGGTTAAAGTTTTTGTAATAGTTCAAATATTTTCAAAGTCCATTGACATATGGCTTTGAAACTTTGCACACTTGTTCACCATCATGACCCCAACCTGTAGACAGGTGGAGGTAACTCTATCAAGTATTTTTGACAGAATTATGCCCCTTTTTCGACTTAGAATTTTACGTTTAAAGTTTTTTGTAATAGTTCAAATATTTTCAAAGTCCATACATATGGCTTTTGAAAACTTTGCACACTTGTTCACCATTCATGACCCCAACCTGTAGACAGGAGGAGTAACTCTATCAGCATTTTGACAGAATTATTTGCCCCTTTTTCGACTTAGAATTTACGTTAAAGTTTTTGTAATAGTTCAAATATTTTCAAAGTCATAGACATATGGCTTTGAAAACTTTTGCACACTGTTCAACAATCATGACCCCAACCTGTAGACAGCAGGAAAGTAACTCTATTAAGCATTTTGACAGGAATTATTTGCCCCTTTTTCGACTTAGAATTTACGTTAAAGTTTTTGTAATAGTTCAAATATTTTCAAAGTCCATTGACATATGGCTTTTGAAACTTTGCACACTTGTTCAACATCATGACCCCAACCTGTAAACAGGTGGAGGTAACTCTATTCAAGCATTTTGACAGAATTATGCCCCTTTTTCGACTTAGAATTTACGTTAAAGTTTTTGTAATAGTTCAAATATTTTCAAAGTCCATTGACATATGGCTTTGAAACTTTGCACACTTGTTCACCATCATGACCCCAACCTGTAAACAGGAGGAGGTAACTGTATCAGGCATTTTTTTTACTATCAAGCACTAAGAATAGTCGAGCATGCTGTCCTACCGACAGCTCTTGTTTTACTATCAAGCACTAAGAATAGTCGAGCGTTGCTTTCCTACCGACAGCTCTTGTTTTAATGGCAGTTTTTTTGTAATATTTTTGGTCTTTTGTGTTTGAATTTGGCATGGAAGTATGTTTTATCAAAACACAAGTTAATATTCATACAAATGATGTTCAAAAATGAAAAAAAAAATATAATAGACTTAAACACCCACATTTGCAGAGTTCCGGATAACCATTACTTCTTTATGGCTAAATACTGTTTCACAGATTAACATATCTTTCTGCAGGTGCCTGACTACTACAATATTATAAAGCAACCCATCAGCTTTCAGAAAATTAAAGACAAATTGAACTGTCTGGTGTACGGTTCACCACAGGAGGTTATAGACGATGTAGCTTTAGTATTTAGAAATGCTGTGGAATACAATAAGGTAAGTCATTGATTTGAAGTTGCTCATGTTTAGCTAGTCTGTTTTGAATAAAAAGTCTATAGTCTGTTTCGAAGAAGTCTAGTTGTATTATGTCTGCATTGTCTTTGTTGGCATCCTTTATGTAGCACATTATTCAAACTTTTTATAAATTATCAACATGAAACAACATGAAATACTTGGTTATCATGACTAGATGCAGTTGTAAGACAAGGGGCATAATTCTGAAAGCAAGAATTTTTTAGTTATGCCCCCTTTTTACTCAGAATTTTTTACCAAGAGCGTTTACACTGAATACAGTGCCCTTGTTACTCAGTTGTAGCTGTGGCATTTTTATTGAAAAACTAATTCAAGTGCAGGAGATTGTCAGTTTGTTTCCTCCTAAGTTGCAAATAACTCGTAAAATAAGGTACTAAATACTTAACATGAGATAAATTAATTGGCCACATGGAGACCAGTTTATGATCATTTATGATTCATGGGGAAGATAGTGTGCATGGCAAAATATCCATGGGTGAGTGGTCATGGTCATTACCCTTTGTTGGTTCTAATTCCAACATAGACTTTGGATTCTTTCATGTGAGGAAGTTATCCAGGTCGCTTACAGAATGTTGGTAGTTCTAAATAATAAAATAATGCATGGAAGGGCACCTGAGGTCTTTCATAACCAGTAAAGCTGGAATGTCGCCACATGACCTATACTGTGTTGGTGCAAGGTAAAATTCAACAGATAAAAAAGAGAAAAAACTGGTACAAAGATTAATGGATGGACTGTATAAAACAAAGCATATAATATGTTTCAGTAGTAAATGATTTTAAGACTGTATACTAATCTAACATTTTAACATTATTTATTTGTATATTTATTTGTATTTCAGGTTGGAAGTGAGGTGTATGACTGTATAGACTTATCAGAGAAAAAAATTTTTTTGATCTTATGAAAAAATCCTACCATTTTTGCCCACAAACCCGGGGCGTAATAAAGGGCCCGGGGTAAAGTTAGTGACGAGGGACGAAAATCGCGGAAAAGCAAATAACTAAACACAGACAAATATTTTAGCATATAATTAAAACAAGGAAAAAACATTTTTATTGAGGTCCTTGAAATTCTAGCTATGGAATTATTTATAATCATTAATCATGACAAATTGGTCAGGAATTCCTTAAAGACCCACCTTGGCTTACTTGTGATTTTGTGATTATTATTGTATTGTATTTATATATTTTAGGTACATAAGTGTCTGAAAATAATTGTGTTGAAAGACTTAACTTTGGTACAATATAAAGTTAAATTAAATATGTTTGCAGTAAGAAGTGATATGTTTTTACTCGCTGCACAATATGTAATATTAATGTGAAGTTACAGGAAGACGTCTGGTACAAAAGTATGTCATGGTGTGTCTTTAAGAAATTTTATGATCACATTTTTAGCTCACCTGAGCTTGCTCAGGGTGAGCTTTTAGGATCGGTGAATGTCCGTCGTCCGTCGTCCGTCCGGCCGTCCACAATTACTTGTGAACACTCTAGCGGTCGCATTTTTGCCTCAATCATCATCAAACTTGGTCAGGATGCTTATCTAGTTGAAAGCTCGGATGAGTTCGAACATGGGTCATCTCGGATGAAAAACTAGGTCACAAGAGCTAAAAATAGAAAAACCTTGTGAACACTCTAGAGGTCACATTTTTGACCCAATCATCATCAAACTTGGTCAGGATGTTTGTCTAGATAATAGCTTGGATGAGTTCGAACATGGGTCATCTCGGATGAAAAACTAGGTCACAGGAGCTATAAATAGAAAAACCTTGTGAACACTCTAGTGGTCACATTTTTGAACCAATCATCATCAAACTTGGTCAGAATGCTTGTCTAGTCAATTGCTTGGATGAGTTCGAACATGGGTCATCTCTGATGAAAAACTAGGTCACAGGAGCTAAAAATAGAAAAACCTTGTGAACACTCTAGTGGTCACATTTTTGACCCAATCATCATCAAACTTTGTCAGGATGCTTGTTTAGATAATAGCTCGGATGAGTTCGAATATGGGTCATCTCGGATGAAAACTAGGTCACCGGAGCTATAAATAGAAAAACCTTGTGAACACTCTAGTGGTCACATTTTTGCATCAATCATCATCAAACTTGGTCAGGATGCTTATCTAGTTGATAGCTTGGATGAGTTCGAACATGGGTCATCTCGGATGAAAAAGTAGGTCACCAGAGCTAAAAATAGAAAAACCTTGTTAACACTTTAGCGGTCACATTTTTGCATCAATCATCATCAAACTTGATCAAGATGCTTGTCTAGGTGATAGCTCGGATGAGTTCGAACATGGGTCATCTCGGATGAAAAACTAGGTCACAGGAGCTAAAAATAGAAAAACCTTGTTAACACTCTAGTGGTCACAATTTTGACTCAATTGTCATCAAACTTGGTCAGGAAACTTGTCTAGGTCATTGCTGGGAATAAATCGAACATGGGACATTTCGGATGAAAAACTAGGTCACAGGAGCTAAAAATAGAAAAAAATCTTGTTAACACTCTAGTGGCTACTGTTGTGATCTAAATATTCTGTTAATTGGTCTGAAAGTTTGTTTTGATGATTTCTAAGTCAAGATCGAACATGGGTCATCTTGGATGAAAAACTAGGTCACACCGCCCAAATATGGAAAAACCTTGTTAACATTCTAGTGGTCACATTTTCGACTCAATTATCATCAAACTTGGTCAGGATGTTTGTCTAGGTAATTGCTTGGATGAGTTCGAAATCGCATGTGAAACTAGGTCACCGGAGCTAAAAATAGAAAAATCTTGTTAACACTCTAGTTGCTACTGTTTTGATCCAAGTATCCTGGAAATTGGTCTGAAAGTTTGTTTTGATGATTTCTAGGTCAAGTTTGAATATGTGTCACCTGGGTAAAAAACTAGGTCGCACTGCTCAAATATGGATAATCCTTGTTAACACTGTAGTGGTCACATTTTTGACTCACCTGTCATGAGACTTGGTCAGAATGCTTGTCTAGGTAATTGTTTGGATGAGTTTGATAATTCAGGTGAGCGATCTAGGGCCATCATGGCCCTCTTGTTTTTACAAAGCTGGATTTTGAGCTGCTTGGTTAGCAATGGGAAAGTTAGATGATGACTATATTTTTTTTTTCGAAAGATTATTATTCATCTCTCATAGTTTCATCTTTTAATTAAAAAGAAATGAAATGGGGCTTCTAGGAGTAAAATGAATGTACATTGTATATAGAATATTTTACTTATGTATTTAATGACAAAAAGAAATACTGGGAGCTGATACTTTGTAAATTACACCAAGAATTTTTAAATATGGTCCTTTACATGCATTTCAGGGACCTGTGGTACTTCTGTATAATAGAATCATGCATGCTTATTTGTTGATTTCTAATTTTTTTTCTGAGGGAAACTTCTGTAATTAATAAGATAGTGTTTCCAGAATTGTAGTATTTGGAGAAGATATATAGAAAATGGCATTTTTAAGGGCTTTGGGCAAAAATGCTTGTTACTTGCATGAGATCAATAAGATACAACAGAATTGCACTTAGTCCAATTTTTTTTTTGTATGATTGCTGTATTTCATCTTATTAGTGAAAATCTTGCTTTGTCAGCTATATTTATTTCATGAAGTCAAGATTATTTTTTTCTCCAGCTAGCTTTAAGTTTAAATGGCTATAATTTACAGCGTTTTGGAAATTGAGAGGAAAGTACCTTACTGAGTATAGGTTTATTTATTTCATGAAGTCAGATCTTTTTTCAAGCTAGCTTTAAGGTTAAATGGTTATAATTTACTGGGTTTGGAAATTGAGAAAGGTATCTTACTGAGTATGGGATTGAAAGCTTATTTATTCATTCACCTACATTTTTTTTTGCATGTGGGATGTAAATGTTTATTTTTCATCAGGGGGAAATTGGAAATTATTTTAAAGTATTATTGTTATGTAAATACATAAACATAGATAAAGAACTTTTTCCATATGTCCTAATTTTTTTTCCTTCTATGAAGTGGACATCTTATCTTTTCTACAATGAAATAGATATTTTCAAAATTAATTTTTGTTATTTAATGCATGCTATTATGCTGACAATGGTAAGACAGCTTCAAGTGTTTGATTCGCTAAAAACCAGTACTGTATGATACTTTGTAACTGTGATTTTCATTGGTCAAGACAGGCATTTGTTTAAAGTGGCATTATGATCATCTTTTCACTGTCCAGTTCAACTAAATTAGCTGAAATATTTAAAAAGAACGATGACTGCTATAATGGTAATTGACCATTAAATAATAATGAAAAGGATAAGATATAAAAACTACCTTTAATATAAAAAGACTGCCCCATTTTTTGAATGTGAAAGATACATTGCAAGGGATGCTTAAAGAATTTTCCTCTAGTCATGTTGGTTATTTATTGTTCATTTGAATGAGAATATAAAATTGGGAACAATTATGGCAAGTTGTTTTGACATACCCTTACACTCGCCATTTACAAGAGTGGCTGAGGGGCTGCCTTTACTGGTTTAGGCATCAGAGTTGCAGCCCTTGTTTAAGCCTGCCTGATGGTAAGAGGTGTCTAAATGGGTTAAAATTGCTGGAGTCTATGGATCTCTTAGCTCTGGCAGGTGTTGGGGTTTTGACCCCAGGTGTTGCTTTGAGTTTGTAACACCCGAGGTAAGCCAAAATCATCTTTCCTGTTTTGTCGCTATATGACCTAAACTTTGTTGATGCACGTAAAAAACAAACAATCCCCATTTACTCTTGGATGCCCATAATGTCATTTTAAATTCATAGTAAATAATAATACTGGGGCAAATAACCTAATCAAAAGTATTTGTTACAAATAGTTAAAACTTGGCAAGATGGTCCTATCAAATATTGAATTTGAAAAACAATAAGTTGATAGAAGTTATATAGAACAGTGTCATATTGATGCTGTAAGGTTTCTTATAATATACTGTAAGTGGTATAGTGTGTTGAAATTACATGAGCTTGTATGGAGGGTTTGTTACCTTAAAGTAAAAATTTTATTAATTAAGATTTGTGCAAAGACTTAGAGCAGCATGCTTTCAGATTTGAGTTTATCTTAATGTATATTTTAAGAATATTTTGTTTTTGTTATAGTTGGAATAAATATGAACTGTACAAATAAATAATCTCAGAGCACTTGCTTTCTATCCATAACCATGTTAAAATGTGTAGTATTATATTGTTTTAATTTTGTTAATATCCGGGTAGAACTAAGTTGATTATGCTTTTACCCTTTTGAAACTTAAGTCACCAGTAAGAAGGGGCAAATCCATTTTGCAAATTCAGCAGAGTTTCTGTTGAATAGTAATATTCTGTTATATTTTTGTATCAAACATTCAAAATGCAACTTGAATATTTTTACGTTTGATAAAATTCTAGAATAATTTCCTTATTCTTGACTCATCTGGAAGTGTGCTGCTTTAATGTGGAAATAAATCATGTGTAGATTTATTGTTTGGTTGACATTTCTTCAAAAGTGTGATTTACTTAAGTTCTAGATTTTTTTTTAAGTGTATTATGAAAAGAAGGGGGTTTGCTATTGCATCAACTGTCAAAATCTTTACTTAAATCACTTTTCTCCTTCATGCTGAAGGCACTATGCCCATATGGGACATTTTTTTTTAATTTGCCAGCTAGAATGCATGTATCTCTAGGGTCTCCATTAAGTCAATGCTTGAAAAATATTGTTCTGATATATAATACACTTGTGAAAAGACAGTACTTTGATTTAGATTGTACATGTATCAAACTTCCTTAAAAACAACTTCAATTGTAATTTCAAGGCAAAAATTTGTAATAAGGCACTTTCATAATTATAACTTCATTCACTGCATTTCTTAGCAAATTATAATTTCAGACTATTTTTAAACACATAACAAAGAGTTTGATTTCTGTTAAAGGCATATTAAAAACAGATTCATGGTGAACTTTGTCATTAATGTTAGCTTGTTTCTAAGTGAAACACATTTCTGGAAGAGGTTGTTTTAAAGTTTCTTAAATAAGTAATTCCATGATATATGTTCTTGAAATGATAAAAGGTTTCGTGTAATATTTTCCTGAAATGGTACATTAAACCATGGGTTTCTTCTATTACTTTGCTAGTTCTTGAAAAAGTACAAGTTATTTTTTTATCTTTAAGTAATTTCCTAGTAAGTAATTTTCCTAGTTCTTGAAATGGACAGAGATAGGTTTTTCTAAGTAATTTGCTAGTTCTTGAAATTAATATGAATTGTATTGTTAATTTCATAAGTTTTGATGGAAATTATTCATCCCCCCCCCCAAGGATCTGCTTTTAAAATGCTATTATATTATATAGCTATTGTAATGACAAAACCAACATAATGGGTTTGCCACCAGCATGGATCCAGACCAGCCTGTGCATTCGCGCAGTCTGATCAGGATCCATGCTGTTCGCTGTCAGTTTCTCAACTCGTAATAGAGTTAGACAGCGAACAGCATGAATCTGATCAGACTGCGCAGATGCGCAGGCTGGTCTGGATCCATGCTGGTCGCAAACCCATTATGTTGGTTTTGTCATGACACGGCTCATATAGCTATTGTAATTATATTGTGACCACAGACTCATGTTGTTAATGTGATCTTATTGCTGTACATTGTCAGCTTGTCATGTAGAATTATGTCATTAAAAGTGATAAAAAAAAGTAATAAATGATAAAAATGTGTCATGATTTTGTTACCTTGTGACCAACCATTGCACAGTCTGTTCATGTATTTATGTATAAGTATTTCTGGAAGATATAACTGGTATGTTTAATGATGAACTCTTACCAGGCTCAATACCTTAAATGGACTTGTCATCACTGGTATGATTAATGAATAAATCTTACCATGCTACATTTGTAATTACCTTAAATGGACTTGCCCATCTTTTAATCTGGACTTAAACATTTACTGTTTTTAGGGAAAATTGAAGTGACATTATGCTCAATTATACATTGTCGAGCTGAGCTGAACTGACTGTCGTAAATTTAAAAAGATAGAGTATTATAATGGTCATTGACTAATAACTGATAATGAAAAATGTTAAAGATAAAATATATAACAACTGCCTAAAATATAAAAAAGACTGCCCCGCTCTTTTTATCTATTGAACGTTTACAATACATTCAAAAGGATATTTATAGAATTTAAAATTGAAAGCAATTAAGGCAAGATCTAAAGTTTTTTTGACTAACCTGTATACCCATCTCTTGGATGGGGCATAAAATGATGCACTGACTGAATACTGAACAGTACAGACCATTTGTGCAGTCTGATCATGGTCTGCACTGATCATATAGGAAGAATATGTTGCCGCTTTTAGCAGGCTAAAGGTTAAATTGAGAAATGCTTCACCATGCATGAACTTAACCTGCTGAATTTCTTAAATGGACTTGCCCACTATTCAATTTTTTGGAACCGTCCATAATCAGTTTTAGGATAGCAATATGAAAATTTTGAAGATGGCCAGCCAGCAGTATGGAGTCTGGTTATGACCGCAGGGATGGCCTGGCTCTGTATAGCATATACAAAATGTAAATTACAATGTTGCCAGTTCCAATAACTGAGTTTAGGCCAAGTGTAGCCCATTTCAAACTCTAGGAGTCTGCTTCCTGGAACTGACCAGTACCTTTGTCATATGAGGAAAAACATTGTGTGACCTAAGTATAGCTTGAACACGCCATTCCTGAGTAGAGGGGCACTTTTAGGGCCTTACAGTTCTGTCAACCAGTACTGAGCAAATTCAGTGTGTGTACATTGAAGCAATGAAAAGAATGAAATATACTGTCTGGTTATTAACATGAATCATATTTGAGGGATCTCAATGGAACTTGGGCAGAATGTATGTTTGAGAATAATTTGCAAACTTACCTCCCCTTTTCAAGTCTGGAGTATCTTGTACATGTGTGATTAGCACAAACACATGAATGCCTTCTTACACCTAGTTACTATTACAAAGGCCATAATTCTGGGAAGCTCTATAACTGTCATAAATTTGCCCAGTTATCTTCCATGTATGTTCTTGAAAGAAGGACAATATTAACCTTTTCAATAAGTTTAATAATTTTCAACTCCCAAGTGGCACTTAACACTTATTCTGAGAAATATGTTATTATTCAAATAATCTCCCTATCCTGAACTAAGTAAGTTGAACAGGACAAATAGTAAACAATTACTGAAATTATTGTCAGAATATATGACTATAATGACAAAATGTTACAGAGTTATCTCCCTTTTTTGAATCAGATTTCTGCAAGTTCCACAACTATACATAAGAAGTATTGATTTGACAATAACCACTACAAAGGATATATTTTGACATTTTATCCCATTGTCAGTGACTTCATGACCTCCACAATTCATAACGAAAAAAAACTGATACATGTATTTTTATACTAGTATGTGTAGGACTATATTATGCAACATAATTCTTGCATAAAGAGCCAGGAAGAATAAATCAAAAGGTAAACCTATATTCATATAATAAATTCCTGTTATGTTTTATTATATATATTATATATTCAATATCTTAATTAAAGGGACTCCACTGGTTTTTTTTTTTGAAATGCCAGAATTAGAAATATATAGGCTATATTTTTTTTTTAAAGACTTATGTGCCATTTGATGTAGGTCTGGACCAACTCATTTCCTGACTTGGGTATTTTCCTGATTAATGATTTTAATTGTGAAAAAATGCCCTAAATTGGGCCAGTTAAATACCACAAAAATATGATTTATAAATTATTTGTGGGTATGTATCCTAGTTATCTCATGCATATCTCTCCATTTTAAGTGCCCCAGTTGATCTTTGTATAAAATTTGCATTGGGTGTTGGGCCTCAGCAAAGCTTCTTTAAAGAACAAAATGCACATCTTATTAACATACTACCTGATCTTATTAAGTATACACTTTCATGAAATATATTAAAATATACACTAAATGAATGTCTCGGGGTAATTAAACCAAAAAAACACTTTTTTATGCTATAACTATAGTAATTATTCATTAATTGACTCATTACTGATTCATTATTAACACTTTAAGTTATCTATTTCCCTATCATAGTAAACGCTTCCATATATGGATTGTGTTGACAGCTGTTACGTCACGCGCACCTGCTGATATATCGCGACTTTGACAATTTGGTAAAATTTACACATAAGTCACGTGACAGTCCCACCCTTGAGCTAGATTACTTCAGTATAGTATCGAAAATGGCAGGGAGATCTTCTGTGTGTTTAGAGCAGGAACAAATTGAAGATTTGAGGTCGGCATTCGAAAGTGTAAGTGCATTTTATTTTGAATTAATCTGTATTTTCGTTTAAAATTATAATAGTCGGCGTTTCAAAAATCTTCAAAGGATTTCGCACCGGTTTAGGTATGGCCGCCATTTTGGATTAGTTGAATTAACGAATGCTATTTGGCGACCTTACCTATGATAAAATTAATGAATGATTTTGAAAAACTGGAACAGATATTGAAAGAATGTTGCTTGAAATTGTAAATAATGTGCTGTTTATTGCCGATCCTTTTTTAATTAGCAATTTTAACACGACTTGAAATTAGTGAAACACCTGCCGATCAGATATCCAGGAAATGAAGTTTATTACCTCAGATAACAAGTAAATCAGATAATGTCATCTAATAAGGTTATATTGTATGGATCTGTATAGGTTTACTTATGATAATTTAATGTTTTTTATTTCTGAGTCTCTCTTATTTTGAACTTGCACAGATGTTTTTATAACGGCTTCCAAATTAAAATAAACTTTAAACTAGACAATTAGACTTTATCTAGACTTCAGATAAATACATGCTACATATCTTTAAATTCATAAGCTTATCGCTTTTTTATCTGTGATCTTAGATATGGTATTTATAATTTGTCTTTCTTGCATTTATTATGCATAAGATATAGATGTTTGCACGATTAGGGTTAATATTATGGAAAGCTTTTTTAGTTAAATAATTATGTTCCTTAAGCTAAAACTTCCCATATCAGTGAGAATCTCATTTAGCCATTAGTGCTGTTTCCTTAGGCAGTAACATGACAGGAAGCAAAATAATATTGATGTGTTTTAATACTGGTGAAATGAGTTAAACACATGTAGGGTGATGATCTAGTTTAATTTGAGCACCTCTTAGTCCAACTAATTGTACTGCGCCACAAGATATTGTGCTATTTTCGTGTCTGGGTGAATATCTCAGAAAAGGCGAGATTCTACCCCAGAACGAAAATATCTCAGAATCAGTATATTTTGACTAGAGCACCAGTCTTTGAGATTGTAGAGTAAGTTGGTGTAATGGATTTACACAATAAATGAATAATCACATGATAGGAGGCAGAATGATATGTCCAAGTTAATGATAAAATGAGTAAATGGCTCAAAGAAAACTTCTTGTCAATTTTGATAAAACATTCTGTCAGATTTTAATTTAATGTCTTGTTTAGGCAATATGCAAAAAGAATCTTTTATTTCCTTCTATAATAAAGAGCAGAACATACCACTATATGCATGTATGTAATCATTTTTTGTACGGAATTGAAATTTACTGTAGATATATTTGAAAATAAATGAACATAGGAGATACAATACAATTTACAGTCATAATAGGATTACATACATATAAAATATAAAAATGATTAAGTAAAATTTGAATGTATATTTTGTCCAGAAATGCCAAATCTTTTACAAAAACTGAAAGTACAAAGAAAAGACTGCTGGATTTTAATATTACTTGTACATGTGTATGCACATTACCAGAGTTATTATAAAGCATTGCCACTATTGCCTATTAACTTAAATGTATGTACACATAATAACAATTAAATGTATGTACACATAATAACAATTCAAGGACATTAACATGTGTTTGAAACTCCTAATTATGAAAATAAATGAGACCAATCAAAATAAAGCAATTAGGAACCTATTCTGTATTGTAATTACAAACAATTAACCCATTTCCTTATTTGGTGAATAACTTTCAATTGTGAAGTGACCAGTGTTTAATTATGTACGTCCTGTTTGGTTAATTTATCTAGCAAATTCAGTCCTTCCCCTGTCATTATGTCAAAGAGCTATTCTGATTAATATCAGTGTTATGATCACTTATCGTAAAATGCCCCTCAAATGTCGATAAATTATACCATACGTCCATATCTTATGACCAATGTGCTTGTTTTTTATGCATGTTTAATGCAGATTTGTATTTTGCAGGTCTTTCAGTTAGATAATATGATATCACATATTATATTTCAGACTAAATAGTGTTAAGGTTTATTGTTGATGTAAGGTAATTTGATATAAGATTGAAAATGACTGTCCCTGTTTGGTAGGCATATAATATTATTATAATTTGTATGAAGTGAAACAAGTAGGATGTTTTCCAATAATTGTTTTGGTTATAAATTGACCTTTCTCATTTTAATTTATTTTCACATGATTTAATATAGGTGATATTTAAGGTCAGATTAAAGGATCAGTCCAAATACTACTGTCACAGTTAGATAATAACTTTGATATGTTATGGAGATATTGATCCCTATGTTATTGTACTTTTATCAATGAAATGCTTTGACATCACAGTAAACAGGTATTGTCTGTTTATGACAAGTGCATAAGGTGTGAAAACTGACTAAAATATTAGCTATAGATCAGAGGTATTTTTGTATTAGTTATTTAGTACAATTGTAATGAGAAAGGCTTTATTATTTTGATATTTGTGCCTTCAATAAGCTCAGATTAAGGTGTCTTTTTTATTTCCACAAGTAATAATTGATTAATAATAAGACTGGTTAGCATTACAATGTACTTGCACTTACTTGCCTTAAGTCACCAGCTATAAAACCTGTATTTTTTGTGTCCTTTTTTGACATCAAATATAATTTATAATTATAATTCATAATTATTATAATAATCAAATAAAATGACTATGTCCATAATATTTTGCTCAGTGAATGTGATAAAACTCTCAGTATGAATACATTTGTTTATAGGGCTTTCCATATTTCTAACATTTTAATCTTTCATACCCTTACCTTGCTGTTGGCAACTGGATAGAACTATGCGACCTGTGCAGACGAAGGCCAGCTGGCAGATTAGTGCTGTCTGATCATGGTCTGCACTGTTTGCTATTTAGTTAGCACATCTTTTGTTGAAATTTTAAATTTTTCCAAAAACTGATGAACAGTTTTGTCCAGATTGAAAAATGGAATTTACTCAGTGTAAGATGATGGGAATCTGATGCACAGTTATGTATTGCTCAGAAGGTGGGTCTTTCAATAGATACTCAGGATTTTAATGTATAAACTGTATTGTGTGGTTAAGTTTTACTTTGAAACTCGAAAATTTGGCACTCGTGTATAAGAATCAACTTTTACATAGATAGTTAGAATTGTTAACAAGGGTCAGGAACCTGAAGGGACTTGAGGTTTGGTTTTGATTTTATTTAATCAGGGGTCAAAAACCTTTTCAATGAGTGTTTTTCTAGAAAAAAAAGGTCCATTGACCGATATTTGGTTATGACAGGGAAAAAATGATAATCCTATGTGGTTAACAACAATACGAAAAATATAGAAAGTGAAGTGTCAATGGTACAACAAGTCAAGAGTATGACTGAAGGGTAATATAAAAGTACTTTATAAAACATTAACATGTTAAGTAGTTTTATACTTTGATATGACCACATAATCCACTCTACACAAGTACTGTGCAGTGTCTACATTGTCTTAAGCAGGAAATGCAATATTAAGAAATTAGATGCACATCTTAATTTCTTGTACTAAGCTGTAATTAGTCAGTGGTGTTACTCATGCATTTAACATAAACCCTTGCTACACTTAATATCCTAAGATTACAAGTCTATCTTTTAATTAATAGGACAGACAAAGCCATTCATCATTTTTAGGGAAAATTTTGAAATCTGTACTGACTGAATAGCGAACAGTGCAGACCATGATAAGATGGCACAGATATGCCAGCTGATCTTGGTTGGTCTGCACTGGTCGCATTGGTAGATTCACTCATTCCAGCAGGCCTGGGGATGTACATACAAAATGATTTTTTTGACAATGATTCATTGTTTATGCAGTATGCCCCTGTTATAATCCCCCAGCAATGTTTATGATTTACAATCAGTGATAGTAACATTCTGTCAATTGTTTCAGAGCTAGGTCAGTTTAAACGTATATTTATTTAACTGTTGCAAGCAAGGTCTTAACTTGAATATTTTTTTCATCACCTTTGCCCTGTACCGGTGTCATAAACAATCATTAGTCCCCAAGTAGGGCTGGAACCCATGATCTCTGGGTTGAGATGCAGACACCTTAACCACTAGGTCACAGCTCCTCTTAAGTCTACAGAACATTATGACATTTGTGCAGTCTGACCAGGCTCTATACTGATTAAAAAATGGCTGCTTAATTTGAATATTTTTTATATTCTTTAACCCTTACTGAAATCCCTTGTAAAAACAATGAATAAATACAAGTTCAAAGCAGGTACTGTCTGTGATAAACATTGTGCCTTTATAAGGATTTAATATTTTTTCATGATATACAAAGTATATAATTTTTTTTTTTTTGAGATGGCATGCTTGTTTATTTCCATTAAGGAAGAGCTCAAATAAGATTTAAACAGGAAGTTTATAAGAAAACTGGAACTTGGATAAATAATTTATATAAAATTATTTAACTCCGGAAATAAAATCTTTTATTATAATGTTTAGTAAAACTAAATGAAAACCACAAATACACATGTGCATGCTTAGGTTTGCATCATTTCTTTTCTAGAGTGTCTACAATATAAAAATCAGCAAAAACAATGTTATATTTTCCTTCTAGAGACTGAATACTTCACTTCAGTTAGCTGTAAACCTCTAGATGAGTTTACATACATGTATTTACAATAATAATCAACCTCAAGGAAACTGAACTACAAGTTTTAAAGAAATGTGTGAACATTCACAAATCATTAATTTCCATGTCTTATGCACAATATTACTTAATTTGTTATTTCTGATATTGTTAATCTAAATTTTGTTAAAACCTGCAAAAAAAAACAAACCAAACAAAATATCATAAATCTGCCTTAATGCAGAGTAAGGGGCTGTTCCTACACATTCTGATAATTATGTAAATAAAAGGGAATTTCTGTGAATAAAAAAGAACGAAATAGGCCAGCTGAAATTACTGTATTTGTACATTTGACAGGACTGGTGTTTTCCCAATCTGAACTTGTACTATAAAGTTTTAAAATAAGAAAGTATGAATACCATTTTG